TAAACTATGGAAGATTCCTGAATATTTTATTACACTCGTGGAAATAAGTTACTATCCATCTATTAACAAAACTCTATATACACCTCGACAAGACTTAACCACCTATCTCTCTTTAACTAATCACATATGAATGGGGGTTAACAAAAAGTATTATTTTCAACACAACTTTTTCTTTGTACCGGAAGTGGTCCAGATATGAACATTGTCTCACACACCAACTGTTAATGTTGTCACGTACACACGACCCCACCCCCTACCCCAGCGGTCCAGCGTTTAGTAAAGACCCGGAAACATGTTCAGAGAAAGAGGAAGAGCTAGAGAGCGAGAAAAGTTATAGAAGGAGAGAGAAATAGCGAGAAAAGACTTAGAGAAAGCGAGGACAGCTAGAGAGAACGAGAAAGAGACAAAGAGACAAAGAGAGACACACGTAAACATATGAGTGTACAGTATTGACAAGGTTAGTCATATATTATTAAGTTATGTCAAGATACACAGGTGATGGAGGAAGTTGAGGAAATGAGTGTGTTGTCATTATCAGTGTCGACTAGCCCACCCACCGCCTCCCACACACGCCTCCCCCACACACACGCCCCTCCCCCACACACACGCCCCTCCCCCACCACGCCCTCCCCACACCGCCCCTCCCCCACACACACACGCCCCTCCCCCACACACGCCCTCCCCCCCCACACACACACGCCCCTCCCCCCACACACCTCCCCCACACACACACACACACGCCCCTCCCCACACGCCCCTCCCCACACACGCCCCTCCCCCCACACACACGCCCTCCCACACCTCTCCCACACACGCCCCTCCCCACACACACACACGCCCCTCCCCCCACACACCGCCCCTCCCCACACACACCCCTCCCCACACACACCCCTCCCCACACACACGCCCCTCCCCCACACACCCTCCCCACACACACGCCCCTCCCCACACACACCCCTCCCCCCACACACACCCCCCCCCACACACACACACCACATGCTGATAATGATGCTGAAAATTGGATTCTTTTTCTCCCGTCTCAGTTCATCTGTTAAAGGAAGGTATAAATTTCGTGTTATTGCAATATGTTGGGTGTATCTGTGTTGCTTCCTCCTCGAGTGCAGGTGAGTGAATTGGTAGTATTAGTGTTTATTGTTTAAAGGTTGGGTTGGGTTGGGTTGGGTTAGCGTTAGGGTGTTTTATCTTAAGGTATTGGCATATTACTGACTGAGTTTACTTGGCCGCACAGTACTGGCCTTCATCAGCACCATGCACCCTACCTCTCCTGGGTGAGTGAATCTTCCCAACAGCCGTACATTAAGTACTGCTGACGAAGGCAATGTGGGGTTATATTTCACAAAACTTATCTACGGGAGATACTGGGGTTAATTTGTTGTCTCGATCATTAAGGTATGTTAGTATGGATTTCTTTGATGTTCTGTCCAAGTTAAAATACTCATCGTTGTTTGAGGACCGAGGCGACTGATTACTGACTCAGGCTGGTACTGGCATAACTGACTGAAGGAATTCGATAGATTTATTATATAAGTTTCGGAAGATTTATATAACATCAGCTGAAATTAAAATATAAATACTAAATGCACTTGAAAACATATTTAGATACGTATATGAGTAAAGTCAAATATATCACCGGCCTTCACAGCTGACGAATCAAAACACAACTTGTAATTCTCCACGTCATCCACCGCCGTCACGCGCTCCTCTGCTGCTGTGAGTGGCAAAACAATTTCAGTGGGCGAGGTTGTCGTCGGAATAAAAGAGGAAGCAATAACTCGCCTACACTCACAGAAAAATGCCAGGAAAAGGTTGAGAGAAGCCCCAGGGAAATGGTTTTAGTCTTCTACATCCACGAGCCGAGAGGAAGAAGAGAATTTTTCGCGGCTTTGACTTGTGGTTTGTTGAGATGTGTGTGTGTGTGTGTGTGTGTGTGTGTATGTGTGTGTGTGTGTGTGTGTGTGTGTGTGTATATCTATCTATCTGTGTGTGTGTCTGTCTGTCTGTCATGTGTGTGCGTGTGTGTGTGTCTGTCTGTCTGTCATGTGTGTGTCTGTCTGTCTGTCTCATGTGTGTATCTGTGTGTGTGTGTGAGTGTATGTGTGTGTGTGTGTGTGTGTGTGTGTGTGTGTGTGTGTGTGTGTGTGTGTGTGTGTGTGTGTGTATCTATCTGTGTGTGTGTGTGTGTGTGTATGTGTGTGTGTGTGTGAGTGTGTGTGTGTGTGTGTGTGTGTGTGTATCTATCTGTGTATGTGTGTCTGTCTGTCATGTGTGTGTGTGTGTGTGTGTGTGTCTGTCTGTCTGTCATGTGTGTGTCTGTCTGTCTGTCTCATGTGTGTATCTGTGTGTGTGTGTGTGTGAGTGTATCTATCTGTGTGTGTGTGTGTCTGTCTGTCTGTCATGTGTGTATCTGTGTGTGTCTGTCTGTCTGTCATGTGTGTATCTGTGTGTCTCTCTGTCTGTCATGTGTGTATCTGTGTGTGTGTGTGTGTCTGTCTGTCTGTCATGTGTGTATCTGTGTGTCTGTCTGTCATGTGTGTATCTGTGTGTGTCTGTCTGTCTGTCATGTGTGTATCTGTGTGTCTGTCTGTCTGTCATGTGTGTGTGTGTGTCTGTCTGTCTGTCATGTGTGTATCTGTGTGTGTGTGTGTATCTGTGTGTGTGTTACAGAAATGATCTCAGCATCAACACAATAATATCAGTGTTACCATAGTGATGAAAAACCTTATTTATACCGTGTAAAAAATGTTTTTGCAGTGTTACCAATCTTCAAATAATATCACTAAACAATGATACAAACTTAAAACCAAAAAAAAAAACAATGAAACTTATATGTTAAGAAATATACAAATAATTAATATAGAGGTTAGGTGAGGTGAGGTGAGGTGAGGTGAGGTTAGGTGAGGTGAGGTGAGGTTAGGTGACGTGAGGTGAGGTTAGGTTAGGTTACAAGCATACAAAAATCACCACAGGCCTATTGATCCCTCTGACTCTTCATAGACAAAAATATTAATAAACTCACAGGAAAGAAAATGTTGTTGCTTCTTGGTGAAACTTTTGGACTGATGAGTGAGGTTCGGGTGGGGTGGGGTTGGGCGAGGTTGGGTAGGGGTAGGACGGCTTAACAAGGCGGTGGCGGAGAGGAGTGGAGCAGCAAGGAGGAAGAGGGAACAACCAAACACAGCCCCTAGATTCTAATACGACCCTTAAGTCAAATTACCTACCCTTAAACTGACGAGTATATGAACTATTTACACACGTTCACTCAAGTTATAACTCAATAGTCAGAAACTCACATTATAGATTAAGTTATTGAAGTGTCCCAATGTATCTGTCCGCTCGACCTACCGTAAGCAAAGGTGGATTCTCAAACTTCCTATGTCGAATTTTCACTCCTAAGAGAGAGAGAGAGAGAGAGAGAGAGAGAGAGAGAGAGAGAGATAAAATATATCAATAAGGAAGGCAACTCATAAAAACACTGGTTAATAGTCAAAATATTTATTGCCATATACACCAATACTGTTAAAGTCAAGTGATAATGTGTCTTTAGGATTAATGGAACCTAATCTAACCTCAACTGACCTAACCCGACCTAACCTAACCTAATATAACCTTACATAAAATAACCCAACCTAAACTAACCTAACCTAACCTAACAAATCAAAACCTTTAACAGACCTATTGTGGATCTTGTAACAGTTAGGATAGGTTATGTGGTCAGGTCAGGTTAGGTCGTCAGGTCAGGTTAGGTTAGGTCGTCAGGTCAGGTTAGGATAGGTTAGGTCGTCAGGTCAGGTCGTCAGGTTCGGTTGGCAGGTCAGGTTAGGAGCAGGTTAGGTCGTCAGGTCAGGTTAGGTTAGGTCGTCAGGTCAGGTTAGGATAGGTTAGGTCGTCTCGTCAGGTCGTCAGGTTCGGTTGGCATAACAGTAAGAATGACTGTTAAGTGAATAAACCCCGACTGATTGTGTCCAGTTAACAATTCTGTGACTGGTATAACTGTATTTTGGGTGACTAACTGTTAGACTGGAACGGTGTTAATTTGACCTGACTTATATTGATAGTGGCGTTAGACCGGTCTGAGTGGTGACTAAGATTGTAATGGTGACTGTATTGGTGACTGAGACTGTGTTAGTGGTGACTACTGGTGACTGTGAGACTTAGTGGTGACTGAGACTGTGTTAATGGTGACTTGACTGGTGACTGTGAGACTGTCTTAATGGTGACTGTGAGACTTAGTGGTGACTGTGCTGGTGACTGAGACTGTGTTAATGGTGACTTGACTGGTGACTGTGAGACTTAGTGGTGACTGTGCTGGTGACTGAGACTGTGTTAGTGGTGACTGTGCTGGTGACTGAGACTGTGTTAGTGGTGATCTTAGACTGTGTTACTGGTGATGTTAGACTGTGTTAGTGGTGAACGTCAGACTGGTGACTGTGAGACTGTGTTAGTGGTGATCTTAGACTGTGTTACTGGTGATCTTAGACTGTGTTACTGGTGAACGTCAGACTGGTAACTGTGAGACTGTGTTAGTGGTGATTTTAGACTGTGTTAGTGGTGAACGTCAGAGTGGTGACTGTGAGACTGTGTTACTGGTGATCTTAGACTGTGTTACTGGTGATCTTAGACTGTGTTACTGGTGATCTTAGACTGTGTTACTGGTAATCTTAGACTGTGTTAGTGGTGAACGTCAGACTGGTGACTGAGACTGTGTTACTGGTGATCTAAGACTGTGTTAGTGGTGAACGTCAGACTGGTGACTGAGACTGTGTTACTGGTGATCTTAGACTGTGTTACTGGTGATCTTAGACTGTGTTAGTGGTGAACGTCAGACTGGTGACTGAGACTGTGTTACTGGTGATCTTAGACTGTGTTACTGGTGATCTTAGACTGTGTTACTGGTGAACGTCAGACTGGTGACTGAGACTGTGTTACTGGTGATCTTAGACTGTGTTACTGGTGATCTTAGACTGTGTTAGTGATGAACGTCAGACTGGTGCACCATCACCATGCAGGTCACTTGGATCACCAGGCTCAGTGAAGATTGATGGCTGGAAGGTGAACTCTGATGGAACAAACAGAAATAAATACTGATGTGTGAGTCTCGATATGGCAACAATATGTCAATAGTATGTCAAGAATATGTCAACAGTATTTCAAGAATATGTCAACAGTATTTCAAGAATATGTCAACAGTATTTCAAGAATATGTCAACAGTATTTCAAGAATGTCAACAGTATTTCAAGAATGTCAACAGTATTTCAAGAATATGTCAACAGTATGTCAAGAATATGTCAACAGTATGTCAAGAATATGTCAACAGTATTTCAAGAATATGTCAACAGTATGGCAACAATATATCTTGTCAACAAACCTCGAGATATTTTGGGTGTCGGGAGTAAGAGCTGAGAGTCCCTAGTCAGAGGTGTTGCCGCGGGGTACCTGACAGAGGGTAGCTGTTGGTGGTGTCTCCCTGGCAGGTTCCTATTGGTCCCGGGAGCTGTGCGTTGGTCCTCCTGCTGGTGGGGGTACCGAGGAGGGCCATACGCCATCAGGGGAGGCTGTAGTGGTGGATGGTGGTAGTCTGGTGGCCTTTGGGATAGGTTCATGGCTGGTGGTTGGTGTTGTTGTTGTTGTTGCTGCTGCTGCTGCTGGTGACAACGTTCATTTAGGAGGTGAGAGATGACAGATATTGAGTGAGAGAGTGAGTGAGAAAGATAGTCTATACCTTAATGCGGACTTAATATGCTAATTTATTAAAAAAAAAATGTTCGTCATTTTGGGTTAGACAGACAGTAAATCAGCTTGTGTTGTGGGTGTTACTGTGGCCGGGACTGTGTTTCCTCGTAGTCCTTCACCTTCACACACACACACACTACACTACACTACACTACACACCACACTACACTTCATGGCTGTGATAGTGTCTCAGAATAACCAGTGTATATTTCAACACCGCCATCTCTCTCTCTCTCTCTCTCTCTCTCTCTCTCTCTCTCTCTCTCTCTCCCATATTCCTTTACCTCCCTCTGCCATAACCTGTAAGTACCTGATAAGACTGTGGCTTCCTGGGTGAGAGAGAGCCAGTAGGTGGTACCCCCTCTATCAAGGCCAGGCGTGTTGGGGGTAACATGTTAGGTGGTTGAGGAGCCCCATCCATCTGCACCATGCTGAGACAAGTGGTGGAGATGGCGGTGGATGTACCAGGCGGGGGGGAGCAAGACCTCGCCCTTATCTGACCCGTCCTCTTCCTCAGGCAGTCATACAGATCCTGAGGGAGAGTCGCATAATGTGAATCAGGGTAGCATAATGTGAATGCAGGAGTCGCATAATGTGAATCAGTCGCAAAATGTGAATCAGGGTAGCATAATGTGAATCAGTTGCAAAATGTGAATCAGGGTAGCACAATGTGAATCAGAGTCGCAAAATGTGAATCAGGGTAACATAATGTGAATAAAGGAGTCGCATAATGTGAATCAGAGTCGCATAATGTGAATCAGGGTAACATAATGTGAATAAAGGAGTCGCATAATGTGAATCAGAGTCGCAAAATGTGAATCAGGGTAGCATAATGTGAATCAGAGTCGCATAATGTGAATGAAGGAGAGTCGCAAAACGTGAATCTATTCCTGGTCTTAACTGTCTATGTTTGTTAGTTGATTCACTGTTATAATGAGACGAGGAAAATAACACTGAACGTACTTGTAGTTTGTGGTACTGACGAGTCTTTTCACTCAGACGTTCGTTCAAAGATTGTTTTTGTTTGTTGCACTTGTCGTGGTCCCTCTGCAAGGCTGCAACAACAACAACGAGAACACTATCAATACGTTAGAACTCATCTGTTGCAAGATACTCTGTAAAATATTCACTCATAACAGCTTCGTTCCCTTCCCTTCCCTCTCAGTACTGTTCCTTCCTATAAGCCTTGCACTTAACACCCACCTGCACAACTCATCAAACACCCTGTATTACCCAACCTACCTAAATTTACCTAATGATCACTCAAACTAGATGAAGAACACACCTCTGAAGGAAGGAATACTTAGATAGGTTACCTCACACACCTTAATACCTTTATCACTGTAGATTAAAGTCAAATTAATCCTGACAGGTCTTCGAAATATGACTCTCGATGCTGTAGTAATCATCATCTTATCACTCTAAGGTAGCGTCTCCGCCTTGTTACTTATAGCTTAACTAATACTGGGTATGTGGCGCCTCTCAATCCCTCACCATTCTTATCTCTGTTATCACCATCATTATCATCATCAAAAACACAATAAAACAACCATAATTCGACCTCCAACAACCACAACAATGTCCTCAACAACCACAGCCCATCCACCAACAACCACAATTCGTCCCCTAACAACCATTTCCACGTACCTCCCAGCTGACCAGTGAGTAGGTTGAGGTGTTCATCGCGGGCTCTCATCTCCTGTTCATAGTAAGTGTGGACATGGTGAGCTCGTTCCCTCAGCTTTTGGTTCAGGTGTCTCTGGTGGTTTAATTCCTGATCCATCTGTTAGGGAGAGAGGTGACATGTACTGTAGTTACCGCAGTCCTGTACTTTGCTCTTCCTTATTGCCTCCTGCATCTACTTCTGCTTCTACTCCTCCTCCTCCTCCTCCTCCTCCTGGTCTCTCAAAGGGGTTACTGCCTTCATTGGAACTGACTAAAAGTTTCATAACTAACTTGGTCTTGGGACTAACTGTGTCATAACTAACTAGTTCTTGGGACTAACTGTGTCATAACTAACTAGTCCTTGGAACTAACTGTGCCATAACTAACTAGGTGGTGGTAACTAACCTGATGGGACCAGAAGGCGAGGGCTCTGTGACACACCTCCATCACCGTGCTGGGCCTGAGACCTGCCAACACCATCTGACGAGGGATACAACTTCATCATTAGAGGGGAGGGGAATTTTATAACACTACTGAAGGATAATTGACAATGATATACTCTAGATACATATACTTCACTGTGTGGGTGGTGAGGGGTGAGACGACAAGGTATCAACACAATAAACGCTTAGAAATGTTCACAAGACAATAATAAAACTCACACTCTTAAACTGTTCAGAAGGTTCTAAGTCCACTCGGTGAATGTCAGTCTTGTCCACCAGTCTGGCCCCACACGCTGAGCACTCACACGGTGTCTGTAGGAGGGGGATGAGATCAGGTGATAATACACATTTATTTTAAGCAAAGTAGATTTTTAGCATGATTCTGACGCCATTACATCAACATTCTCACAGGATTAATAGCCCAATGTTCTATTTAATATGCTAGCTTCCATGCCACGGAGTTAAGAATAATATCTAATGAAAGTTCGATAGTTTCATTGCATCACCTGACAAGTCTGGAGCAATTAATTCTTATACAGCATTTTTTTCTGGTCTACTTGCGTATTGATAATGTTGAAATTCATAGAAGATACTAATCAGTGAGTTAGGTTAGGATATGTGAGGAATGATCTCCCATGAAAGCATCCAATTGTGTGGATGTTTTGGAAGAGGTTATTGTATGACGGTGATATTGTGGTCCTGGGTGATGTTATACAAGGCACTGACTGACCTGGGTGAGAGGTTTGCCATGGTTATCGCAGAATATGTGGGAGCAGAAGGTGACCCAGGCAAAGTCATCCAGCGGGCGGCGACATGACCTGAAGTTACACAGTAGTTGGTTGTCGCTCATGATCCTCTGTAATAGAACAAAAAATTAAATCCATCACTCTTACAGGCAGCCTCATGATGTGGAAGTTGAGAAAGTATTGTGTAATTAATAATTCTTGAAGACTTTACAGTATACTTACCTTCTGAGGCGAAGTAATGTCGTCTCCACAAATTCTTTAAATGGTGACTATAACTATGGCTCTTCCATATACATTCTGAGCTGGTATATTATAGACATCTCTCCCTCATATGTTAACTATATTCCCTCTAAAATAATGGAAAGAATATACGTATAAGATCCTTGGTCAGATATGTTTCGCCTCTTTAAAATAAATATGGAAGGATACCAGACTATATTAGTTTGTTCAGTATGTCTAAAACTATTTTCAATTTAATTTATATAAGATACGAAACTACTTAGAATTAAAGAACCAATATTCTTACACTGTTAAAATTATAAAACTCTCTTATGTGTGTGTCAGGCATAAAGAAAAACCTTATAGAGACGGTAGCTATTTTATGATATATGTGATTTAATTATTTGTATAGAAGAGAAAAAATATGTTTTAAGATTTTGTGTTATGTTAATATCTACGACTATTAGTGTTATTGTGGGTTTTATCCTTATTTATTTGCAATGTCTTAGTTAAATGTATATCAGGTGAAAAAAGACATTGGGCTTCCTGTCAGGCTTTTTTTTAATTCTGTATTTGATAATAACTTAGTTTTTCTCTAATGGAAGTTAATTTAGGAACTATATTCTGTGCTGTAATGGTTTATTTTGCCTCTTGTAGCCTGGAACACATCCATTATTCTTCCTATTAGTTATCAGCCTTATGGGACCGAGGGATTTTTGTACCGTGGTTGAGTGAAGTGTGTGTGTGTGTGTGAGTGAGTGTGTGTGTGTGAGTGAGTGAGTGAGTGAGTGAGTGTGTGTGATCATATGTGAGCAGTGAATAAATTTTTGTACAGTAATAGGAATTAATTTCATAGGTTTAGGTTAAGTAGCACTGCTCATGTAACACACCCAAGACAGTTTAAGTGAATGGGCTTAAGTTTTATTATTACATTATTATTATTATTAAACAGGGAACAAGACTATGATAATCTTAAGAGCAGATCTTTGGTTCATTCCGTTGACCATTTCTGTACTAGCTTAATGTTAAAATTGAATCATCTTCGTTTAATGGTAGTTTTCCAAGCGTATATGGGTTAATCGTGGTCACCTGATTATAGTCTTTTTGCAGTTTGTCTCATCAGGTTCTTATCTCTAGAGGTTATCTCTCCCTATGTCATTCTAGGCCGACCTTGAGCTCTCCTTCCCACCACATTTAAACTCATGCATCTTGATCAGTTGGTCTCCTCCATCCTCTCACCATAACTGAACCATCTCAGTCTATTTCTTTGGAAAAACTCGGCAATATTCTCAATACCCAGCCGCCCACTTAGTTCTGATCAGGGTTTCTAATCTTTCAGTGTCACATAATACATTCATCTCAGTGTTATACATCAAGCTCTCACACATCTTTCTATTCACGTGGAGAAGGTCCTCTTGTTGTCAATAAAGGTAGCAGCCACAGGTCACCTCTCACTGGACTGACCTAGTGATGTCTAGTTTAACCCAGCATAGTTGGTTTATGAATGAAAAATGTTAGGCTATTAACACCTGCAATATTTTGTACAAGTAGGTATGTCAGTACTCCTAAGAAACAAAATATTGTTTTATTAATTGGCTTTTATTTAGTTTTAGTAGGTGGGTGAATTCTTGCTGTATGTGGGTAATTGGCCACCCAGTTAACATGTTGGGGGTAGGTCGCCATGTTACTCTAGTGCCGGACCCGAGTTGTACGACTCATGGCTGAGGGATGTGATTTACATTTTTTACTTCATTCTTTTTTTTCTCTCCAGTCAGCCATGTTTGATGCAGGTTGTAGAACTGTTGGATAATCATTTGTGATATCGTGAGCATCGTCAGAGGCAAGAGTTACTGACTGCCACTAGAAGATAAGAATTCTAAAAACAAAACAACACAATTGTAATGATTTCTGACAAAACTTAAGATGCTTTTTCAATGATTTAGTTAACTTTAATTTAATTATTTGAATGTAGACTTGTATCTTATATGATAATCTATCGTTTTTATTATACTGTACAACATAAAAATAAGTTTGGGAAAATTTTGAAATACTCCTCTTCACCAGCACACTAAAATCCCCCTAACCCACCTCATGATAGTCAGAATAATGACACAAAGTACAAAAATAATGTCTCCTCGGAGCAACACTCACACTCCACACTTTCTTTACTGTACTGATGATGATGTAATAATATACAGAGGAAAATTATAAAGTGTGGCATTAATGAAGTCTTGAGCTGGATATACTGTATTGTTCAACACTTTGATGTACAGGAAATTAATTGAGTTTGAGACTGGCTGAGCACATTATTAAGTATAAATGAATGTGTAGGAATTTTTAGAAGCATTTAAATGTCGCATCTAGGATTATGACACCACCTTTATTTGTTTTGAAGTAATCAAAGCATTACGACACTGGCTATATGACACATTAGTACTGTAGACCTTATTAATAATATTGCTAAGTCTATGAAAAGGCAATTAATATGAATACTGTAATATACATACAGAACATACTGTATACTCTGTACAGGGTATACTGCAGTATCCAGTGAATCATCAGAGGAAGAATAAAGGCTATTACACGATAGTTCTTCCTAGTGACGGAGACGTATGCAAATTACAAATCTTGAGCACGATAAACCATCTTTAACCAAAATAAAATGGCTTACTGGATAAAGATACAAACAGAAAGAAAATAATGTTTAATTAATTCTTAACCATACATGAGACATCTGTATAGGCACATCCTATTATCTTCTGAAGGGAAACTCAAGATGCGGGACATCCTTTTTGATGCAGTAAGCCAAGAGTTGGAGAACAAATGGATTCTCCATCCATTCATGAAACGGCTGAGCCTCTGTTCTGGAAGGAAACTCTCGCAGCCCCTGTTCAACTACACCGTATTCAAAGTTCAGAACCAGAATACCATTTATTATCTGAAAAGTACACAAAGTAATCCTTAAATTGATGAATCTCGCCAAGGATTAATATTTCCTGGTGGCCTTCCCTTTCTCCTCACATACATTAACTCTTAATGGTTAAGTAAACTGACACTGTGAGGGAAGCTGACACCAAAGAAGGCTGACACTGAAAAAGGCTAACAATGAGGGAAGCTGACACTATCTATCGATCAATCATTTAACTCATCCACTTCCTAGAAAATGATTATCAATGTGATCAAATTACCATTATTGAGAGAAAAATAAATGATATATCACCACAGTAACAGCCACCAATCATACTGTACCTGTTCGCGTGTAAACCCGAAGTCAAAGAGCAGCTGGAGCACCATCTTAACATTGGCTATTCCATATTGTAGTTGAAAGTCTTCCTGTAGTAATTCTCTTGCCTGTTAGAAGATAAAACCTCAAGTTAGAGATACAGAATAAACAAAAAAAATATAAATATAATACAACTACTATCCAAGATCTCAGCCAAAGAGTTCTACAGCCTAGAAGCTCAACACGAATTCATGACAGCGTAAAACATATTCTGGAGGAGCCAAAGCTAAGTTATGTTATGGGGTATTATGCCTCCGTTGACTAACTGCAGAAGCTATTGATGAAAAATAAACAGAAAAATGAAACCTTAAAATGGAGCTTTGTGGTGTACGAGCAGTGTGAGTGACCCATGGTATGGTTAGGTTAGGTTAGAGGATTCTGCCGTAAAAAAAAAACACTTATTAACTCGAGTTACAATTGGAACCTCAAGAAGTATCCATGACGGGTTAGTTGCCTCTAATGATCAGTGAATACATTGTGTCTGGAGACTGAATGGATTCCTACTCTCAATAAGTTCCCAGTCTCATTTACCACCTCTCACTTCCCACCAGTTTTGCTTCTAACTTATGAGAGAAAGAAAGGTATCTAGATCATCCAGTTTACGGCTATATGGGTGTTTGTGAGTGTCCTATGATTTGCAAAAACCAGATAAGGCAAGAAAGTGGAGGAAAGAGGAACAAGCTGTTGATGGCATCCCAAGTAGGAAGTTCTTTATGTCCAGATCACTATTCCTTAAAAAGATGATAAAGGACTAATCTAATTACTTACCAGAGTCACGCAGTCTGTGTTTGTTAGATTCTCATGAAGGTAACATAAGGTGGATGTTCCAGCTGAATGTTAGGCCCACCTCATTGGAGAATTAAGTGAAAGTCCTCTGCAGTTTTTTAAGTTAATTGAATGACCCAAGTACAGTAATTATCTTATCAAATTAAAGTGTTGAGGTTTGTGATTGAGATCCATGATATTTGTAAATTTGTTCAGTAGTGAGTAAATGGTGTTTAACTGTAGACACAACCAGGAGAGTTTGTGATCCTTCTTGGTGCCTAAGGTTGATAACTTACAGTATTACACTTAACCTTACCTAACCTTCAGGGTCTTATCTTTAGAAACTTGGCATTAAATGGAAGCCAGATCAAGTTCAAAGAATTCCTTAACTAAATTTAGGTTCTCTTTCGTAATAAATTTTGGCGGTACTCATCCAACGACTAAAGCTAAAAAAATATGTATTACAGTAAATCCTTCCCTTTCATGAGGTTACGATTTCGACGATTTGCGGTAAGCAGCTGGTGGCTCAGGTGGCTAGCATGCGAGCCTTCTCCCTCAGTGCAACGAGTCACCCCACGCACCCGCAGCGTCTCATCTCGCTCTGTTTGCCCTCACCCAGTACCCATGACCAAGCATCTCGTGTCATATTCTAAAAACTTTTGGGTTTCTTTGTGAAAATGGCCCCGTAAAGACTGCCTAGTGTCAGTGCTAGTGATGCGAGACATAAAAGGCAAAAATCAGTGATGACCCTGACAAAGAAAGTTGAATTATTAGACAAGTTAAAGGAGGGGATGAGTGCTGCCGCAGTTGGTCGGTTGTTTGGTGGTGAACGAATCCACGGTGCAGTACATAAGAATGGACAAGCAATACGTGATTCTGTTCAAGTAAGTGCTCCTGCAAGTGCTAAAGTGGCGCAGGTTGTTTTTAACAAGAGCATAGTGAAAGCTCCAGACTTTCTCATACAAATGTAAGTGCAGTATTGTGACCTAAGTTTCTCATACACAGTATAGGTATACGTACCTGTATATTAGTGCACTAAGGTATTATATAAGTGACTATTTGCGGTTTTGCCAATTCGCACCATTTCTTGGAACCTAACCCTCGCAAATGGCAAGGGTTTACTGTACTTGGAAGAGATTTCAACAGAAGTCTTTACAACAAAACTTAAGGAAGTGTGAACTCTTAAAAAGTAATATCAGCAACAAGACAAATATTCTACGCTGGTCTTTATGAGTTGACAATCTATAGACACCTTCATAAAGTGACAAGGAATTAAGGAGATGTACAGTACTGTATCTTTTAATGGAGTGACTTCCTTATTGATCCAGTCATCCTACAGCCTTGAGGGGAGAGCCTTACAAGAGTGGGGGGGAAATAAAATAATTTGCTGACATGGTTCACCTTTTTTGACACAAAGAAGTTTACAGTGATCAATATAACAGTTAACCCCCCCTTGTGTATGGGATCACCTCTGAGCTGAATCATGTCACCTGGTGTTAAGCAAATAAAATATCAATAACAGAATCCTCATAGTGAAGAGGTTAGGGGAGGAAATAAGGTCTAGACTCAACAGATTCTAAATGTTTTCTATTTATCAATGAGACTCTCCTTACCTCATGCTTCTCTACATCAAGTTCCTGTGCCACGTATAAAATCAGCTCTGAAGAGACTCGTTGAATGCGATGAAACTTTGTCTTCACGCCAGTTTCCTGGAAAATAAGAACAACAGCTGTACTTACAACTATATAAAATAACATGTAAGGTCCTACTTAATGACCGATATGCATACATGAAAAAGTCCTCGTTAGGTAAATTCATATTCAGCAGGACCCATTATACCGATAGCATTCCATGTTAAAAGCTGTTGTGTTCCAGCCAAAATATTTTTGACCCAAAACTCCTCCCATGGCATAAACTTAGGTGCACTCCAGCTCAAAGGATATTGACCCTAAAACCTAACCTGGGGCAATTGTGTTGTAAGGTGGGGGTTGGGCCTGTGACACCCAGAACAGTGTAGTGTTGAGGGTGTTAATAGGATCATTTGAATTACAATATATTTTATCCTCAGTTAAAATAAAACCAGTTCTTTAATAAACACAACACACACTTCTCTCTTATAACTATCCCTACTGCACCATTAAATAGATCACTTAATGGCTACTTAGTATTAATGACAAATTCCTCACCTGTATGGCTGATGCTATAGTTACTAGTGATCCAGCTTCTGCAGCGTTTAATAACTCCTTAACAGATTTTGAGTCTCGCAGAATACGGAGCAACTTCTCAGACATACAGATGACCTCAAAAGAGAAAATACCGTTTATCTTAATTAAATCTCGACTTTTTTTAGTTAAGATTATAAAAGTTTGTAATTTTCTTCATTTGAAATTAAGTGAAGTAAAAAAAAATTTTCCTGAAGCACCAAGTTAGAGATCATCTTCATACTCTCAAGGTTAATCTCATCCAGTATCACATGAAACTGCTTGAGGACAGTACATCATGAGAGTTGTGGATATTCATAAGAGGAAACTCTTCCATTAACACCTTGTGTACGGTACCGCCTCTGAGGTTAATAAAATCATTTGGTGTTAGCAAAATAAAATATTAAAAGTGGCATCCCTGTAGTGAAGGAGTTAAGGGAATCCTCCCATCAATGGACAGGTCTGGCATAATTTACTCTGGTATTGAGACAGTTTACTGCATACAGTATATTACATTTTGTTCAGCTATAGACATTTAGTTGTCAAGAAGATAATAGACACCCACCTACCTTCCATTCAGGAAGCTCCATCAAAACTTGCAATCTCTTTTCAACATCCTTGAAGGCAGTGCTTTTAAAAAGGCGTAAAGTGTACTCATCAACGGTGAATTCTGTTACTATTGATAAAAAATAAATAAATTACTGCACCATACAGCCATCAGTTTAAGCAGCTTACAAAATTCAAAAGTTTTGTATTACAATGATGTAAACACTAAACTGTAACATATATTCAGTGGTCAGGAGGTTATCTCAGGAGTCTCCTGTACTTTAAGTCAGTAAGGTTGACAATCCATACATCCAGCTTTTAAGTTAATTCCTCCACACTTTCTGAACACTGTACTGTATGTTCCTAAGGTCTGTTGTGTTTGGTTAAGATAAATCAGATAAATTAAAACACAAAAACATTAGTTTTACTATACTTTAAAACCCATAGATTACAGTTTGGGAGTTTTGACCAAACTCTAGAGAAATGTTTTTCCAATTTTCATTTAAAGCAATAGCTATGCACATTGTATTCATGATAAGACATACGGTTTTCCTTAGTGGTCAGATTACAGTGGGGTATGCTATAACGAATGGATTCTACTACGAATATTCCTATAACGAACGGTTTTACCTATAAAATTGAGAATGCTATAACGAATGAAACTCCAACGAATTTTTTTTTTTTTACTAATTTATTGTTTTTTTTATTACAAGTATTAATGATATTCTTTATTTCAGGGGTTTAGATGCATATTTATGCACTTTTTTACAATTTTTACAATTTTATATTATATTTTTCAGTGTTAAGTGGTTGTATTTGGGGGCCTGGAACGGATTAATCCTATAACGAACGAACAAGGTTCTAGAACCAATTAGATTCGTTATAGCATACCCCAATGTATAGGAAAAGATTGAACATTTTCAAGACTTCCTGTTTTTGTCTAGGTTTAAACAAGTGAAAATAGTGTCCCAAAGACCTGACAGCCCTTTAGGGACAGTGTGGACACAGCACACCAGGAGGCAGTGTGACTGGCACTGTACTCACTCCCCTCAAGTGTAAAGTCAGGTACAGTATATACAGCTTGGTGGACTAGAGGTGCCCTGAGACTCACCTTTATACCTGTGAAGCAGAGTTAGCCAGAGGTCTATTTTCAAAAATGGTATAAAAAGGAAGTTGGGAAATTCCTTAATGATATCTACTGTTGAAGACTTGCCAATGTTTGGGTATCTTTCCAAAACTTTCTTCACTTCTTCAGGTTCCAAGTTTAACAAGAGTGGGTTGGCTTGTATCTGCAAACAAAAGAAATAATTAAGAAATGTATCAATGAACTTTTCTCTTTACCGTGTTCTCTTCAACATACAGCACCTGTACTGTACAGTACTAGTAAGGATAAAAAGCAACACCCTGCCAGTAGTCCTCCTCAGGAAGAAACTCTTTGCAAGAAATTAAAAACTGGATTTACTCTTAAGTCCAATTTAAAAACACTTTAAGTTGGTCAAGTGAGGAAGGTTAAGCAGCACTGTTGCCAACTCTACTCTATCTCAGTCCTCGGAGATCTCTCATTCTCAGAAGAGCTCGTCACCAATTATTCTGGATAAACGAAAAACACACTGTGCAAAAGGAACTGACCTATTTTTAATTTAACATCAAGCTCGCCAACATATCAGGCAGAACAAATACTACAGTTTAAGAAAATACTTTTCACACAGAGGGTGATAGACCTATGGAATGGTCTACCAACCCAAGTTGGGGAATCAAGAACAGTACTGGGCTTCAAAATAGCCCCTGACAAAATTATCAACAACAATGGAGGGATCCTACACTAGCTATTGGCCTCCTTCCCTCGGACTGGCCGCCTCTTGTGATTGGCCATTAGGTAAATATTAAGAAATCCAGCCATTCTATACAGTAGTACATTAATAATAATAATGATGATACTCACCGTTTCAAAATCAAGGCCTAATGAATTGATAATGATATCACAGATGTGAACGTAGGCAGCAAGTGACTTCCAGGTAGGGAGTCCAACCTTGTCAAACAACATCTCGATGTCATCAATGTCCCTTGAAAACCTGTAAGAGAAAAATTAATGATAAAAATGAACACCAAAAGCATTGGAACATAAACAAGTCTCCCCCCTCATTCCTCTTCTCTTTTGTGTGTTAAGTCATACATGAATAAATTATAGTTTACTGAACAACTTTACAAGAGAAGTAAGAGCATCACAGTACATCACCTTGTCAGTAACATCTGAACCTCAGTTTGGGCAGAAAGTCTCTCTCTCTCCCCCCCGTGCATGTGGCTATTTTTCTCTCATTATGTTAACTTAGTGAAGTAAAACATATAACCAACAGTCAGGCATTATACAGTACAGCTCCTCGTAAGTCGAAAATGCTTAAATAATACATAGAAAATCTAAAATGGGTGTCTCTTTTTCTTCAAAGCACCACAAAACTCTCAATTTTAAGCTTGCCAGTTATTTTAAAGTGAATTACAAACGAAAATTTTGTCAGTATACAGCGCAATCACTGACGTTGGAACTCGAAAATACGTAATTTGACAAAATTTTTATACGACTGAGGCGGTCATATGTCCGGGTGGTCATAAGTCGAGTAGGTCATAAGTCGGGGAGGAGCTGTACTTAACTTTAGTGCTTAAGCTGTCACTCATTTCACTAAACACATAATTCTCCCAATATTCTCTCTACTTTTCCATTCACCTACAAGACTTTCCTTCAAATCTTCATGTTTGTATATATATGACACTCACCTCTGTGCTAAGTAGTGCTTCAGAAGATACAGGTATATGTCCTTCAGAGGAACAGTGTCGTCAAACTGTGAGTCAAACTGGTCAAGTATATGTTGAGGAAGACTGAGATCTTTGACACTGTCTAGGAGGTGAGGCAAAATGTCATAGCCTTGAGAATAAACTCCATTGACTCTCAGAACACTTGTATTACAGTCCAAGAACTCCGACACACTGAAAATAAATCAAATGTTTCTTAGGTTACGAAGAATACACCATTTGTTAACTATTTCTAATTATCAAGTAATTTTCTCATTCCTGTATCATTAATTCAATCATAAACCTTCAGTGTGTAAATTAAAGTCTTAGTCACAGTCTGCCAAGGGTCTACTGTACTACATGAATATCACTAAATGCTAAAGAGGAATCCTGTTTGGGTTTTCAGTCACAAAAATACTACACACATCCGGTATCTGACACAAAGGGGGAAGATACTCCAAGAGAGGTACGTATACTGTACTTACTAAAATACCTGATGCAGCGTAGGTCTGTCAATGGAGAAGTCATGAAAGATTTGTAGGCGTCGTCTCAACTGACTCGGTGACAGCAAGAGAACTCCCCTATATTCCTTCACTTCCTCCCAGCTGTAGCCTTGACACTGTAGAGGCAACATCATACTCTAAACGTCATTGTACGACTTCAAAAAATCCTAAAGAAAATACAGTATACTTCTTGATGGGTGTGAAGGAAACACAGAGTTGAGCCAACATTCTTCATCACTCCAACGTTTCAGTCTACGCAGAACTCCTCAAATTCACTTCTCGTCGTGGATCAATCAAACATTTTCCACCTACCCAGTACATTTACTTATTTCACCCTCACAGGATTAATACCTTTTAATATGTCATCTTTAAAAGGTTTTATTATCTGGCTCACTTCCCTCTTCCCCAATACCTTGACCTCAAGTTAATCTTATCTAGTATCTCTTCATCTCTTGTCTCATTCTACCTATATTTACTTCTCTCATTCCCATCAAGTCTCAACATCTTTCTCAAGCTTCTTTATCTCTCATCATCTTTCCTTCCTTCTCTGACACATCTCCCTGATCAATAACACTCAAACTCTTACAAATAAACTAAGATTAACATGTGCTAGATATTTCCATACTGTGATAAGAATAAATAAATGAATAAAATAAATTAATCCATTCTTTAAGTTCCCTGTTTCATATATGGTAACTAATCTATGTCAAGTCCTGTTGAAATAATTCCTCAGTTTTTTACACAATCACATCAATTTTTAATCTAATACTTTACTCACATAACAAGTCTCATCTTCAACACTGAATTACCATAACTACTGTGAAATGGTACATAACATAAGTCAATAAAATGACTTACCTGAAGTATAGTCAACACTTCATCAAAAATTGGCTTCAGGACAGTTTTAATTTTGGGGAAATAAGAAATAAATAACTTTGCTTCTGGCTGGCTGGTCGTGTCATCTGTGGGAAAGGACTTCAATTAACATGTCTTGAGCCTTTAACCACCCTTTAACACCTGCACACTACCTTAACAATAATAATAATATTTACTCGGCAATATTTTCATAAAGGTTCACAATTGGCTATGTATGTATATAAAGTACACAGTTATATTGTTCAGCAGGGACAGTGTAGGTATACAACAATGGTAAATAATAAGGCAATTTGACCAAGGATAGCTAACAAGAACCACTCACTACCTGGACAAGAACCACTCACTACACTATGTCAGTATAAAATGTATCACAAGTAACACCATACAAGAACCACTCACTATAATGATGGTAGATGATTGAGTACCAGCTCCTGAGGTAGTGAGAGGTCTTGGTCTTCTCCTGAGGTCCTAAGTTACTGGGTCTCACTCGTGCCTGTTGTTCACCGGCCAGAGTCCTCGTAGCCATCAGCACCTTAGAGGAACATAGCTGTGCAAAGTGTAGGATTTAGTCCTGGTGTGGAGATTATTTAACGACCTAGCATATTTCATCTGATTATTAAACACCTTAATGCTACCTGAGGATAAGGTTAGGTTAGGTTAGGTTAGGTTAGGTTAGGTTAGGTTAGGTTAGGTTAGGTTAGGTTAAGATAAGTTGGGTTGGGTTAGGTTAGGTTAGGTTAGGTTAGGTTAAGATAAGTTAAGTTGGGTTGGGTTAGGTTAGGTTAGGTTAAGTTAAGATAAGTTGGGTTGGGTTGGATTAGATAAATGGGTTGGGTTAATGTTGGTTAATCTGAAGGTAAAATGAACTAGGGTGACTAATCTTCACGTCAGCCATCTAATCAATATTAATTAATTTACTCAAAAGATATTTATGTACTCAAAGCCAGGACACATTAAGAAAATAAATACATTCTTATCTTCACAATGGGGACAGCCTTACGAGACACACAAACACTCACCACTGGCTGTCTCCATGTCTGTCGTGCCAGGATATTTAACATCTTAGTTCTAATGATGAAATAATTCTGAAATATAATTAATTAGACGTGTATTAATGGTGCCGGACATTTAAATCATCCTGTTATTACCTTACAACTTATATCCAACTCTATCAACAATATTCACCCCAATTAAACTTAAACTGCACTAGGACAACTAATTATAACAATTTAATGTCTTGATAATATATGTCATGTTATGTGATGTTATAAAATAGTGAAGTAATACACCTGTACCTGTGTTGGTGAGAAGTAATACCACCAACAGGGTCACTAAACACACTTTGATATTTAGTAAAATCGTCCTAATAGTTAATATTAGTTTAACGTGTGTTTAAACATTGCACATAAATATTGTAGATAGATAATACAGATATATAATATACTTTGTAGGGATCATATGAAGAAACTCCCTCCTCCTAGTTTGCATAAGGGGGAAATTCTTGAGATGGGTGGTAGGGGTGGATGTTCTTCAGGTGATCACCATGACCCAGAGCTCAGGTGATGCAATCGGTGACAGGTCAATGGATTACCGTTACTGAAAGAGAGTAGGGTATCGAAATTTGTGTTTCAGTTATCCATCTGCCATTTTCCGAAGCTTTTTTTAGGTTTCCTTCCCAAGTTCCATGTTTTTTTTGTTTTTTCGCTACTGATTGGCTCGTTAGCAGCTTGGGATTTCGCCGGTCGGTCGCGTCTCTATTACGCACTGTTGGTAAGTACTGGGCATGTACTGGTTCCTGAATATATGGGAGCCTGCAAGAGCCCACACTCAGTGCCGTGACGAGCCCAGTCGACAAACCTCTTGTTCCATCGCTGATGCCTTACTTCAGCAATACGATCTGCCAACTGCCACTTTACTTCCCTATTCCTAGCCGCTTATAACAGCTGTAGGCCTATGTGGAAATCCTTCAACTACTTACAGCTTTAATCCCGTCAGCCCCACGTACACCACCAGCAAGACAGTGGGATGACAAGGACCAGTGTGGTAGATAACATGTGGAATAATAAACTCCTGTGATTAACAATGTAGCTCTATGGGTGTTATCCGCTGCCAGACTCCAACTACTGGTGGTTCTGGACCATGGTCACTAACAAGGAGGGTATCACTCTAGAGGCATTGTTCACCAGTTATTAGAACATGAGTTTATGAGATCATATTTTCACTATGTTTGTCATGAAGTTATTCGGTAAGATTCCTCATTGGCAGGTGATTATAAAGTTCAGCAGCGACGATAATAATGGAAAAACTCAATCTTCTTAATAACTAGAAAGCCGAATCATTTACTAGTTGATGGAGCCTGGCCCAACTCAGCTGCAGTATGAAATGCAATAACGTATTATAATGTCAGATTACTGTTCACAAGGTCATGGGATCTTTAATACTAGTTAATTTATCTTGGTTCTCTGTTAAAAGAACCATGAACCCATAATGTACCACGGTATTGACATTGAGACCCACTGATGCTAACAATGTTTGCTATTCTTATTATATTTTATCATATTCCTAACTGATCCGCTCGTTAGCCCTTATATAGCCTTAACTGATACGAAATAAATTATAAAAATATGTAAAGAATATTGTACCGTATAGAATTCCTCATTTAACCCCAGCATTCAAACAGGTATCTTATAATATATTGGAAGAAACTTAAAGTAACATTACTGGTATAAAGAAGACAAATGCTACCGGTGTACTGTCTTTAGGTCATCCAATACAAAATTATTACTTAAAGTATTTTATATATCTCACTCTAGGACAAGGTTTTATTTGATATTATTAAGTAAATATATATAACACACTGGTAGACATAAGGTAGTGTACAACAACTCCAGGCAGCAGTGTATGACAGTTGTTGTTATGGCTCACCTCCCTGTGTGTACATTCACCAGCAGATATGGACGTGAATTCGATATTATTTTAAATTAGTAATATTCTCAGCTATGTGGGATTTATCGACTTGATTTATTTAAGAGGATAAAGAGCGTGAGAAGATACTATTAATGGTAAGAGTGTGATGAGTGATGGTTAAGTGTGTGAGGTAGTGTGGGGTGAAGGACTCTACTCCACCTAACTAGTAAGTGATGGTGTCTTATAATATGTAATTCCCGTGTGTTTTTATATTTTATTTATGCCGCTTTAGTCTTCAGGTTAATGTATTGGAACAAAGTTGTGGAAATTTTTGAGAATCCTACAACTTTAACTTGTACCTCAAACAGTGGCCAGTACAACATGACTTACTGAAATTGTTTGGCCATTTTTTTTAGTTTTTTTTACCTTGCCTTACGGAAGAAGAGACGACTGAATGCTTTATTACCTCATGAAAAGTCCTAAAACTTTTGGAGGAACAATTTTTTTTTTTATTAATATTTTAGTGATTTTTTTCTCGATCCTGACAGTAATATATGACTGCTCCAACACCGTACTTTATTTGCCTCCAGGACGTTTTATTTCATCGACAGGAACACTTGGTTGAACTTTGGAAATACCACTTTATTATATGATCAGTCAGTGAGAATATGAGGCAGCCTTACCTACCAAATATGCTAATGTACCTAATTTTCTAACCTACCTCTCCTAGGTTAGGGTGAGCCAGGTAGAGTAGGTTGGTTCCTTTTATTATCGATAAATGACAAAATGTAGCAATATTTATTAGGTTTCCTGCAAAATTCCTGTGGCTGAAACAAAATGTCTTGAATGTTGTGGCATTGCAATGCTTGGCTGTGCATTATGTCCAGGACAGAAAAATTTGCACAAAGTATGGTCAATATTTAGAAGTTGCCGCCACGTAATTGACTTTTGAAAATAGGTTTTTATAGTGTAAAGCATCGTGTTAAACACAAATACAGGTTGTACCTCTCTAGTACGGCATCCTCAGGACCTGACCGGTGCCGGACCATGGAAATTTCCGGACCATGGAAATTAACCCTTTTCCTGGATATCTAGTGACTTGTGCTTACGCTTGGAAGCACTAGCACCACTTTCTCTGCTTCATGGTCTCTTTGAAGACATATTGAAGGGTTAAATGTCGTACAGTAGCTTCTCAAATTTCGCGAGTTTTTAATTCAACGTTTTCTATTTGAACACAAAAAAAAAAATAAAAAATTTTGACGGCGGAAACTCGAATTTCGGTGGGTTTGAATGGCCCACCAGCGTTCAGACGACGTGCACAATCGTGTAAACAGCGACATTTCTCTTATGTACAAAGGATTCATTATTGTTTATTACTGAAAGTCTTTTTGATTGAATTAATGTTTGTGTGCAAAATGAACAATACAATTCATTAATAATACGTGGAATATTAAAACACATGAGACGAGACGGCATTGTTTTCGTTAATGTTTACAAAACCAGTGACTGACTGGTTCTACATATAAAACTGAAGAAAATAAGACCCTGGCTGTAGCTGTAGTAAAATTAATGTAAAAAAATTAATATGGTTGTTTGAAGTAATGTTATTAATGTTAATAAATGGAACAATATAAGTAGCTAACCATTAATGGTTAAGAAAAAAGTGAGATCGCATATGTAACTGCGCACATGTGAAAACATATCGTCATTACTCTACATAAGAATATGAAAGCAACACTTATTTACTGTTCATATATATTTTAATTCATGCTTCTGAATTTAAAACTTAAATTCTGCCCACCAGTGGTGGTAAAGTTGAAAACATAAGGACAGCCAATGTTGTTGTGTGTTTTTACTCGGATGACGAAGTTGCCAAGTCATTAGGTTCAACTCTAGCTGAAGCCGTAGAACATAAAAACTTCTTCTGTGTTGTTTTTAGTTTTTATTTAACTTTATCTGTGTTATTTTCGTTGGTTTATTGGGATGTTACTTTATTAGAGGTAGTAATTCGCCAAAAAAGTAGGGTAAATAAGGCAAAATTTAGCCAAACATCGAAAGAACCAGACTCAAATTAATTTTCTCCATGGGCAAACTAAAATCGCTCCAGACCACGGGAGTTTCCGGACCACAGAATGCCAGACTAGAGAGGTACAACTTGTATGACCTTCATTGCTGTTGGAAATGAGCAGTAGTTGAGATATTAAAAAAATAAGTGGAAGGTCAAACAATGTAAAAACCTCAAAAACTAAAAAAAAGCTAAGCTAACCTAACCTAACCCCGAGTGTGTAAGAAACTTCCCTTAAGTAAGAGATACAGGAGGATAGAATGATGCCACTTGTGGTGTCTTCCTCATTGTCCGTCTCTTACCACAGTACCTGGTGATCTACACGGTACTAACACTCTGAATTACATCTTGGACACTATAGATGAAACGAGAACACCGTGAGCCCTCAAAATGACAACGGCTGCTGCTTCATTGTACAAAATGCACTGAATAATGCGGCAGCCAGCCAATGTACTGTACATCCATCTCACGCAGACGCCATCTTCCAACTGGCCGCATATGCTAATTAGCGCACGAGTATTATATCACATCAGCACTCGCGCTGATTGGTGCACATTACTATGATGTCATATCAACACTCGTGCTGATTGGTGCGCATTACTATGATGTCATATCAACACTCGTGCTGATTGGCCAAATATTATAAAATAAAAATAACTCAATCTATAAATTTCCAACAGAAAAGTTACAGAGTAAATTATTTTTAATTTCTCTATTTCCCCCATATATGACTCAGTATTCAGTTAGCTGGTGGCAACTTTTAAATATTAACAAAGTATATTTTGTGTAACTATTATGTATTTCAAGGACTGTCTACTGTATTGGGAAGGGAGGCGAGGCTGTGGTGGTGTAGGGGTACAGTGTGGGACACCTCGTACCCAGGTGAATCACACCCTGCGGAACATGTCAACTCTTACCCATTTGCCTGGTCAACTCATATCTAATTATATGCAAAGTATATACAGATGGGGTCAGTTAAAATGTTTATTCATCAGTACAAAGGAGTACAGTACAGCTAAAATGGTATTAAAATCATACAGGATCTTAAAACTGTGCTGTTGTGAGTTGTTTTACTTGACTTGTGTTGGGCAGACGTAAGCAGAAGTTGAGACACCAGATGGAGTTGCAGAATTACGAGTTTAGCTTTTTTGAATAGATGTTGGATGAGGACGTACCGCTGATGATTATCACGACCACAGCATTAATTAAGATGCTTGTTCCACCCTTCGATTAGTGCGTACTGAGTGTCTACAGCTAGACCAGTTCTCCACAATCCAAACCGTAGACCTTGGCCAAGTAGCATCCACATACAGGGGGTGCCCGGGTACGTTCTTAAGTCAGATATGTACGTAAGTCGTAACACATGCTATGTGCACACCGTACTTACAGAACAATGTTAAAAATCCCACTATATCAAAGCCTAAGTCCTTATATACATCTAAAATCACTTAATTTAAGACAAAGGATGAAATAAAATGACAAAATACAGTAACTTAAAGTAAAAAATGTCATCAGGTAAATAAAATACTGTAAATTTCAAGTTTAGCCTCGTTCTTATCGGCGGGCATTCGTAAGTCGGTGGCCTCCTGTAGTTGAAAGGGGCTGTTAGCTTCTAATGGGTGGCTGCTTGGGCCCTTAGACTATTAAATGTGTCGAAGTATCATCTTGGGAAGTAATGTAGGGCGAGTATACTGGACCGGTAGGCTGTGTGATGTCCAAGAATTCCAATTTGTCGATATAGCTACAACTTGACACTAATGAAAAGAACACCCCTGGATCTCAACACCCGGAAGGGACGAGCGAATGGATTGTCACACTGATGATTCCAAGTCAAACTCACATCAACATCTGGAGGGTTAGGGAGGGGTGACTTGAGATTGATCACCTTGTCATCTTTAGCTACGTCATCAACTCATTAGAACAGAAGCCAGAGGAACGTGCTTTATACAGTCTTCAGAACGGAGAAATGGGGTGCACTGGTGGTAACTGATAAAATGGTTGTGTACCACTTTGATGTTTGAGTCCAAGTATAAAGTTTGAGCATCTGCAAGAAGTTTTGATGTCAGCTCTCATGAAGTTGTGGGGAACATCACAGCCTGCAAGTTGGAGTTCAAGGTTCAGTGTCGTGGTTCTGCTGGACAAAATGATGCTCGTTGTCACATTAAGTATTTAGAGAGGTTCCATTATGGTAACAAAGAGATCACTGCAGACTCCAGCATTGTTATATAATGGTTGGTGAACTATGTAATGTCTGTTCTCAATACTTTGGCCAGTCACTTTTTTGTTGTTTCCTGCTTAAATCCTTTTTGTTTGCTTTTTCCCAGTGAATAATAACAGCAGCTGTATGGTGGGAATTTCTACACTTATCCTTTCTCAATGATTATAAAATTTTACCCTCCCCCCCAAAAAGTTAATGGCAGCTAACAAAACAACATTTTCACCAGGTTATATTAAGTGTGGTTTCTTAAAGTTCCAGAGTATTAAGGATCTACTGACCCAGAAATAATGTTTATGAATTTCAGTGCAATCCATATGACCAAGGCAGCCATGGAGCAGCAGTACAAGGAAAAGAGGAGAGGCAGTAATACATGTCTTGTGTGTGGCCGTCAAGGTGGCAACACCATTGTGGTCACCAGCGTTCACAGCTTTGTATCTGCATCTGGAACACCTCTGGCCGACTTCCTTGTTAAGGTACGGTGCTTTGACCTTTTATACGGGGTAGTTATATTGTTCTGTAGTTTACGACAGAACTGATGTGAGTGTTGATTGGCTGTACACATTGATTAGACGAGCGCTGATTAATTGAGAGACCGTAAACAAATAGGCGGTGATGTTTGGTTTGGTTCTTTTATCTATGATGGAAATTTGTATTAGATATTTTTTTTAATGTGCATCTATATTCTCTGCAGTATCTTTAATCTGATCTCTTGTCCATGGAGTATGTTTTATTATTAAATGTGGGAGCCAGTGTGTATATGGCAGCAAAAGTTTATTCAAATATAATTGTTTACTGCTCTTGAATATATGTATGGGTTTTCATGCAAGGAATTTCTTTGGTTGCAGGTTGTTGGTGAGGATCCTTGCTACTCAGTGAGCGAGGTCATATGTCAACAGTGTTTTGTTCTTCTCGATCGCCTTGATGCTTATCAGGCGCGGGCTGCAGAGATCCACACACATGTCACATCCAGGTGAGGGTCTGAAACAAAAGCAAGTATACACACATACTCTCCTCATATATTGCCATTCATTTATTCTTACAGCTGTACAGGGTATATAATAAACATACTCTGTTATGGTACTGTACTTCCCTTTCACAACATGACACCTGGCCCCATAAGCCACGCCCCTCTTGTATACTAATAGCTGATTGGCTCAGAAAATTCAAACTAAATGTGTTCACAATTGGTAAGCAGACCTGTTATTATCTAAAGTAATGTTGAATATATGGATTATCAAAATGCAAATGATTTTGAGGCATTAGCACTTCAGAGAGGATGTTAAATTTTTAAAAATATTTATCATAAAAGGTCAATATAAATCCTCACAGTCTGGGGGGGGGTAGATCGCTCAGGGGAACCAATCAATTATTTGTAGCTATAGACGAGGGGCGTGGCCAGGTTAGCGTGGAATATTGTTCCCCCTTTTCAAAACTTCATACAATACAGAGTCACCCATCAGCAGCACATTCTTCCCCCAAAATATCAGTAGGTGCTGAGCTCTCCACACACTAACATACAATACTGTTCCATGGTCACTCATTCTTCCTCACTTGTGGCTCATCCTTCACCCCCTTCTCTCCATCTCCCTGATCCTATTAACTTGATCTTCCCATTAATATCTTAAATACTGTACTGTACTGTATACATTCTCTCTGGTACTGCCTTTTTTCAGTACTCCTCTCACAATACAGTACTGTACTTATAAAGAAATTTACTAGGGGCTTTACATCAGGGTTAATCTGTTGAACCTCACAATGGGAATTCAATATCTGCAAACATGTTTTATTCCATTCACAAAATTTAGGGCATCTTCACACTAAATTTAAACCCTGGCTTCTGCCCACCAAATTGAATCAGGCGCAGAAATTTGTGGCCGCCAACACAGTGATGCCTCGGGCGTCTATGCATTGAGATTCCCACACACATGTTAGAATCAGAGCGAAACCTGACAAAATATTATGTATACTGTACTCTGTAATATAATATATGTTTGCATTTTATTTGTTATCTGTAATTTATAATTTTGTTGAAAGTAATTTATAAAGGTTACAAGGGTCAATATATCTTTGCAGATATTTTAAGTTCTAATCTGACTTATTGACAAGTTGTTATTCACTAGAGGTCTGCAACAATAGAGATTGGATCATCTGGTAGCAGCCACACACTATAGTTACGTCCTCTGTATTGATAACTAGATAAATGTCAGGGCTTATATTTATTCTCCAGATACCGGGACACAAAGCTGGAGTTGTTGGGGCAGCGGCAGAGGATGAGTGAGCTAATAGCGTCATCTCTATCAAACGTGCAGGAGCTACGACACGGAACAACACTAAGTGAGCCCAACTCCTTCCGTTTAATCCTCCTCGTCTTGTTCCCTTACTGTAACACTGTGCCGTGCTGTGTAACTTACCTAATTCCCTTCTGAGAGGTTTGGCCACTGCATATTCCCACGTTCTCTCATACAGTATGTCTACCTTCCCTCAGTTTTTTTTTTAAGTTTAACCCATTAGGCCTCTTACTCAGACAGGCTGTAGTCTCAACACTTTATAGACATTACTGTAATATTGGCTTATATGTCTATTATGGTTGAAACTATTGTACAGGTTACGGTAGGTTTTTTTTTTTTAGGTACTCTATGTAAAATCCACTTAAGTTACCGAACACAAAAACACTACAGTATCTCAACAAAATGTCAGAAATCATCAGCTTATTTTAGACATGTTGTATAATCCTGCGCTTTGTTGAATTATTTTCGGTTAATGTTTCTCCCTTGTGGCCAATTTGATAACCAATTGTTTCAGTCTTAATAACAAAAATACCATTATTTATTGGATTTTATGTTAATAATACAATGAATCCCTTAAATCTACTTTGATGATTTAAATTTAGTTAGAAATATAACCAGTTTGTGTGAATATTGTTGTGAAAAGTTATAGTGTTTGGTTATATATCATTGACCAAACAAAGTTATAGCTTCATGTGTCAAAGTTTTGTTTCTCGAGCTTAAGTGAAATATCTTAGGTGGGTAACTCTTATATGACCTTGGTGTTAAAGATGTTTGTGTAGCTAAGAAGAAAACTTATATATTAGTGTTATTCCCTAATGATAGATAATAGTGTATTCTGTTTTGTGTTTCTACAGATGTGAGCGACGAGCTGACGATCACAGTTGTTCACGAGGCCTTGCCGAGAAAGAGAAGGAAATACTACAGACTAGAAAATGGCTCCACAGCTAAATCAAAGGCTAATGTAGTTGGTGCAAATAACCTTTATAGTGCAAGAAATGATCCTATTAGCCAATATATTTCTAAAAAAATCAAAAGAAAGAGAGTGCCTAAGTCTAGCAGTGATAGTATGTATATTTCAGCAGACAAGAAAAAGAAATTGACAGGAAGTGGACATATATCTGTAAGTAATAATAATAATCTTACCTATGCAAATTGTGTCAAGAATTGGGTGGGCTCGGAAGGGAGTGTACAGTGTGGTGCGGGGAGGACAGTCAAGAGAAAGCCTCCGCAGTCAGAGGTTGACTTGAGAAACAGCAGCACCGAGGAGGAACTCAGCGACGACGCGAGCAAGGGGAAGCCTGAACGAAAAGCAGCTAATGAAGAAGAGGAGGAGGATGAAGAAGAAGAGGAGGAGGAAGATGAGCAGGAGGAGGGGGGAGGGGTAGAAGAATTAGAAGAGGGAGAAGAACAATCGGACGCGGCAGAAGAAGCGGGAAAAGAAGACGAGTCGAGCGATGATGATTCCAGCAGTGATAGTGATGACGACGATGGCTCGGCTTCAGAACAAGAAGAAGATGCCAAGAGTGAGGTGCAGTCCTGGCCAGAGATGGAACAGCAGCGGGAAAATGACAACGAGGAAGAAGATGAGGAAGAGGAGGAGGAGGCGGCAGGCTCAGGTACGGGGTGTCGAGCTGGGGGTCCAAACACTTGTTGCTCTAGTGGTGAATATTCTCCTCTTTCCGCTCTACCAAGGAACCATTGATAGATTTATTCCATTTGTCATTATTGTAGGTAAAGAAGATATTAGAGGGAACAACAGAATACACTCTTGATTTACTGATAGATACTGGCAACAACACACACACAGATAAAGGAATTGTTTGTAATTGTGTGAACTGACTCGTATATATCTTTAATTATATTCATCTGTTCTGATCATAAAAGGAGATTTCAAAATACAGTTCCCTAATTTTAGATTAATTTATATCAACACAAAGTTTGTATCTACAGTAGCTACAGAAATAACTTAAGAAACCTCATTATAAATTGCGCCGACACGTTTGACTTTCTTATGCTAATGTTTACACTCGTCTCTCTCACCCCCGTAATATTCACCAGCAGGGGAAGAACGTGACCCACAACACCAGAGTGCTGAGTTGACGGTGAGCAAACCTTCCCCCAACCAAACCAAACAGCAAAGATCCAAACCCCAGATAAAACCTGCTCAGCCACCGGAGGTCCAGAACAAGCTCGTCCCCAAGGTGGAGCCAAGTGGACAGATCCAACTCCCACCTGGTGTGTCTTGTTTATATTTTGTGTCTTGTTCACCTTTACATTGCTGTTCCTTTCTGCCCAAGTTATAATTGAATATGTTCTCAGAATATATAAAATAAGGTAAGTTGTTGTGTGGTTTTGTCCTCGGCGTAACTTGTCGAGTTAACGTGAACTGTACTATCTGGGGTCTCTACTGGTCTTGATTGTCAGGCTGTGTTTGGAAAGGATATAATACGTAATCCAGATCCATGCTCCTCTCCTTGAGTCCTTCTGATGGTGCCAGTCTGAGGGAGATGTAACTGGATAAATGGCTGAGTAGTGTGAGACTCATATTAAAACTATCCCTTGTGTTTCTCTCTTCCAGAAACTAGTGAGTCTATGTCACCTCAAGTAGCTGAGGCCATGTTGATGCAGAGCCCCCTGGCCACCTCCTTGCTGCAGTCCTTCCTCGCCACTTCTCTCTGGTTTGGCTCACCTGATACATCAAAAAAGAAAAAGTCAGGTGGTCAGACTAAACAGAAACAACAACACCAGGTAATTTGCATAATTTTGTTGAAGTAAATTATAATGATAGATTATTGTATATAAAGCTGGGGTGTCATAGCTTAGTTGAACATCCTTCTGCTCTAGGAATCAATACTGTACCAGGGTTAAGTGTACTGTACTCCACCTCTGTTCTCATAAAAAGGATCCTTCAACCTTTGCTGTACAGTTGGAGAAAGGACTCGGTTTTAATGTTGTTTCTCCATTATATACATGTTGGTGTTGGATATAAGCTTCTTAGATAACCCCAAAGAAGAGTGAAACCTGGTAATTGGTTCTGGTTCATATATTCCTCTCTATATTCTCAGTCAACAGTGTTTATTATTTCCAGGTACTGTTTGGTGACTTGATCCCCCACCAGTACTTGTCTTGTGTCTCTCAGTGGAATTTCGTGATAATATATTGTAATTGATTCACAGGTTCCCGATGACGTGACAAGTGAAACATTAGCAGTAACCGCAGGCTCGACAAAAGACAAAAAAAAGCGCCAAGAGCTAAAAAACACAGGCCAGAGCTACATAAATACGAAAGGGAAGCTGGTTGATGCCAAGCGGGTGTGGCCACAAGACTGCAGCAGGTTTGTAAACATCCTAAAGTTGAGAGGAATTTGTTTTATATTCAATCTCTTGTTACAGCTTATCTGCAGAGTATAGGGGATGTCTTCATACAATAACTTATAAAGATTCATCTGTGGGGAGTCACTTGGTGAGTCATTTTTGCTGGTCACTCATTTCATGGTGTAGTGTGAAAACCAGCTGTGCTTTCTTTATCTGAAGACAGTTTTCATTGTTTCACTATCTGTGTATAACTGTTTTACCACTAATGTTGAAGACTTGATGACAATGTTACTTGGGTGTGAAATATTTCATGCCACACTACAGGAAGACAGATTTTCACAAGTACACTACCTCATTTTACACTTTGATCCCACCCTAGTTTGTTAACAGAATTAAGTTAAAAGTATTCAGTATAGAGCACAAGAAGTATTAGAAAAAATTATGTACAGTTGCCCACAGGTATAGTGTTCCACCCCAAGGTAGCCGTTACGAACATGTGGCAACGTTGAAATCACTTTATGAATGACTCGATAAAGTGAGGAGAGCAGTTGTTTGATCGATGTTCTACTAGTGTTTTAGTTTAGGGGGGCCCCAAATTCATGGGGGCTATGTTCGCAAAATGGCCGCAAATCGCCATATCCGCGAATAATATTTGCAGACCCGGCCGGGGGGTTACATTTTTACTTGTGTACTAAGAGATGTACATGTATATTCCGTTTGTGTTTGCCTTTAAGACAATTACTTCTTTTACCTGTAGTATTGTATATGTGTGTATGTGTGTCTACACACACACTACAGGTAAAGTAAATTACTGTCTCTAGAATGAATGGCTCCCTGTCCCAGCTACGAAAATGCTGGCAACTTTAAAACTGCCCACAGACATTCTTAGGTATATCCAGGGTGTTATCCGCGAATAACCGAGAACTGCAAAGTAAAAATCCGCAAACTGGGGGGGGCTGTAATTTCAAATTTTGAATCGTCTTGTGGACCTAACATGACTGCAGCTGTGGTAGAGGATACTGTACAGTACTAACACCTGTCAGTGTTTGCTGAAGGATGAAAATTGGTAAAAGTCAGTTAATCTTTGATCACCTCAGGGAGTAGCAACCCTGTGTTGCCAGCCACTTGGAACCCCTGTTATAATGCCTAGCTCCCACTGTAAGAGTGGGTTGGTAATAGGAAGGGCATTCAGCTGTAAAACTTGCTTCATATTTGCCTGATGGAGCCAGGACACCACGTAATGACAGCTAACCCACACAAGCTTGGACAGTTGCCACGAACCATAAAAGATGATGATAAGAATTGGTCCAGTAACACGTTTATAAAGATGGTTGTAGAAGAGAATTGTACCGTTAACATTTGTTGTTCACGCAGACTATAATTTATGAGCATCTAAATGATTGTCTGGGTTGATATATTAGTTAATCAATGCCATTCTCCAGGTGTCCACTTAAGTGTAATGCCCGCATCAGTGAAGAAGATCGTCTTAAGATTTTTGCTGAATATTGGGGTTTGGCCGACTACAACCTTCAGAGGGAGTACCTGGCGGCCCACATGCAGCGTGAAGAGAAGCTGGGACCAAGTGGCCTCCTCCGCACTGTAATACTTTACTTCCTCACTTGTAGCAACAACACCAAGCTACAGGTAAGCTCTACAGTCTTCTCTAAATGCATTGTTTTCCTCGAGTCTTTTCTTACTGTGGTGCAGGTTGGCCAGAATTGAAAGCAAACACAGCCTCTTCTCTCCTTCATTGTCATTCGTTCATTCTTACTTCATTAACATCCATTTGGTTTATCTCGCCCCATACTACCCAGCATCACCCATCAGCTGCACGTCCATCTTCAAAAACTACTCGGTACAGTTCCCATCCTTCTTCATACATGGTCTTCCCCTCATCTCTGTTTAATACATTCTTTCATTTTTACCAATCTGTCACCCACATAATTGGCTTTATTTTATTGTTATCATCTGTCTTAGTCTTAGTGTGGAACCACTAGGTCTAGGGCTTATCTCAGCTGGGATAGAGTTCTTCTTAGTCCTTGTATGAGTCATATCTCTCAAGTCAGTTCTCCAGGGAGGACTCTGGATATTAAAAAAAATTTTGCCTGGATCAACATAGAAGATTCAGGCTTTTACTTATACCAGCCAAAAACAGTCTCTTTGATGGCTCATGGTCTTTCTTCAGTCATCTGTTAACCATATATAATTTGTCAAAGTTTTATGCTGTCCATTCTTACCTAACCCTCTGGGCTAAAGTGCATTCTGAGACCAGATGGCCTGTTAGAAGCAGTGCTGACACAGCACAATGTAGACTAAACCTTTTTCTGGTACATAAGGAGACAGCATAGCCAGTGCTGCTTTCAACAGACTTCATTTTCCACATCTGTAAATTTAAGTAGCCATTCATAGTTGGTTAAGGTGGGAGTGCCCTGGGCATGAACCAACAACCCTTAGGACAAGAGGTGAGCACCTGGCTACTGCCACACCCCTCTGCCATATGTAGCTAATTGTTAACTAATGCAAGTCTAGCAAACTATTTTAGTCACTGCACATGTTCACCCAACATAATGAGCACCACTCATCCCTGTGTCATTTTGGCCTCATTTGATGCCTCTTACAACATTTGTTTCATTCAAAAGGTTTATCATTTGATATATTCTTTATTGTTTGCAGGTGTGCCGACAGTTTTTCCTCAAGACTTTAGATGTGTCAGAAAAAGCATCAAGAATTGTGTTAGAAAAGATGGTGCGAGGAGAGCTGGGTAGTGAGGGGGGAGCTGCTACTCCACCACCAGGCATCACCCGACCGCAGTCCTCCCAGGAAGACCTTCTCTCTAGTAAAAATGGAGATGAAACAAATCTAAGTAATGAAGAAGATGAAACAAAGAGTGAGGGATCATCGTGAGTTTTAGTAGTAACGTGTTTTGTTTCCAGATTTGGGGCATTTTTATTTCACATTTCATCGGTTATTTGATAGTGTGCTGTCTGTACTTAGTCTGATACCACCGAAGGGGGTTAGAACTCTCGGTGAACTTCATCGTGTTAGATTTTAGAGTTGAAAAATTATGGTGAAGGGAAAACTACGCTGACAATATACTGACATATAATCTGATGATGGTTTGGGAACACAACATTTTTGCTTCTAAGATTAAACTTTATTGTTTTAAATGTTTGGATAATAGAAACTACTGCAAGAGTCAGGAGGCTCAGAGTAGCGTGTCTTTATAGTTGAAGGTGGCAGTCTGTGTCAGTGATTCACATGCCAAAGTATGCATTCCTGAAATCAAAGAAGGAACTGAAATATATTGAATTATACTTCCCATTTCAGAGGGATTGATCTCATCCTAGAAGGCTTATATATCTTGTATGTATATATAATCATTGAGAGATGGTGAAAGGGATACGGACAACACTGTGCCTTGTGGCTGTGATTGCCTGACATCTGGGCAGGAATATAGTAACTGGCTTATGTTCACCAGCATCGTATCATCTTGTTATTGAGTAAAGTATGGTAATAACATCTGGATATTTTGATCAACACACACACACACTCTTGTTCATATCTTCTCACACAGTCTATCTTAATAGCATGTTTATTCACTTAGTTTATTTATTTATTCACATTGGTGTGTGTGTGTATATATATACACACACCTCTCAGCCCTTTCATATGGATATCTCTCATGCATCTCTTCTCCCAAGTGCACACACACACACACACACACACACACACACACACACACACACACACACACACACAGTCATTGCCTCTATATATTAGTTCAGTTACTGGTCATCTTCACATGTCAAAGACCTTATCTTAGTTTTCAAAATACTTAACATATTTTCTATGATGGTTACATAATACAAGAGTGGAGCAGCTATACTATAGTCCCACTTGGGGGGGGAGTATAATGAGGTTAAGAGTGTCCTCATCACCTCTACCAACTGTAAGGAGGAGGTACAGTACAGGCTTAGTGAAGTGGTACGTGGAAGGTAGAGATGGTGGTCTTTGAAGACTGTTGTGGAACTTGATGTTATCTGGTTGATGCCATAATGTGGACCACGCCTTATGTCTCCTTTATACAAAATCTGTAAGTTTCTCTAGTCCTGACTAATTATTTATATCTTGGTAATTATTAGGTACAGTATCCCCCTCATGCTGGTGGCTCTGTCCGCCCCCCCTCGTGCTGGTGGCTCTGTCCCCCCTCATGCTGGTGGCTCTGTTCCCCCCCCCTCGTGCTGGTGGCTCTGTCTGTGGCTCTGTCCCCCCCCTCATGCTGATGGCTCTGTCCCGTACATTTTCGTAATTTCTCCTGTTATTTGTGTTTACGTGCTGCCGACGTATTTGTGTTCTGCTCGACCATCACAGTACAAGAAACATTACATGGGCACTACTGTACGTTGTGTTGTTTGGGGAAAGAATCAAGTCCTGGTTATTTTCTACATTAGGGACAAATTTCATGAGTTTTTTGGGGGGAGATTATGGGTTTTGTTGTGTCCAAGAGATATAACAACACCTCAGTTGATTTGTTTCAAAAGTTCTGGTACAGTACTGGGTAGTGCCTTGTGTTGCTAGTTGGTGGTCTTTATATAGGAAATCTTATAATTTTTTCTCTCCTTGTTTTGTTCATGTGTCTATTGTCTTGCAATATGGCCACTAAAACCATTTGGTGTACCAATTTATATTATTATTATTATTCACTAATAATTATGTTAATGGCCAATTTGAGAGCCAATTTTCTATGTTTTTCAGTGTTTGTTATTGGACAGTATTTTGATAAACATTTTATTTGCTTTCAACTCTGAGACCTTTGCACATATATAATATACATGTATTGTGGTGCATTTTGCATCTTTAACCTCTCCTCAGCTAAAATTGGTGGGAGAATTTTTTTTTTTTTCATTTACAGAATCTTGACTTCCTTTTTTTGTAGATAATATGTCAACAGTACCTTCAGCAATGTGAGTCAAATTTAGAGATCTTTCCACTACAGGTATATTGATTTGGATGACTTTACTTCCTGGTGGCTGTTTTGGGCTGATAGAATGTTAACCCCTCGAGGACAGTGGTGGTGGGAACCTGTGTTCATTACCCGCTGGAAAGGTGAATTTTGAAATTAAAAAAAAAATCATAAAGGCATATGTATCTTACCATCTCCTAGAAAAATAAACTCATCATTTACACCGTCAGAGTTCAGGAGTCGGGTAGTATATAAAGAAGCCATTTTACTGTTTTCTTTTGTTTACATGTGACTTGTTTGGCTTGAGTGATGTGGTCTCCAGTCTAATATACAAGAGTATGGTCTATAAAATGAAGTACCACACCAGTTACGTTTTTCACATTTCACTTTGCTTTTCATACTCCGAGGGTTGATCTGTTTCCGTGGTCATTTTACAACATTAATTTTCTCTTACATAATGTTGGTGCAGTCACTGAACATGAAAACTGTAGGTATAGAAACGAATTTGAAAATAGCCTTCATCATTAGATTTTCTCAGATTTTATTGAAGATTTGATAATACAGTGAGGTATAGCTAATTTTATAACCTATTGTTAGTCAAGGATAACTGTGTAGAATCAGTAAGTCAGTGGGAGTGAAAGCCATGTTCCCAGAGACTTTTGACTGGAATCTATAAGTTTAATAGATTTGAGAAGAAGAATAACCATCACCCATCTTCATACTGGCTTCCAATAAAGGAGACACCTGGTAGGAAACTTTGCCCCAGAGGTTGAAGGTGAACAGTGCTCTCGGCTCCACACTCCTGCCTTCTTTAGCCTCAGTCAGAAAATAACACATCTGGTTCAGGCTCCCTAGTTCCTCTCTCTCTCTCTCTTTCTCCTTTACTATAGCTGACACACAGTCCTAGTTTCATGTTTAGTTCAAGAGTGTTTACAAGTTAGTTATTTCCTAGCTTGGTAGTTGACCAGTGTGTTTGGTATGTTGGGGCCTTCATATCTCTACAAGTTTGCTCCTGGTGTAAGGGGGCCAGATGGGTGGTGCTCTCCTGTGGCTTAGTGTCTAGCTGCAGGATGTTAGTACGCCAAAGGGTTGTCCTCGACCCTATCTCGTCCCGCTGACCATTTTGTCATGAACCAAATGCTTTCCCAGTTCAGTTATCTATCATAATGCAAATTTTGTTCATGATTTTTATTTTGCTTTGTACATTATTTACAAACAACTGAGTGAATTTTAAGTTGTCTTCCAATTACAGTATTCTTGTTTTATACTTATTATGTCCTCGCTGTGTATACGTTGGAGGTGCACTGTTTATGTGTGTCCGTCCGTCTGTACTTCCGTCCCACCAAAATTTTTCTAACAGGACTATGGCAAATGTGTTCTGTGAAGGGCAGTGATTTATTTACTCAATTAGATATTTAAGCTACAATATTTTATGGTTTTTACGCTGAACACAATTCCAGTGTTTATATTTAGGATATAAAGTAGATACAGTAATCCCTAATTTATTCGGCCAAATGATATTTAAAAAAAAGAGTAAGAGTAAGGAAAGAATTTTTTTTTACATCCTCTCCACTTGTCACTTGAGAGGCACTACAGAGTGATGACAGCAACCCTTCCTAGAGCAGGAATGATGTACACTGTACTGTACTCACAATCTATAAGAGAATTTACTTTGAAAACAAAAGTTGCTATTTCATGTTTAAGTTAGGTCAATAAAATCAATAGATACTGATCAAGGAAATAAATTAGAATTTATAAACATAGATAATTATGTTAACAGTTCCAGGTATCACATGGAATGAACTTAATTTAGAAAGATAAGCAGTAATGATGGTAACCTTGACTGTGTGGCCCCATTGTCTTAATTGACCAATAATTTATCTCATCAGCAGACGACTGGTTTCTAAATGGCCAGCAACAAACCCTTTACTTGTGGTTAGTTAAAATTTTTTTGGGGGGGCCTTCTTCAGGATACACTGTTGCACATAATGGCATCTTGCAGTTGTTTAAGAGAGTATCTGCTGGTGTGTGTCTGTTGCTCATAGTTTATGATTGCTACTTGGCCGTACTAAATCATAATAACCGGTATATTTATCTATATAATACATGAATTGAGGTGGAGATGAGGAGAGGAGGGGCATTGTTAAGGTGAAGTGAAAGGGACAGAGATATAGGAAGGAGTGTTTGATCTTTGAGGAAGAACATATTGCTGTACTAGTGTGGACCAACAGGATTAAATGGGACTTGCTGTGGAAGAGTATCATAGCAGAACACATTACTTATAGCAGTAAAAATGAATACATGAATTATCACAACTGAAGGAATAATGAAGGCTTGTATTTGCTCATGTTTCTGCCTATCATTGCATAAGACTGGAAGAGGCTACCTACTCGTGGTATCATATCACACCTGTAATCATGTGTCACGCCTCTAATCATGTGTCTCGCCTGTAATCATGTGTCACACCTGTAATCATGTGTCTCGCCTGTAATCATTTGTCTCACCTGTAATCATGTGTCTCGCCTGTAATCATTTGTCTCACCTGTAATCATGTGTCACACCTGTAAACATGTGCCTGTAATCATGATTCTCACCTGTAATCATAAATCACTGCTGTAAGTTAATCCTCACTACTGTAATACATGACACCAGCAATCATATCACACCTGTACCCATGTCTCACCCCTGCAGTCAGGTGTCATAACTGTCATCATAAGTAACACATGCAATCACACATAACTGTAATCATACATCACAACTGTCATCATATATCACACCTGTTATCATGTCTCACCTATAACCATGTCATACCTGTAATTACCTACTTCATGTCCCAGTCTTTATAGTCATGAGCCTAAGTCATTATACATACTGCAATGTTTGCAGAAATGTTCAGTCCAGTAATGAAATTTATTTCTTGTTAGAAATGATACAACTATTTCAATTTGGTCCAGGTCCATACAGTAGTGGTGTTCTTCCTGGTCAGGTGGAGATCGCCCGGAACTATCAGAAGTTGTTGTTACTCTGAGTCATAATTGGGATTATTTGCCGTGTCTGGATGATTATGTCTCTGGTACAGTGCTCAGATATCTTAACATAAAGAAACTCTGGGTGACACCCTGTCAGGTGTGTGGGGTTAGGTTTATGGTGGCTGATTAGGGATGTTGGACTCTCCTAAAGAGAAGGTCTTATATGATGACTGTGGCTGTCAGTTTGTCTTCTTGAGAATTTTTTATAGGGATGATGGGATGGCACAGGGTAACAGAGAAGGTTAATGCTGTGCTCTGTGATGATTTATAATGTAGCCACTTGAGTTGTACCTGGGCTTGGGATTTCATTGTTGCTCCTAATGGAGGTAAAGAAAAACCTTGGATTCCTAACCTTCTTTTGTTTCATAAGTTCATGAGTTAACAAGTTGGTAGGACACAGTGTTGGTGTTCACAGTACAGTACGTTGATCATCATATTTTTACTCTGAGTAGTGCAGACAGCAAAAGTACTTTTATGCTACAACAACTAAAATATTTTCAGGACTTGTACTGGTTTGAGTAGTGCAATATATACAGATGAGGTGTGGCTTAATTAATGGGTTCTTGCAGCCCTCTTCCCCTGTGGGAATTCACGAGAGATGTGCTTCAGTTTGCCTCGGGCTCTTTTGTTCAGCCATAACCAGTCCTTTTGTGGCAGCATTAAATGTCAGAGCAGAAGCTTTATCCAGGAAGGTCATACCATTAGAATAATGCTCAACCCCCCATTAATCACTGGTGGAGTTGTTTGCAGTTAAATATTCATCAATTCCAAGTTAATGTGTGTACTACCCCTCACAAGGGCTCCATGGGGGTGGGTGTGTAGTTCTTTGGTACTGACTTATCTGTTTTTGGCTCTCCCTCATTTCCACCTGCAATTGAGAAACAAAGAGTTCTAAGATGTCTCAACTTTTATGGCTCATATTGGCCAAGTTAGGTTTTGTTTCCAGATTCAGCTTTGTCCTAAACCTCCTCAGATTCCCTCTGTGTCTGTGTACCAGAAGGTAGTGAGACAATTTTTGTCCATTTTCCCATTTTTTGTAGACTTCATGTTTGGGTTTTAAGGCAGTCCCTTTTTGTCATTTTTTTTTTTTTTAGTTTCTTGAAGGTCTTTCGAATTTGGTCTTGTGTTGGTACAACTCGTTCTAGTTTATGGGTTTGGGTTTTTTATTCACATTAGAACATTGGGATCACCAGATGTTCCTGTGCTTCTCTTGTAGCATAATTTCACCTCATTATATCAACAACATTCCTTAGAGAATGTCCCTCTAGAAGGCATATCATCAGTTGGGTTGTATTGTACCTTGGTACTATTAAGATGTGTCATGTCGGGGATATTTTTTTTATCTCTTTTTAATTGTAGTTGTGTTAATTTCCTTATTTGGATGTGTCACCTGAGCAGTTGAAATGTTAGTTAAACACCACCTCATTCCATGTTCACACCACATGATGGAAGGCATCAGACGATAAATGGAGAATTGATCATGAAATCTTATATTAAAACGCAGCCCATGACTAGGTGACATAGAGACCTTCCTCCTTCATCGGTTATAGGAAGTAAGTGAGGAAAAGAGAATTGAGCTGGGATCCAAGGAAGCAGATGTGTAATAACTGAGTGGCAAAGTGTGTTAACTAGTGTGACTTCATAGACAAGCAGCGTCTTCCCTCGGACAGGAACATTTGCATCTAGTTCTTCCTTTATGGGGACAACGGTTGTGATAGGGAGGTATTAATAATCTTTGGAATATTGTAAGGGGAGAGCTGATCACTTGCAGGATACTACCCAGTCACTAATGCTTAGGGTCTCCTCCATCTATGGCTTGCCAGGCTTCAAGTACACATTACTCAGGCCACCTGGCTGCAGGGCACCTGGCTTTAAGATAGAATTTCAGGATCATTTCCATTTTTGGCAGTTTTACAGACAAGTTCAAGAGGTAGTCTCCAAGTACAGTATTAACCTACTCTTGATCTCTTGGCGTACAATTTTGTTATTTAATATTATTTATATGAAAAATATATAGATGGAGATAAGGTAATGAAGTTGCTTGCCCCTTCCCGGTGTTTTCCAACTTTCATTGAAAAAAAATTGATATCAAAGAAATAAATTAACTCGCCAAAAGCGCCAGTGTAAAGGTGTTCATAGTGTACTGTCATCACCCTTTATAGTTGTGTCTTTCAGAGTATCATAAAACTGAAGTAATTAAACCTTGGAATAATACTTACGCGAGAGAATTACCCCAAAATACCCTAAAAGTTGATGTTCACAGCCCAAACAATTCCATATTACCTGCACCTCTTGGTCTTGTATTTGATTCCAATATCTTCAATACACCTGTTTTTTTTTATTTTTTTTTTTATTTCCATACTTTTGGATCAACCATTAGCATGCAAGGTGTGCCATGCTGTTCATTCCAGTGGCAACAGAGTGACAAGAATCAACCTTAGATTCAAAACACAGCCATTCTAGTAAAAAAAATTCCTTTATGACCACTCCTGTATCACTTCTTATCTACAACATTATCTAACAAATAGGAAAAATATCAGTTTAGGCCATTGTCATCCATAGGAGGAGTTGGCTGCAAAGTACAGAACGAGTGAACCAACGGGAGCAAAGTAATATACAGTACTGTATACCGCACTCTATTGTCCTCCCTATTACTGTATCACAACGAGAATGGAAAATGTGGTCCAAATATCAAAAGTTACCTTGCTGTTTCTTCTTTATTCATATTATGACCTATATGGGCTTTAGGTGAATGCCCATTTGTCAAGCAATATATTTCATCTTCACATTGAAACTTATCATATTTCTTATTTATTTGTCTCTTATTACTTCATTTCTTTTTACCCATCCACCAAAACATCTCAAATTTGCCTGTAGTGATGCATTCCCGGCGGCCTCGTCATTTCTTACCATATAGGTCCTACTGGTCGGTTTCTTTGGGTCGTGATGTTGTTATGACTTATTGTGGGTAAAACAGAGGTGTTCTTATCGTAAATGACAAATGAAACGAAACTGAATCTACGGCCAATTTTATCGGAGCTCGTCATGTTCTTTACCCCCGCTGCCTCATCCCTAACTACACATTCACTCGTCCTTCAATATCATTTACATTCTTTACACCCATACCTTTCCTGGTCACCTAACCTAACCAACACTCACTTTGGGGTCAATTTTCAGATGGTAATTTTCACTTAACATGCGGAAGATTGTGAAAAAGTTCCGAGACAGATCCAGTTTTTTGGTGGGGCTGTACATGTTAAAGATGAGAGACGAATGCTGATTGGCCGAGAGGATGTAAATGACGATGGCTGCATAAATGTTTATTGGTTCTTATATGTTCGGTGGGTTTTTTCTTCAGATATTTTCCTCTTCATGGTACAGTGGACTTACTATTACTGTATATGTATGAAAATAAGTTGTTTTTTTGTGTCCTTTAAGTGAAAATACCTTAGACCAGGCTCTGTTATGGGAGGTCTGCCTCGAGGCTATCATTACAGCCAAACCAAATAAGACAATCATGTGTCCATTAAAACTCTCTTATTCTTCACGTCCCTCATTAAAAAAATCCATCTGTTAACCCCTTGTGTACTGGGGTCGCCTCTGAGCTGAATAAAATCGTCTACTAATGGCCGTGAAATACTGAAAGTGGCGTCCCCATAGTGAAGGGGTTAATCAACTGGTATACACTCTCCTCATTTCATAATCAAATCTCACAAGCTTTCATTGCCATAAGGACCAAAACACATGGTAATCTTGCTTACTTTTACCCATGCATAATTTTCCCTTTAATTATTGTTCAGGTGCTTTGGCAATTTACCTGTTTATTAAGAGTCGTTACCATTCTATCAGACACACAGTACTTCTTTTTCTGTAAATTTCTCCAAAAGTTCATCATTTAAATTTTTTTTTCTCCAGTGGCTGAATATGTAACAAACCCCACATCTTGAGTCTCCATGAAGAATGTTTAGATTGAGCCTCTTTATTATAACTATTACAGTATACAATAGACTCCTGTTTGTATTTTAACACCCTGGATTGTTTGTACTGTACACGGTAAAAAAAAGAGAACTTGAGATCGTTATTTTAATACATACAGATATTGCCAGTGGTGCACGTTTTGTCAGGTGCCACGAATCTGAAATACCCTGTACAGTACCAATAAAATGTTTATATTTATCAGTACACACATAAGTACATCATACTGTATAATGAGAACGGTAAATAACTGCTATATCACGGCTCAACAAATAGGGAATGTATTTTTATATCGCACGGTATTGATAGTGTTGTGGTGTGAGGCCGAGACTGACCACTCACCCAGTTATGGCCATCACAACTATCCATACTCACTTGTTTATGGCCCCCCCATTGCAATTGAACTTTGATCATAGTACTGTATTTAAAATTAATAGTTACTAAAGATGGTTATATATATTGAGAGTAGGTGTAACAAGCTGAACATGCCAGGCAAGAGTGTAATGATTCCAGGCTGTGTCCAAGGGGAGTCCAGGGAACATATAATTGTAAAAATATCTACCAATTTTAGCTCAAAATTAACTCTTGACATTGTCTTCACTACATACATTTACACAACCTTATGTCACTCTCTCCTGCCTATGGAATAAACCTAACTACTGCTGAAGCTGAATCATACACATCATGTCCAAAATTAACCTCAAAATTGATACTGAGACATTACCTTAACCAGTAAAGTCATACCTTAACTATCTCTCTTCATATAATCTCCCTCACTGTACACAGCTAGCAGGAGTGGAAGAGGCTCTTATCTGATACAACTCTCACCCAATAAGCTCACCATGGTTGATATTTTAAGAATTGTGTTGTTCTTTGTTAGCCCTTCAGAGTTAGGTCACCACTAATGACCTAACGCATGACTTTTATCTCATTCCTGCACTTTCCACCCCAAATTGTCAGTACTTTAGAGAGTTTGCCGTACACGCCCTCTCCTCCCACATCCACTCATGGTTAATGTTTTATCAGGAACTATAGCAAAATACAGTCTTTACATAATTATACAGTAGACTATCATTATTATTTAACCATTTACAGTAACTTGTACTGTATTAGCATTTCAATACTAAATATATTTCCCTAATTGACCAGTCAGGAACAGTCTAATTTTTACCCTATAAGTTACATTAATTAATTCACTGTTGGTTGAGTCATGCTTCACCCAGGAACATTGATCCATATTTTACGGTGAGAAATCAGGAGTCTGCGGTGTTTGCTTACCTGTATCTGATGTATGGTGACTTAAGAGGAGAGACGTCTTAGCACATCTTTCATTCCTCTATACATCATCTTTTGTACACATACTATAATGTACTTTCCCAGGTGTGATAACTCCCACACAACCTTCTCCTCCCTCTTTGCTCATGACTCATCACACCCAGTCACTACTCTATCTCACCCTCTTCACTCTTAACAGATACAATAGAGGTGATGCCCTTGTGTGTATATTGTATTTATTTTCTCACCCAGACCTGTTCCCTGGCCACAGATCTCTAGTTATATCTTCATGTTACTGACAAGACAGTGATTGTTGTGCAATGTTACGTATCGTTGTCATCACTAAGAGTTACACGTTATGACTGTGTGTGTGTGTGTGTGTGATCCACGAATTGTATGCTAAAGTAATTTTTTTACTTCACCTACACAGACAATGAAGAAAGGTTTCACAGTACTGCAGACACACTTTCCATACCTTGCATTCCATAATGTTAAAACTTTGTAACAATCTGTCTTTTTTTATGTATATTTGTGTGGTATATTAATTACTTTCTGCATAGCGTCAAGTAATAGGAAATCCAATTATGCACAATATTCTGTTGTAAGGAGAGACAGATATTGGCCCTGAACCCATGTAGCATCTTATAATTATTAATAAATTGATCACATACAAGAACAGCACACTGACAGTTTTCTATTTTTATACTGTTCTTATCTTGGGAGAATAGTTTAATTATTTGAGTAAATAGAATTAATCATTAATTGGGGTTATTGAATTGGTTTACAAAATAGTTTTTCTTTTTTGATATTAACTTAATCAAGTACTAAATGACAGTGAAAAGATGATGTAGCATTTCCATAAATTACTATGTATAATAATTTGTTGGCCTCTTTAATAGGTATGATGTTATTTTCACTTTTATTGTATTTGGAATTGAAGTTATCAACAGCTTTTAGAAAATGCAAAGAATTGAGGCCTTGAGATGTTGGGAGATGGTCTACAGGACTTGTCCATAGTCTTGTAGGAGTCACTTCATTTATTGTTTTGATGAGCACTAAAATATATTGTGTAAAAAATGACTTACTTTACAATATTATTTCCCTTCATTTTAGCTATAGATGTTTAAATATATGACTAACAAGAAAAGATGACATTATGTATGTATAATTTTTTAACAACCCACAAGACATTGAATTATCTGCAGCACCTTCTGTAGAGAGCCAGAGGGTCTTTACATGGTATTGTCAGGATATGTTGTGTATATGGCCGATGCTGTGAGTAACCTTGTCAACCCTTCCTAAACATGTTTGAAGATTGATCCAAAACCCACTGTGTCTTCATGTTAGTGGTCATAAAGGGGGGTAAGACAGGGAGGCTAGAATTACAAAATGCCACAGGTATATAAGGGTACCAAATACTTCAGTTATATGCCTCAAAATTTCAGAATTAATGGGAGACTTGTATGAAGAGATGATAATATTGTATAATCAGAGAAGAGGTTCTTTCAGAAATCAATTTGTGTGATCAGCATCCAAAAAGGTGACACATCAGCCCAGGAGGTGACTCAGTAGGGAAAAATACATTATCATAATTTTCTTCATTATTTTTTTTCTCTATGTTACATGCACACGCAATCATTTATACAGAATGTGCAATTTTATTTTTGTTTTTTTAATAATTATCATAAGGTCAAAAACATAAAGGAAATAAACATTTCTTACGTGCACTGGCGTTAGCTCTCAGAGTGGGGGAGTGGCGCGGGGGGATCTCTCAGCTGTTCTCTCGTGTTCCATGAAATGATTTCCAAATGTTAATGCAGTATTTTTTCTTTTTATTGATCTATTGTTATTTTTATTTATTCCTCATGTTTAGTGTGATTGTAAAGTACTTTTGCTGTTTTTGTGACAAGTGACTATGAAGTGAGCAGTATAACTTTGAAAATGTCTAGCAAGTTGGTGCTGAAGGTTCCTGCATCTAGGAAGGCAAAGCTTGGCATTGTGTTGCGGCCCGGCTTGTTCTTAATGATGTGGTGTGGTGAGTGTTGTTTGTTTTCTATTTATTTTATTAGTGTAGAAATTTGGTTTTTTCAGTGATACATCTGTGTCGGACTGGCTGGGAAACGTATTCCATTGAACTCCATGTTATAATGACCTCAATTTACAATACAGTATTTTGATTTGTGATGTGGTATTGTGGAAAGTAACCCCATTGTAAGTGGAGGTTTACCTATATGTACAGTATTTTCTCAATTTAATGAACTAATTCGAGCCACCCATTTCCGTTAAATCAAAATTTATGCTAGATCGACCTTCCGTTATTTTCGCTCAATTTAGCGAACTAGTTCACTAAATTAAGCGCGATACCTTTAAATTCTGCGCCAAATGCGGTGCTTGGAGCATGGGGTTTGTTTACAGCCACTCGGTCTCTTAACAGTTACCCTACACAACATCATCTAACAATAAGTGTCCTTCAGACTAATGCCTTAGACATGACTTAATCATTTAGTTATCTTTAAAGAAATATTACAGAAGTGAAACATTGTGACCAGGACACAGAGGTTTGAAGTATCACCGGTAGAATCCAACTCCTTAACTAATACTTTTATCCTCTTCGCCACTGATCGGCTTGTTAGCCGCTTGGGCGATCGGTCACGTCTCTTTTCCATTATATTCTTCACCTTCAAGAGCTTGGGGAACCTCCAGCAACACAATCTGATGACCGAGAAAAATTAATACAAGTAACTGACTGACTGACTTGACCGAAAACTCTAACACACTGTAAAAGTTTTCCCATTTGATTCTCTCATCAGTACAGTACAGTATTCATTAGCCCTTTAACAATACAGAAGAGTTTAACTTTTTGGAACTTGATTTAACTATTGTGAAACTCTCTTAATCTGGCTTCTCTCTCTTCAATATTGTACACAGGAATCTGGTACAGGTAGTCCCCAGTGTATTTCACCTGAGATTAGATACCCCAGTTTATTTCACCTGAATTTTAGACACCCCAGTTTATTTCACTTTCAGATAAATCATTAAATAATCATAGCCTAACCAAACCTTACCTTACCTAACCTAACATAACTCTACCAGGTATCCACACCAACCTTGCTGTCTATACTGTACAATAAAACAAAAATATCTTTTGTGAAAATTTCATTAGAAACAATTTGGCCACAAGCCTGAATTACACCTCTACTACAATTATTTGCAGATGAACTTTACTTTAAGAGGTTTCTATGTACACTTTCAAAAAGGATTATCACCATAATTTAACAACTGTAGCTATGAGTGTTAAATGAGGACGAAGGCTATGTTAAATAGCTCTGGTAAGTACGTCCTGTTGATGATGAGATAGTTGAGTGAGGTGAGTAGGAACCCGTCAAGGGAAGAACGGATATATATCCGTCTTCCTCTCTCGAGGGAAGACGGAACCATCCATGATGGCTCTCAATAACGTCTTCCTCTGGTGAGTGATGTCAAACTACTGCCGCAATAGGTGGCCAGAAAGCCTTTGGAACTCTTTTTCAGCCTTTCTATTCTCATAACTTAAGGCCATTTAATAAACTTTTCCCACAGTCATTACTGAATGATCTTTGATGCATGTTATTTTTCTTTTTATCTAACTCAATTTGGGATTAATTGTATTACCATATTTTACATTTGTTGCCCATGGAACGTCATGAATTAAACAAGCTCACTTTATACCAATAGTAATAAAGTGTTTTTTATTATTAATAGTCATTACAGTTTGATTTTGTTTCAGTACCAAAGAGTATATTAACTATTAGTGTTATATTTGGCTGTCACTAGATATATTTTAATTGTAAATGAAGGCGTAACTATGACGTCACAGTCTTCTTTATGTTAGTTATTACTTTCTCCCGCTACGGCACAGGACGAGGTGAGGACCGCTGGTGTGGCGAGACGTGGCATGTCCTCAACAACACATCGTTCGAGTATAAAATAATATTGTTTGTTAACAGAAAAATACCTGCACACAAGAAGAAATTGTAGTAAATCTGAATAGAGATATAGTGATCGTTCAGATGTGTATGCATCCTGTGAAGAGGAAAAAAGAAAAGGAAAAGTAACAGACGTGACCGATCGCCCAAGCGGCGTGAGGTGAGGTGAGGTATATGATGGTGAGGTATATGATATACTTAATTAGAGGTCTACTTACGTGTAAGTAACAGAACTACACTGACTGCATATAGGTTACACTCTTAAGTGTATACAGTAGTTACACTGAGGCGCAGACCAAGTTTAACTTGCGAACAATTGTGATTATACGCTTTACACCTTTACAGTAAACTAAATTTAATAAAACTACAATTATCTAACTGAAACCGTAACTAACATACCAGTAAATGTGATGCAAAGATATAGATACCATCTATATTGCAACAAATAATGCACAAAAACTGTAAATCATGTATCACAAACATCATCTGAAGTTACCATCGATATACAGTGCTCTTCTTTGTAAGCCTATAGCTTCTATATCGAAATTTGGCACTTTCAATGTTTGTTTTCTGATTTTACACAATTTGTGTAATATATATTTTATGTCGTAGTTCTAATCAAAATACAATCGTACTTTACCAATCATGTCTCACTATCTTCGTTTGGTTGCTGTAATTTCTTCAGCTTGCATCTTTCACTGCTTTACAATATAGTGTTCAAAATAGCCTTTGACAAAACTATCAAGAACAGTTGACTCTGGAGAGATCCTTCACAGAGCAATGGCTTCCTTCCTTCGGCATGGCCACCTCTAGTGGCTGGCCATTAGGTAAATAAGGTAAAATTGGTTTTGGTCCCTGGGATATACTAAAGATTTTCCCGCTTGGGATATTGATCTCCGAGATATGCTAAGACTCCGTAAACTGAAAATATCCAAAGGAAGGCCACCAGATTGGTGCCTGCACAGGGCACCTCAGGTACCCAGAGGGATAAGAACACCTCCAGTTGCCTACTATAGACGGGCAAGGAGTGCTTTAAGATAAACACCTCAAAGGACATTACTAAGTCAAGTCAAGTGATCATGTGGGGTACAAGATGTTGGTTCTTTCTCCTCCATCCTGTGTGAGTGGTCACTCCGGGGTCACCATTTGTGGGGTTATGAGATATTTGGTTCTCACTCAGGATGGGATGGAGAAAAGAAACTCACAATGTGCTCTCTGTATACATGTTGTATTCGATGTACAATGCTGGGAAGGCAGCATGGCTACAAGCGCTGAGTAGAGAGAGCTGGTTGGTGAGGATGCTCAGAGGAGGACCAGCTTGTGGGTCGCCATGCTCGCCGGCGGGAGAGAGGACCGCCAGGTAGGAGCGGAGGAGGAGTAGCTAGAAGAAGAGGGAGGTCACCACGAGGTTAGGTCTTATATAGCGGAGGTAGGCGTGGCTTAATAGTTGACCTCCGTGATGTAAGGTGGCGCTGGTTGACCCAGACCACGAGGCATACACTGGGGAATTCGCGGGGTCGGCTACTCAGCGACAAGCGTTTGTAGGGGAGGAATCCTCTACAATCATTTAGGGTACCGTCCATGCTTTGCCTATAGTTGCCGTTTTATTTAGTATCAGTACCCAGTTTCCGAATTTTTATCAAAACTTAACATTAAATTAGCCTAACCTGACAGTTACCTGATCGAATCGATCCATAGTGAAAAAAATCACATTCCAAGGACTGTCTTTCAATCATGCGAGCCAACAGGGACAAATAGTAAATGTTAATTATGACAGGCAAAGCATCAACTAACCACCACGGTATATGAACTCTTTGCACGGAGTTGTAACCGTAACTGAGTTCTAACCCAACGGCTAAAAGCTGGTAAGTAGTGAAATGTTGGATAAAACAAACTAGTAAGTAAAGCAACAGATCATGAGGCTTGTTAGCGACAACTTGGGTCGTTGAGTGATCTATTTCTTAATTCCTGTTCACATTTCCAGTTATAGAATATATCAATATAAATTATATTCTTATTATATTTATCAATTTCAAATATTATATTTTAATATTGACAAAATGAGCTAGGCGACGTTGCAATTAAAATAAATTGAAAATCGAACTCAAGTCATGACGTCATTCCAACTGTGACGGTTTGTTTGTGTGTCCGGCCGTGGCTCAGGAAACAGCGAGACCGTCTGGCTCAGGGAGGACACTTACATATGTTCAGACATGAGGCAGTTTGTGATTCAAGTGGTCATTCCTGTGACTCTTGTGATATGTATTCTTTTTTCACTTCCAATGGTGTGTGGCCACGGCCATAGTCATGACCACCATGGCCATACTCATGACCATCATGGCCATACTCATGACCATCATGGGCAGGTACAAGAAGAAGAAGAACCTCCGGCATTTAAATGGAGTAAACAAGCAAACGAGCCTTATCAGCGAGAAGAACCTGTTCACGAGGAACCACACGTCCACCATGAAGCAGATGGTTCAGCTCCTGTCACGCCACAGAAAAACAATATATGGCTGGAGGCACTTTGTGCTACTCTAGTTATTAGTATTGCTCCATACTTGATTCTTTTCTTTATTCCCGTGACAAACAGTAAAGAACATGAGCCGTTTCTGAAGGTCCTTCTTGCATTTGCCTCCGGTGGTCTTCTTGGAGATGCATTCCTGCATTTGATTCCTCATGCACTCATGGCCAAGGCAGCAGCTGGTGGTGACTCACACACTCACTCACACTCACACTCTCATGAAGCTGACGGTGAGGCTGGTCACTCCCACGATAATAGCATCGGCTTGGCTGTGCTGGGGGGCATCATCGCATTCCTCGTTGTGGAGAAATTTGTGCGCATCTTTAAGGGGAGTCATTCGCACTCCCACTCTCATGCTGTTCCTGCAGTACAAAATGAGAAGACCAAGACAAACAGTGGAGAGAAGACTGATGATGAGAAAAGAAAAAAGAATGAAAAAAAGAAAAATTCAAAACAAGCCGATAAAAAACCTGAAGGTAAGTCTGTATGTTGGTATTTGTTTACACTCCTCGACCGGCAGCCAGAGGACCATTTTGCTATAGGAGACAAAGGCATTTTTACCTCAAGAAAAGGGCTAAATCTGAGCGAGGAAAACGTGTCGATATTACTTGTACAATTTTTTGTTTTTGGTATTATCGTTCCGGTCATCTGGTTAGGTTAGGCTAGATATCCAAACTTAGTTTCTCTGATGGTTTTTGAGGTGTTTTGAAAGATTTGGACCTTCATATCTGTCAAAAATCACTAGTTTTGTGGTTTTCCCCCACCCAAATACAGGGGTGACCAAAACGATAATTTTACTGCCACCAGCATCCTAACCCGGGGCTTAAGGGTTAAGTAGTTTTCAGTCTTCGTCTGTGAAGAGATGTTATCTGCGTGAAACCGAATTAATTATGAGTGTGTTTACATTACGTATGCGCAACGTTGACTGACATCATCCAGTCGTGACCAATGATGTATCGATCTCATCATGCAATTTTTTCTTAACCAATTGCATTTGAATTTGTTCAAAGGGAGCAGCCTGGGTGTATTTAAAAGGAGTGTCCATACAAATAATGACTGTGAAGGATGGCAAGAAAAGGACAACTTAACTTCTATCTGTTAATCAAGCTCCTCCATAATGAAGCAAAACTATTGACACTCCAGGTATGGGTCAAGTATGTAACTCACCAAGGACAGCTCTTCACACTGTGGGATGAATTCAGTAGTGGACGAAGATCTGCTAAACATTAGCTACGAGCCGTTTATCACGTGACTGTTTATCTGTGATTTTTGTACTTTTATGCTGCTTTTTTTCATTGTACTTTTGTACTTTTATCATTCATGCAAAAATATGTATAAAATGTGTTTATTAACTCAAGTGGTTCGAGTTGGTACAGTAAACCCTCCAGTTTGGCGACCAATTAGTGCCGAAAAAACTTGCCAAACCAGAGGGCTTAATCCAGTGGGAAAAAGCCTAATTCGTACCGAGGGGCCACCCAAAGTCTTCATTTTTTCCTGTTTTACCCACATGTAACCAATATTTTATTGCTGAAAGAGAATGAATTATTAGTTAATCAACATAAACATAGAAAACCAACCTTAAAATTAAAGTTGAGGAGCTTAATGCACACTAACCTGGTATCTGAGTACTTTATCATTCTTCCAAACTGAAAGTTTGGAAGTTGAACATTCTTAAGTAGAGGAGCACCTGTACTGTAGTACCTTACCTTATTGCAGTACTGTATTGTACTTGGGCTTTGTGTTCCTCGTAGACGTCATCCTCTCGTGCCAACTCATAATAAAGCAGTATTGCTAAACTATCATTTATAAAATTAAGAAATTAAATAAAATACCTCATAATTATTCTATATAATTTTTATTTTGCATTTGACCCCAAAAAATGCCCAAGTAACAATTTTGGTATTTTTCCAACGGGCCACAAGGGCCGGTACAACGACGTCACAGTCAAGCGGCAGCACTGCCCCCAGATACTTTTGAGGCCATTATTCCACGCGAGAACACTGTGCCAAGCGAGAGGAAGTAAAAAAAAGAAAGACAAAGCCCAAGATCACTCAAGCAAGCAGCGGGAATGTTGATTGATGCTTTCAAAATGGTTGCTGAACAGCTGACTGGCACTTTGTGCCCAGTAGTATTAAGCGATATTTATCTTGCACTTATTATTTTACAATTATTAGTTGTGATTGCATTTAAATTTTAACTCTAGCCAAAGGTGAGGGTTTGGTCGCCATAATGGAGGGTAGGGTACTTCGAATTTAGACCACCAACTTCTAATTCGCCTAACTGGAGGGTTTACTGTTTTTGATGGTCCGTGTAGTATGTGGGCCGAGTTGGTCTGTAAAACAGCTAATTTACCAAACAGAAATAAATTTAGTTACTGGTATCATGAAGGGAATGGGACCAACCCTTTATGCACAATTTTGTATTTCAGCATCAAATTCAAGATTATTTTCAGGCATAATCACGTGGCAACCAGATAGTATTTCAGGTTACCGGCACATGTTACCTGAAGTTATATGAAATGTCCATTACGGGTATTTACAGTTACTTGTTAGTCTGGAAGTAAAGGTTAACACAGTACTGCACTGTACTTTGTTAGTCTGACACTGTAACTTCTGTTCAGTATCTGTATTTCAGAAGTTTTACTATAGGAAAAGGTTATTTGTTAATTTCAAATTAGTTGTTAAAAATTTTAAATTTAATTTAATGGACTAAGATACATCATTATTATATTTTACCCATACCTGTTACTTACTGTACATGGTTTAGGTGTCATTACTTTTTATTTATTTATTTATTTTTTACAGGGATTAGCCCACCTGGGCACAGGTCACTGACCCACATCGTGGCCTGGGGGGCAAAAATTTTATAATAATGACAATAATAATAATAATTAGTCATAGTAAATAAAGTTTATAATAAATTAAAAAATTAAATAATAAGAATAACAACAATAATAATAACACGTGATGGCATAGTGTCCCAGTTGCTAACAAAAGTGAAGGTACAGTACGTCTGCGGAAGTATGAATTATTAAAGAAAGAGGTCGTTTCTCTACCTTTGTTGGTGGAGAGTAAAATGACCAGGTGATAACTAATGGTGGGAAGATATCGTTTCCTTCCACCGTGCCTTAACCCCCTTGTGTGCGGCCTACCCTCTCAGCTGAATAAAATTGTCTGGCATTAGCTAAATAAAATTGGTGTCCCTGTAGTGAAGGGGTTAAGTAGAAAACACTTCAGAATACATACGCTATATATTTATACTTCGGAGTTTTGCTAGTACAGTACAGTACATTATGCTTGTACAGTACAAGTACTTATAATTTATTTCTTTAAAAGTAAGGCATCTGCATTTCATTTAATGACATGAATTGTTATTTTACAGGAGATATAAAGGTTGCTGGATACCTCAACCTGGCTGCTGACTTCACACACAACCTAACTGATGGGCTTGCAATTGGTGCCTCATTTCTTGCCGGCAAGAATGTTGGGATAGTCACCACAGTCACCATCTTTCTGCACGAAATTCCTCATGAAATTGGAGACTTTGCTATTCTTTTACAATCTGGATGCAGCCGAAGAAAGGTGAGTACAGTACAGTACAGTACATTATATTGGTAAGGTTAATTGAGGCACCATGGGACCTTTAGGGTAGTTCCCTGAATATCTGTGTACAGTATATATAATTCAAGCCTTCAGAGATTTGCACGAGACAATAAAATATTTAATATTCATAGCAGGCATCTACTGTGAGCTGCAGTACAGCCTAAACTGGTGAACAATACTCTGCCAGCTTACTGCATTTTATTTCTCTTTTATTTACAGTATTGTGCATAAGTTCTGTAAATAAACATGTAAAGTATTTGCTTACATTATTAATCACTGTCTTACATAAATGTCACAGTGTGTTCCTCCTTGAAGTGGGTTTAAATAGCTTACTGGTAAGTTTTCTTCATGAATATTAATTATTTCTATACAGTATTTTTAACTAACTCATAAAAGTATGAAGACTGGCCATAAATCATTGATGATAATTGGTATTAGTTTATAAGTGTAGTTTAAATGTATCTGTACTGTACTGTATACTGTACAGTACTGTGCTGTATACAGTTTTTTGTACTGTACAGTGTGTTTTATTTTGTGTTTAGTGAACTATTAGACTTTACTAAGATTAAACCAAAAAATTGTATTTTTAAACTGTAAAATTCTTGAAGATTTTCCATTATTGTACAGGTTGTACCTCTCTAGTCTGGCAACCTCAGGACCTGACCGGTGCCGGACCATGGAAATTCACCCTTTTCCTGGATAGATAGTGACTTGTGCTTATGCTTGGAAGCACTAGCACCACTTACTCTACATCATGGTCTCTTTGAAGACATATTGAAGGGTTAAATGTCGTATAGTAGCTTCTCAAATTTCGCGAGTTTTTAATTCAACGTATTTTATTGGAACACACAAAAAATAAATAAAAATTTTGACAGCGGAAACTTGAATTTCGACGGGTTTGAACGGCCCGCCAACGTGCAGACGACGTGCATAATCGTGTAAACAGCGTCATTTCTCTTATGTACAAAAGATTCATTATTGTTTATTACTGAAGTCTTTTTTATTGAATTAATGTTTGTGTGCAAAATGAGCAATACAATTCATTAATAATACGTAGAATATTAAAACACATGAGGAAATGACACAGCATTGTTTTCGTTGATTACAAAACCAGTGACTGACTGGTTCTACATATAAAACTGAAGAAAATAAGACCTTGGTTGTAGGTGTAGTAAAATTAATATGGTTGTTTTAAGTAATGTTATTTTATGTTAATAAATGGAACAATAGAAGTAGCTAACGATAATGGTAAAGAAAAGAGAGATCGCGTATGTAAGTGCGCACACGTGAAAACATAAGAATATGAAAGCAACACTTATTTACTGTTCATATATATTTTAATTAATGTTTCTGAATTTGTTTTTATTGAATTAATGATTGTGTGTGCAAAATTAACAATACAATTTATTAATAATGAGGAGACGAGACGGCTGCCGGCATTGTTTATGTTAAAGCTTACGAAACCAGTGACTGATTGGTTCTACATATAAAACTGAAGAAAATAAGACCCTGATTGTAGCTGTAGTAAAATTAATGTAAAAAAAAATTAATATGGTTGTTTGAAGTACCTGTAATGTTATTTAATGTTAATAAATGGAACAATATAAGTAGCTAACCATTAATGGTAAAAAAAAATTGAGACTGCTCGTATGTAAGTGCACACATGTGAAAACATATCGTCATTACTCTACATAAGAATATGAAAGCAACACTTATTTACTGCTCATATATATTGAAGGGTTAAATGTTGTACTCTGTAAAGACAAGCAGAGAGAGCAGCCGAACTGCCGGATGTAAACAAACCTTAATTTCCCGCGGCTTTGTTGTTGTTGTTTTTTTTACGGGGATTAGCCCACCCGGGCATAGGTCACCGACCCACATTGGGTCCTGAGGGGCAAAAATTTAATACTCCTGTAATAATAATAATAATTCAGAAAAAAAAAAAAAAACTGCCTATTGGACAAACTGAAATCGTTCCGGACCACGGGAGTTTCCGGACCACAGAATGCCGGACTAGAGGGGTACAACCTGTATTGTGAAATTTTCATCTGTATCTCAAAAGTTGTTCCTTTCTTTTTGGGTTCTAATAATGCATATTTCTATATCAAGTATCGTGATGGATATATGTAGTATTTATTTTTATATACTTTTATATATCTATTTATTTTTATTTATTAACATACTTACTTTTATTTATTTATTTACTTTTATTTCAGGCTATGATGCTGCAGCTGGTAACTGCTTTTGGTGCTCTAACAGGCACTGTGATCTCCTTATTGGCTGATGGTGCAGGTAACATTCACTTTACTTTTAGCTGCATCAGTTACCTCCACTAACTAACTGACGCAGTGTTGGACTGAAAGAGTAATTTTAAGATATGCAAAAGCGTTGGATATACTGAAGTTCTTGTGAGGAAGTTTTATGATGTGTGGATCATTAACATGTGACCAGCCAGTAAAACTCCTGGCTGAACTTACCCTTGCCAGAGGTGAGGATATAGCCTTTGCTGTAAGTATCCCCCTCACCTAGTTTATTGACAGTCAAAGATTCATCCCATTGTTATGGCATTTGTCTCAAGGATCAGTGAGGCTGCTGATCTGTTGATGAAAACCTAAAAATTAGATTCAGGCATTTTGATCGCCTTCAGTCTGAAAAGGAAGTTTATATTGTACTACAACCCCAGCAGTTCCTGTCGTGACATTGCCATTGATACTTGTGTACAGTTTGAGCTTTTATGATCAAATTTTTATGTGAAAACTATGGGGTTAAACTATATATGCATAGTATTTTTGAGTGGTTAAAATTTAGGCATTTCCTTGGGCCATTTATAGTGAATGGTAGCTACCCAGTATATGCCGACACTGCTAGTAAGCTCCTTTATCCTGGTCTTGCCACCATACCTCTAGATTCTTTCTTTATGTTGCTACATGGAGAACAGAACCTCGTCCACTATATACAGGTAACCCCCGTTTAACGATGGGGAGGCGTTCCTAAAACCCTAACATTAAACAAGGGACAATATAGCATGTAGGTGGAATGTTACCATTATTACATGTGGAATAATCATTACAATACTCTAATGTGGCTTACAAATAATATCAAACCATACAATAAGACAAGTTAAGAGCAGGAGTGTTTATGTGTGGCAAGTGATTGTGTGCGTGGTCTCGTGAAGGCAGTGAAGTGCTACAGTTATTTTTCCACTTGTAATTTTTGGTAGATATGTGTAACTTCATTTTTTTCACACATTTACTGGTGTATATTATTTTATCTTATTCCTCATAGAAGTTGATAACTGCCAGGAATTCAGTTTCAGAGTTGGTAACACTGTTCATAGCGTCGGCTGTTGTGGTCACGGCCAAGACTCGTTGGTGTGAAACTGGCGTCTTGCTACAGATTGTCTTGGATTAGGCCTAGTATTTGTCAAAAGCTATGGTTGAATTATAAGAGATGCATGAGATCAGTTTATGAGTATAGTATATGTTCGTCAGGCTGTACTGTACTATACTGCCTTCATTAGGATCAACATAGGAGGATAACTGTTATTTTTATACTGTACTTTATTATTTGACTATTACTAACGTTTTGCCACGTACTGTACCACAACACTTACAATATTTGGAAGTTTAAGGTGAATGGTGTTTCACTTGGCACTTATCTGTTGGATTGCACCAAGTCAATACTGTACTGTACTGGTTTGTTCTGCATTACCCCTGTACCTCTATAGGACTCCTCATGGTAGCCAGTCAGTAGGGTTGAATTGTCTTTGAAACTATTGTATGGATCTTTTGGTTTCCATTGTACCTTATCTCTATCTCCCTCAGTGATCACTTTGAAAGTTTGTAAATCTAGATTGATGGAAATTAAAAGTTGTTCATTTAATGTTTGTGGAATAATAGCTTGGCTGGCTGGTGACACAGTTACAGCCCAAACATACACACCCAAGCTCTTAATTTTTCTTATTTCATAATTTATAAGTTATTTATTTTTAAGTCATGTTAGAGTATTGAAATTTTTTTTCTACAACGTAACATACTGTAGTTTCATTACAAGTAACAATGGCAACATGCGGACCCTCTCACAGGCCACAGCTGACTGGCAACGTGTTTTGTTTTTAATTGTGATCTTTGTTCCGATTGGTCAAAATCAAAACGAGCAACTGTCACATTGCAATCTTGATGAAATCCATTAATTTTTCTTCTTAAATTGTGAATTAAGGCGATCTACTCATTCTTACCTACATTGGCATATGAATATAGTTTTCATTGTCAATTATTTTTTGAGCTCTATTGTATTTGACTGGTAATTTGCTCTACAGATGAGTCTGCCACAGCTTGGATCCTGCCATTCACCGCTGGTGGCTTCATCTACATTGCTACAGTGTCCGTCATCCCAGAACTGCTAGAAAATACTCGGTTTTGGCAGTCTGTGTTTGAAGTAGTTGCCCTCCTCAGTGGTGTAGCTCTTATGATGGCCATCGCCCACCTTGAAGAGATGGGTCATGACCATTAACCAGTTGGCAGATGTACTGTTACAGAACAGACTCTGGGTAATAGTAACAGCTGTATTTTGTATTAATATCTGTTGATATAGATTTGATTTTGTTCTTTATTGCATCTTCTAAAACTTTTTTTTCTTTGGAGGTAAGTAATTATAGAAGTTACAATTCATTTAATTTTTTATACTGTGCTCTTTGTATGTGCTGTAAATCTCCATTTAAAATTTATATCACTGATATCCTCTTCAAGATTATTGATTACTGTAAAATATAGGAACTTGGATTGATTGAAATAGAGTAAAGAGACAGATGTTAACACTGTTGGGTCGGCACATGAGACTTGCTATATGAGATACAATGATGGTCTTTGTCACACTAGCATTATAAATAAATTATCTACAAACAGTATTTTCATGAGTAATCATGATACAATGATTATTTCTGTATGTACTGTAAGTGCAAGTAGTACACAAAATTTGTTTATGCTTAGTTAAAATGTTTACAGGGCGTCCTCGCCTAACGTCGGGATTACGTTCCTAAAACTGCGATGTTATACGAAACAACGTTAAGCTGATCAATTTTCCCCATAAGAAATAGATAAAATACGGGAGTTACAATCCTGAGCCTGTTTTGGCCCCATGAAATACATTACATATACTGTACAGAAAATCATTGCCATTTATATATAAAATATTGCATACATATACAACTACTAAGTTTGTATCGGTACTCACCGGTGGGCGGAGGTGGTAGAGCGAGTGTGTGGTGGATAGTGAAGCGGAGGAGGCGGATGACGGGAGGGGAGGAGCGGAGGAGGAGGGTGGGAGTGGAGGAGGGAGGGTGGTGAGTCACTGAGACTGCGCCGAGCCGAGAGAGTCTAGCGCCGCCAGACAAGAGAGGGTGATGCGCCGTTAAAAGTAGTCCATGACGATGCAAAACGACGTAGTATCGGATCACCGGGACGTTTAACGATTTTTTGCTCTCTAAACTTTATCGACGTAGTACCGAAACAACGTTAAGCGCGGACTTACTGTATTATTCGCTTCATACCTTCGTTATTTCGTGTGATTGCAATATGAACCTTTTTCCATTATAAAGCGTATATGTTTAGGAAAAATAGTTTAGAAGAAAAGTTGTGAAAAGATTAATATTTCACCAGGGAGAGGCATCAGGAGGCACCACATGGTACCGTCTCCTTGACCTGTTTATAATATCCCGCCCCTCAACTCTCGCCAGTAACATGAGAAATGGGCAAGAGCTGCAAGATGATGAGTGGGAAGTGTAGGTCAACGTTATATCCTGGGTCCTGTAAACACTAAGGGGAGACTGGTGTGGTTACCTTGGAGTGCAGTCTACATAGTTGCCAGATTGAACCGATGTTGCCAAATGTGCATCTTGCGTGTATAGCATTCATGTGTCAACAGATTTTTTATTTATTTTTCAATTCATACATAAATTTGTGCATGAAAACCGTAAAGCGATAAGTTACATCATATGCAATTTTGCTTACGAAAATCCCAAGAGTGTTGATAGCATCATGTGTGAGGTCTTGTTACATGAGGTAATTGTATTTCTCATTGTCTTTTATATTGTAATACATTACATCTTTTGGCGAGGTCTTGTTGCACAAGGTAGTTAGTTTTCCAAAATCTTTGTCAAGATTTTCCACAATCTTAAAGATTGTAATATTTTTTTGTGTGTTTTTGGTCGACGGTGAAAATTTTGCGTAACCATAAAAAAGTTACATATTCAGAAAGAATATACACTACAGTGTATACAGGTATACTGTATAAGTGTTTCTTTTAACTGTAATAGTTAATGACGTATTACTTGTTCAGTACAGTGGTCCCTCGATTAATGAACGGTTCAATTAACGAAATTTCGGTTAACGAATTAGCTCCCATAAGGATTTTCAGTTCCATTAACGAACAAATCTTCCATTAACAACAGCCTTACGAGAAACACGCTTTGTTGTGCGCATCAGCTGATCGACTAGTCCGCCGATACAGTAATTGGTTCTATGTTTACATTCGTTTCCAGTGGAGTAAATATCAAGAAAGTTGTGCCCTTGAATATTTTTGCATTTTTATATTAAAATTATTGGTCATTCTGAAATTTAGTTAACATATTGATAATATGTACAGTACAGTACAGGGAACAGTTTTTGTGTGCCCTTCAGCTGATCGAATCACCCACCAACGCTTCTCAGTTTAACTTTGTTTACAGTGGAGTGAACATCGAGTTTGTTGGTCTCTTGAATATTTTTTTAATTTTTACATTAAAATTATTGGTCATTCTGAAATTTAGTTAACATTGATAATATACAGTGCAGAAATTATGAAACACGAAGAAGGCATTAGAACCAATGCACTCTGTAAAGAATATGGCATGTCATCATCGACTGCCTCTACAATCAGCCAATTGATATGTAAACAAAACTGCCAGGAATACGACATACACACCTCAAATAAGTTAAAATACTGTACAGTATTCTATTGTTTTTTATTTATTATTGTACTGTATTTAGTTTATATTTATTGTTTTGTTAATTCTATTACTGGTATACAGTACTTTGTATGTAGTGTATACTTTTTCTGTGAGTTGGAACCAATTACCCAATACAGTGGTCCCTCGGTTAACGAACACAATTCGTTCCAGAAGGTCGTTCGTTAACCAAAAATTTTGTTAACCGAAACCATTGTTTCAATGGGATTCTGGGTAATTGGTTCCAGCTCACCGAAAATTACATACAAAGTAAAAATAAATGCAGTAAAGTACACTTACTTTGAGGTGTGTATGTAGAAGGCTCCTGGTTGATGATGATGGGAATTAGAAGTGGGGGTGGAGGAGAAGGGAGAAGAGAAGGAAGTGGGGATGGAAGAGAAATCACCCTATGCTTCATGCCGTCATTTCACCCATAAAATTTTTAGTTCACTTGGTGTAATTCAAGATTATTTTCTTTAAATCAACACTGCACTGCAGTAAAAATGTAAAATTAGTTTATCTTCAAGAGAGTCTCAAGCAAGATGGTACTCCACTGAACAGAGACACAAACTGACGCCATGCTGGGTGAGTCAAGTGGCTGTTTGGCGTGCTAAAAACTAGTTTCCTGTACTTCAATTATGTTAAATAATTGTTAAAATGACTAAAAAATTTAATATAAAACTTGGAAAATTATTGAATAGTACAACCTTCTTGATATTTACTCAAATGGGAACAAATTTAAGCCCTAGAACCGATTTTTGTATTGGCGGACTAATATTCCAGTTGGTGAGCAAGTGAAAACATCTTGAGAGGAATTCGTAAGGAATTCGTTAACTGAATTTTTTTCGTTAACCGAATTGAAGGTTCTTATGGAAGGTAATTCGTTAACCGAGGGGTCTCTGTATCCCATTGAAATAATAGATTCAATCAACGAAATTTTCGGTTAACAACAGACTGTGGAACCAATCAAGTTAGTTAATCGAGGGACCACTGTGCCAAGTATACCCAGATCTCCACGCTCATGAGGTAACAACACTTAGACATGACCTTGGTGACACATTGTCAGGTTACAAAACTTTTATTTTATTCATATTGATTTGTTATTATGGACCAATAAGGGCAGTGATCATACATTGTACTGAACACTAAACCTCGGGACACAAGGAAGGCGTGTAACTGACATTGCACCCAACTTCCTTCGCTTCCCCAACTAAAATCGGGTACCAATTCACAGCCGGATCAACTGGGGGTGCCCGGGTAAGGACGAGCAAGATCTCAGAGAAGAAGTTAATACAGTACTGTATCCTCTCGGCAGCTAAACCTTTTGACAAGGTGATAAAGCACTAGAGAGGCTGTGAAGGGACAGTGAAACATGTGGATGTGCACCAAAATACTCAAATATAAAGTGGACCGGCTGACTAGCCTCAAGGCTGGACAGTAATTGAGGTGTTGATTGTATGTAGAAGTCCGCGTGCTTTATTGGGCTAATGAAATATATATATATATATATATTGATAAAATCACACAGGAAAAGGGAAACAACGGAGCACCATAGCTTTCGTGTTTATTCAAGACATCTTCAGAGGCAACTGGATTACATGGACAGAGAGAGGCTTAAATATACAGAGTGACCTTATTAAACATGAGGTCAGGTCATAATGATGTCATCCACTAATCCCCACACTAACACACACGTAGAGGAGCTTAAGAGATGGGGGCGACGTGACTTGTCAGGTCAGGTCAGGTCAAAAATAAGGGACCCACTAAATAACTATCATACATCTAGATCAAAGGTTTTCAAAGCATTTTTAACCTTGGGCCACTGACAAATAAATTTATGTAACATATCAGTTTTGAACTGACCATCACTAAGGTTAATGATTTTAATTTCTTAATCAAACTAGCTTCAACCAGAAGTCTTTTTGTGACAAGATGATTTGAATACTTCTAAGCTTTTTTCCCAAGCAATGGGATGATTATTATTCCTAACATGAACGAACAGGGCACTGCTTTCAAATGCTGTTCTGATATTGTACTTATGTTGTCTGATTCTGAGCTGCAATGTTTTTCCTGTCTGTCCTACATAATTATCATTACATTTGCTACATGGAATACAATAAACACTTCCATTTACATTCAAATTTGGGCTATTTTTTATTAACATATTGGTAATGGTTGGGTCATACTTGAAAGCAACATTAATATTTAGTAGTTTGAGGGACCGAACTAACGGGACAAATTCATTACGATAGGGCAGAGTCAAAATATTCTTAAGTGTAGGAATTTTCCTGGTTTGAGAGGAATGAAAGGATTTTTTAGCCCTTTTAAAACAACGATCAACAAACACAGAAGGGTACCCAAGTTTTTGTGCAATGGAACGAATGTGTTTCAATTCATCATCAATAAATTCTGCGTCAGAAATACGCAGACATCTTAAGAACATAGCAGAAAAAACTGACATTTTGGTAGACTCCAGGTGATTCGGTAAAAAGTGTATGAAATTGTCTACCTGTGTGGGCTTTCTGTATATGTTAAATTTGTAGTTTTGGCCATTTCTCATGATAAGCATATCAAGGAATGGAAGAGATCCATTTATTTCTCTTTCAATTTTGAATGTGATACTTGGGACAATATCATTAAGCTTGTCTAAAACTTCCAATGGGTCACTGTTTCTAGGCCAAAGAAAAAACATCATCTACATATCTATACCATGGAGGAATAAAGTCCCCTATATTGGGTAGTAATTTAGCCTCAAAAAACTCCATATAAATACAGGCTAGAGGATTAGAAAGACAATTACCCATGCTCATGCCAAATTTTTTCTTGTAAAACTTCCCATTTGCTCTAAACACATTGTCAGCTACGCATAGCTCTATCAATTTGAGAAAAGTATCATGTTCAATAGTTAAATCTAACAGTTGTAATTTATCTTTAAGGTCACCCTGTATATTTAAGCCTCTATCTGTCCATGTAATCCACTTGCCTCTGAAGATGTCTTGAATAAAGACGAAAGCTAAGGTGCTCCGTTGTTTCCCTTTTCCCGTGTGATTTTATCAAGATTTATCTTATCCACGTTTTCATTGTGGATCTCTCTCTCTCTCTAAATTTTTTCCAGCTTAAATTGAGGACTTGGTGTTATAACTAAGCTGTACACCAAGTCAGTAAAAGTGTTGTCATCTGCCGATTCTTTTTATTCAGTAACTAGTGAGTTACTCCACCCTCTTGGCAGGATGTTTGCCCACTGACAGGTTGTTCCACCTTTGGCAAGGGCACTCTACTGTACTCATTGTGTTGCTAAGTACACAGTGGCTATTGTACAAGTCAGTCCTCCACTCCTGACCCAGTGGTACACCTGAGCCACAGTTAGAAAGTTCATGTTGTTTCTTGACTTTATTATTACTATTATCTGTAATAATTGGTTGATTTAGATCTGCAAGTGTTGTAACTATAATTTATTTATTTCCCAATAATTTTCATGTCAATTTTAATGTTTATACTTATTTTATAAAGGACTTTGGTGTGTTAAACAAAATCATGTGTTACTGTACTCGTCTTATTCCGGCATGCCACCAACGGTAACTTGGCTTTGCCCGGGAATATGTTTGACCATATGGAAAAAATTGGCATCGGTTGGTAAGTACATTGAGTCGTGTGGAGGCAAGTGATTAACTTTATATTGCTGCATCACTAAACTCACTCATAAATAATGGCACTCACTTTAATTCTATATTGGAAAGTATCATTGTGTGAGGAATGTCCCATTAGACAAGTTACTTTTAATATATTGAAGACTTTACATTCGTGAATAATTTTTTGCTGCAATTTGTTTAAAAATTTTACTGTTATATATTGGCATATACAGCTTAGTTGGGTCAATGTGTGCTCATATCAGGGTCTTCCTTTCCAAAAATAAAATAAAATTAGTATTTGATATATACAGTAAACTGTACTGTACTGTATATAGGTTTTTAATTGATATAGTACCACAATTATCCTATAACTGTACGGATTTTATTTGTGTAATTAAAGTACACATTTTAAATGTACAGTAATAATACTGTAGTAGTTTATACGTAGTTATATTTGTTGAACCCTGCATTTCAGTATCTGGACACATTCCAAGTATCTGTTGTACAGTATCTCAAAAATATATTTGTCCTCACTCTGTGTGAAACATTATGACACCACTGATGATTAATAATGCGTTGGAACTTGCACTTACTTTGGTATATAGTTTAACACGAGTAATATAATGTGTATTTATTTTGGCTTACTTAATATGATGTTCGGTTAACAAATATAGTAAGACCAGTATATTACAGGGCCATGCATACCAACCCTCCCGGGACATCACGAATTACTTGTAGCATTTCGGAAGTCGTCAGACCCATCCTGGCAGATACATTTTTGAGATACTGTACATTTAGTTTTGTACTGTACTGAGGTTGTGATGCATAATGATACTCAACTGATTGTGTAGGGTTGAGGCAGAAGAGGTGGACCAGACTTCCTGCAGAAAAGACTTTAAATAATTTTTTGGTTTGTATTTGGTTTTTGGCACTGGGTAACTTTCTTTTACTTGCACAAATTTGAGGCTTCACCATGTTTTATTCTTTCCTGGTAGTACTGCACACTGTAGTGTCTTCTTGAGTTCTTGAAAAATACTATTGTTGATAGATATATTCTAGATTGTACTAATTTTATAGCTTCTTAATGATAGTGATGACTGCCCTACTTAATTCATTATTATACATATACAGTAAGCTGTGCAAAGAAAAGAAATTATATTTTTAACAGATTGTATTTTTCATAATAGTAAGGGGGAATTTGTGTAATGTTAACATTTTGAGTAATAGGACAGGTAAAAATATACTACCTACATATTATCATATCTTCCATTGTTGTAAGTTGAGTTAGAGGTGTATTAGACGTCAACCTTGTATCTTGAGCTGCATATCTTACTTTTTTGGGGGTTCGGGGAAGATCGTGTGGAATCTCAAACATAATACATGACCGAGTGAAGAAGTGGTGCATGGTTTTCTAATAAGGAAGTTTTACATCATTGTAAGGAAGCTTTAACCACCTCTGCCTGTACTGTTCATGTTTTTTATCACTCTTCCTTTTGTCTTTGTGTAAAATAACCCTGATCCCTTATACTCTTGTTTCTCAGTGCACTCAAGTGGTCGCGACTTAAACACTTTTGTGATGACTCGACCAGCTTGTTGAATTCTTTAGTAAGTGTTTAATACTAAAAAGGTGTGGAGATGGTCAGTGGCTTAGGTGTTATGGTAAGATTGTACAAGTATCTACACCTATAGACCTGGATAGAACGAGGTATAGAAGATAATTTTAGAACTGAGGGATTAAACTGTGCTATGAAATATTTAACACTGCTTCAACCAAACAGATTTAATTTCATTGTGTTGATGTTAGCCTACATTATAATATGTTTTATAAGTTTTAGATCAACATATACAGTATAATGTTGAATAACTAAGAGAGGAAATTGATGATAAATATGTGAAATAGGGATAAATATACTGTAGTTTAAAATTGTTGAAATTAATGAGGTACAAAGAATCATTCTAGTGCAATGGTTTTTCAAGTAAGAGACACAGCTTTTGAGACAATTTGCACTTGTTGTAATGTACATCACTGGTTAAGAAATAAAATGACATTCATTATGTGTGGAGTACAATTCTATTTTACTTGAATCCTTGAATGTATAAATTATGAATAAGAGAGGTAAAGTGACCTAATATTTTGGCAAAACATTTAAATTCAGTGGAATGTAATCCAATTTGTTGAAGTGCTGAAAGACACTAAGATTGTGGATTTCTGGAGTGTAAAAATTGAGGGAAAGAATTGAGCAGAAGACTTGCAACTTGGGCTGGAGATTTTCTCAAGCAAGTACTGCACCAACTTGTCATTGGCAGGTAAAGTCTTCTGTAGTACAAGAGTAATCAGTGGAGTTTTAATGAGATTGATTCTTTAATTTTCTTCATTAGCAACCTGCCTGAAAGTATCATCTCCACCCACCAAATATACACAACACCAGCACATCTCAGGGTGAACTCTCAACACAAGGTAGCAGAACTTCACAGAACTGTGAGGAAAATAAAGGTGTGGTATAGCAACTGTCTTCACTCCAAGACAAGCAAGTGCACAACTCTACAGTTTAGAAGGACCAATCTTAAGGTGATACATACTGTACTATGGGGACAGCCAATTGTAACAGAAGGACCTTAGCAATCTGACGTCTGCAGATTTACAGTTTGGAAGACACCAGCAGGTAAAACCTTCCACCACACACACACACAAGGTTTGATCTCTACAGAATGTTAATATACTCTCACCTGGAGCACTGCTGTAATGTGGAACTTCTTATTGTTATTGTGTGTTAGTTGTGGTTTGTCTCACCTTATCATATATTTAGTGTACTGTACTGAACACTTAGACTGTACTGGAAATATTTCGGCAACCATTGATCAATCTTTGCTCACGCGAGTGGTTGGTTCATAGAAAGCGATCATCCATGTGTCGGTACTGAGTGACTGGTTTATAAAAAGGAAGAAAGTGTAATTTACTTATTTATTCTGTAAGAATTATGTGAGTACAAAACTACATTTGATACCCCTGTACAGTAAAAGTACTGTACTCGCTAAAAGCCACGGTCAGCAACCCAATTCACGTTAATATACAGAGGATTAACACTCGGCTACCCTGGTGCCTGGGCAGGTCTTTCCATTGCCAAGTTTCTTTACACTGGTCAAGGTATCTCTCTCCTCCCATTACTCAGAACTTTGGAGATGTGGAGCCTGTTACAGAGCCAGCACCTACACCAAAAATGGTTGGCTCCCTATTGCTCATATAAGCATCCAACCTATGTTTGAAGCTATTCAGTGTATTCGAGTTAATGATGATATTTGGTAACTTGTTCCATTCATCCACTACTCTGTTTCCAAACCAGTGTTTACCTATTTCACGCCTAAATCTAAATTTGTCTAATTTAAAACCATTGTTACGAGTTCGCTCCTGGTTGGATAGTTTGAGTACCTTTGTAATGTCCCAATTTGTTTAGCCCTGACTTCCACTTATACACCTCCATCAGGTTGCCCCTCGCTCTACATCTCTCGAGGGAGTGCAAGTTAAGATGCTTTAACCTGTCAACATACTCAAGGTTCCTAATGCCCGGGATTAGTCTTGTCATTCTCCTCTGAATTCTTTCCAAGGATTCTATATCCATTCTGTAATACGGTGACCAGAACTGAACTGCGTAATCCAGGTGTGGTCTCACAAGCAAAGATACAGTTTTAGGATGACCTCGCTAGTCTTGTAACTAACACTCCTTTGTATGAACCCAAGTACTTTATTAGCCTTGTTACGAGCAAAAACACATTGTTTACTTGGCTTAAGGTTCCTACTTATCATTACTCCTAAATCTCTCTCTCAGTCGGATTTCTCTATGGCATCGTTGTTCATCTGATATCTGGTTTCCCTGTTTACATCTATACTGAGTACTTTACATTTGTCCACATTGAATTTCATCTGCCATTTTTCAGACCATTCGAAAAATTTGTTTAGATCTTCCTGTAGTTTTGCGGAGTCCTCGTCAGATTTAATTACACGTCTTATTTTAGTGTCATCAGCAAATTTACTTATGTTGCTGTCTATGCCGATATCTATATCGTTTATGTATATAATAAATAATAATGGTCCAAGTACTGAGCCTTGGGAACTCCACTAGTGACGTTGCTCCAATGGGACTTACTGCTGTTAATGCTCACTCGCTGTGTCCTGTCCTGTAACCACGCCCTAATCCATTTAAGGATATTACCTTTGATGCCATGTGCTTCTACCTTTCTAATTAGTCTTTCGTGGGGGACTCTGTCGAAGGCTTTGCTAAAGTCGAGATATACCACATCATAATTGTGCCCCTCGTCCACCGACTCGAAAACAGATGAAAAGAATGTTAATAGATTAGATAGACATGAACGCCCGCTTGTGAAGCCATGTTGGGAATCATTGATCAACTTGTGCTTCTCCAGGTGGTTTCGAATAGAGTTTGAAATGATTGATTCTAGTAGTTTGCATACTATTGATGTTAGGCTGATTGGGCGGTAGTTAGAGGATAGTGATCTATCCCCCACAATCCATTTATACTATACGTTATCTGTTGATGTATACTAAAGGAGTTGATAAAAAAAGTCATATATATTACTGAAGAAAAAATTATTAGGTCCTTTACATTTTATATGCATTTCTTGAACAATGAGGAATATATTTCTCATGGCGTCACCAGCTGTCATATGTTTGCCTCGTTAGCAGCTCTGGTTCTAACTTGGACCACTTCACTGGGCATCCCCTGTCCTCTAGCACTGGTTCGGTAAGTCTATATAAACTAATTGAACTACTGTGATACCTTAATGTGGGTATATAAGTAACAAGCAATAAGATACGTGTTTAAAGGCAAAAACTGCTTCAATCGCCATACATCTTAGAATACACCGGTAATCATGTTTTACTGTTCTTTCATGCGGCTTCACTTAATAAGAGTTTCTTTATAAAATTTAATTACTTATATAAAATATAATTAATAACTCTAATGGCTTCAATGAACAGTATAATATCAGAGTAATATAGAAAATTAATTAAATGTTTAGCGGAGCATTGGGACAAGAGACGACCCATCATCCATCAGTGTTGTCCCGGTGCTGAGGGAAGGTGGACGTGTTAGGGGCTGTCCTTTACTCTCTCTTGTTCGTAAGTTATAAAATTGTATTAATTAATTTCTATATTGTTTGGTAAATATAGGTTCTTATTATTGGTGGTAATTGTTAACACCTGTTGCATGGTTGAATCAGTATCTTGAGGATATTTAACACCTATGAGAAGATATGTTTGTGTCAAATGAATGGTAAATTTTTATTAATAAGTTAATATGGGTATTTATTATGTTTGTATGGCTATAGGAAACATCCGCTCCTTGATCTAGCAACAACACTGATTTTTCCATGGATATTTGTGAATATTTATCCGGTTGTCGGTTAGGTAGGGTATTTTAGTTGATAGAATTGGATGAAACTATATGAAACGTTAATTGCAATCTACTAATTAGATAAACGTAGAAGAGAATCCTTTCAATGTCGTTAGGTATGTTTTAAAAGGTTTTTCTGGTAAGGTTAGGTTGGTCAAGTTTTAATAGGTTCTGTGTATTCTCGGACATGTCCTCCATTTAGGTCTCGTAATCTTCATCCGGAAGTAATTATTAAAATTCTTCAAAAGTCCGGAATTTCAGCTTCCATCATTTTCTCCACGGAAAGAAACAGGAACTGTAATGACGAGAGAGAGAGAGAGAGAGAGGGGAGGTGGAAACAGTAGAGATCTCGTTCAGTTTTCGTCAGCTGATAAGTCACGTGTCCGCCTGTTTTGGTCTAGCCTGTAGTGCCATGTACTGCTTTTCCTTGTTCTTCAGCCACGCGCATTATTATAATTTTGTTTGTATTTAGTGCTATTACAGCCATAAATGAAATGTTGAAAGTATGCCATTTTTTCTTATGGCTTTGTTTTTACACTGTAGCATTTTAGCAATTTTCAACCATAATCTAGCCACTTTCGCTATATTATTTACGTGACGGTGACCGGTGGTTGGCCAGTCTTTAACCTCCAGTGACAGTCTTGGTTGTGGGTTTGTCGCTTGGTGCCACAGCTAGTGATTTATTAATAATTATTATTATTATTATTATTATTATTATTATTATTATTATTATTATTATTATTATTATTATTATTATTATTATTATTATTATTATTTCGCCCCCCATGCCCCGATGTGGGTCAGTGACCTGTGCTTGGGTGGGCTAATGTCCGTAAAAAAAAATAATGTAAAAGGGACTGGGAGACTCAGTAACCCTCCTTCCTCTTAAGGGTGTACAGTACAAGGCAACTGGGAATGGTTTAAGTAATCGACAGTCCCATGTTGTGACTATGACAATGCACAAGGTGATACATGGGATGGCAGCCTTACTGTTATAGATATAGATCAAGTTCTTATAATATCCGAGCAGGATAGGACTCGAAGCAACGGATTTAAGTTGGATAAGTTTAGGTTTAGGAGGGAGATAGGAAGAAACTGATTCACAAATAGGGTGGTGGACGAGTGGAACAAGCTTAGCAACTTTGTAGTAAGTGCTGGAACTCTGGAAAGTTTCAAAAGGAGGCTAGATAGATTCATGGATGATAGAGAGTGGTAGTAACTCTCGACAGGAGCTGCCATGCACAGGCCAACCGGCCTATTGCAGACTCCTTATTTTCTTATGTTCTTATGTTCTTATGTTCTTATGTTATAAAGTACAGTACTGTATCTTGTGGGACCATTCTAATATAAAGGGTTGTGGTTATTGCTGTAAGGGATGTTGTTTACAGCACCTTCTCAACTATTAAAAGGTGAGCTACAGGTTTGGTCACTGTAGACTAAGGCTGGCTAATAACTTGAGTCACCCACGTAGGTTTCATTATAAAACCTAATATAGGGATTCAGTCCTTAGTCTGCGGCCGCACTGAGAGCGGGCAGGCGGGAGCGGGCACGTGTTGTTGCCAGCCCGCGCCCTCTGCCAGTGTGGCCACGTCTAAGGGTTATAATGCTGCAAAGTCTTCTGCGCCCACCAGCTCTCGCCTGCCCACTCTCAGTGCGGCAGCAGCCTTAATTTTTAATGAAGACTTCTGTGTAATTTGCAGGAAAATCTCCCAATCCATGTGGACAAGAGCATCATGTCACTTGCACAGTTGACTAAGCTGGCATCTCCTACAGATCCTGATGTGATCACTGACATGGTATGGCCTTCATTTTTCTGCACCTTGTTTGACTATAACAAACTGTCAAAGAACCATCACATGGATTATTGTATTGATCACTTTGTTGATATTCTAGCCACTTTGTATTGCTCTCACTGTATTAAATGTGTATCTTAATCCCTGATACATCTTGTAAGAATATACTGTACATGTATCCACAACTTGGGCTTCTCTTGAATATGGAACTGTCATATACAGGTACTGTACTTTACTTCTTCCTCACCTGTGTGTGTGTCTAATATCCTGATTGCTTTCTTCAGTTTTGTGATTACCAGTAATCCTTTAGGACAGTGTAACTAAATGCCGTTGTATATACTGTACTTAGGTTTATTATTCAAATATTCCTCATGACATATCCTTGTAGCTCTTAGGAAGAAACTAATCACCACACCTGTCTTGGTTCTCACTGTGGGTAGACAAATAATGAAGAAAGTCGTCTTTCTTTGTAGGCGTTCTATAACATGAAAACTTAACATTTTCACCCGATCTCCAAATCACATGTGTATAGAAGAGCTGTGTGTTCTTGACAGCCACTACTACAGTACAGTCGTACATCATCAGTGATGTTTTTGGTGATCATTAACTTGTTTTACAGTATTAGCCAATAATAATAATAAGAAAATTTTGCAGAAAAATGCAATTATTGTTGGTTTGAAGATCAAACCACTGTACATCACTTTACTTTTATCCTCTTCACCACTGATCAGCTCGTTAGCCGCTTGGGCGATCGGTCACGTCTGTTACTTTTCCTTTTCTTTTCAGGTAGTTATTCTCATTCAACTTGCGATAAAATAATAATTATTCACAGTACTAACTTCCAGTTTTCACTGTTCACTAGGAAAGGGATTGAGCTGCACGATAAAAAAAGAACCCACTAGCTTAATAAACAACAGTTATGGTTGTTTGAACTTCGAAAAACTTTAAATACGTTTTTCTCAGCTTTTTTAATTTGGCGTTTCACCCCCTTCTGATGCGGAGCGCCTCATCTAATATACTATAGGACTAGGCGTGTCTGTCTGTTCTGGGCAGCCGAAACGGCACAATCGTTTTTCATCAAACTTGGTGGAAAAATCGCAAAAAAAAATCGTGGAGTGGAACAAACCTGGTCCCATGTCGATAGTTTCTTTAGGATGGCATTAATTAACCATTTTATTTACAATGGAAAACGATGCAAGTTTACGGACTTGGTGCACCCTAATTAACCATGCAAGTCTACGGACTTGGCGTACCCTCATTCGCTGTACGGTGTCACGAGCGTTCAAACTTTCACTGGGCACGAACGTTCCCTCGATCACTTGTGTGTACTATACTGTACTATGGTTTTGCTTCTACTATTGAACTTGCATCAGACAGATATACTTATGTCAACACGGTGACAGTTCTGCATCTTGGAATGGTTGATGCAACTGTTCATAAGTAATCTTGGTTCCTTGGTTATTTCATGACAGCTCTTGTTAATTACGTACTATAATTACAATGCTTCCAAAATATAATGCTTGTGAAAATTATACTGTAGTTTATGATTGTAGTTGATGTGTTAAGTGAGGAGAAAAAGAACACGAAGGGGAGGAATATATTAAGTGAGTGTCAATAGATAGAGTAGGTGTCTGTGTTGGTACTCGGTGTCTGTGTTGGTACTCGGTGTCTGTGTTGGAAGTTGTTAAGATTTGCTCTTTGTGCTCTGAGCCTCCCACATGTAATATTATGTTCTTCCTGTTTTTTTTTTTCAGTGGTCATCTTTATTCACAAACAGACTCGGCACTGTCAGTCTGTCAACATTGGCAATTAAGCAGCTACTCACAGTGACCATCTCTACCATTACCTACCTGCGTTCACTTTTTCCCGAGGTAACTATTGTGACAAGTTGTGTCTCTGTGTATACACTACGAGTCGATCAGTGGTGAAGAGGATAAAAGTAGAGACATGAAAATAAGACAAAAGTTGAGGATTTTCCAAACCTTTAGCACCTCCCCCTCCCTTTACAATGTTAATTTTATTAACTGTTTACCACTACAGTATAAAGATCATTCTCCTCTTTGTTTTGTAGTTTATACTAAATACTACACAATTAATCTCCAATTTTTTTGTAGCTGAGGAATATAATTAAATTTCAATGGCTTATTATTTGTTTATAACAGTGCTGTACCAGTATAGTTGTCAAGAAAGAGTGAGCTCCTTCCACCCTTAAGAGCGGGGCACAGGACCATGTTGTTGAGCAGATGTTTAATTAATGTAACCATCTCTACAGGACTGACCATAGCAACATAAACTGACACATGAATCTTATTTGTATCCACGAGACAAGACACTGACTGCTTGATTATAGAAAGTTTGAAGTAATGGATGAATCGTTAACATACAAAGGAAGATTCACTGATGACTTTTCAGAGAAACTGGTGAGTAGATGTTTTAATGACATGATGGTCTTATCCCCCCGAACAGGCTGTGTACTGTGACAAAGTTATCCAGGACATAAACCTGAAGATTCTAAAGAGAAGCGGCCAACACATCGCACCACACACTTTCATGGAGAGTATCGAGGGGTGCTATGAGGCAATTGAGAAGCAGTATGTGAGTTAAAATTTTACTAAAGAGTGCTTACTTATATTGCTTATAATTTATTGCCTAAGGATCATAATGACAGAGGTACAGTTTAATAATGAGGATAATATTACTACTACTATTATTATGGTACTGATAATAATACAGTAATGGTTTATTAAAAAGTACCATAGCCATAAGCTGAAAATATAGTACAGTATAAGTGGTTCATATGTAACATAAGAACATGGGGAGGAGGGTCATTTGGTAGGCAGTTTCAGTGTTATTAAACTAAAGAAGAGTTGTCGATGAGTTTTGCAGTGGTTAGAATGGGACTCGTCTTGTAGTGATCAGTATGAGGTTATGTGGGCTCTACTCATACACCACATATCAAGAGGCACATATTAGTAGACGATGACCAACGACACTAAGACAAAACATAACGATGCTAAACAGACACCTTCTCTAGTGGTTTAATAATGAAACAACAATGAGCAGGGATATGTTGAGCAGGGTGGCCCAGTCCAAATTTCTTATCTCTTGTAAAAACAATTAGATGTTGATATATTAACTGCAGTATTCTTGTGTTTCAGTTGAGGGAGATGCAACTCATTATTTATGAACATGATCCAGATAATCCTCTTGAGATTTACACATTCAATTTGAGCTACTTTAAGGATGGCTCCTCAACTCTCTCTCAGTTAAAAGGTCAAAGCATACAGTAAGTAGAGTCAAAGATGATATATCTAAATCTTGAATTGTACTTCAAACCTTAAAATATCCCAAGAAAACTCAGTTCTATCTTTAAATTAATTTTACTCGTAAGAACTTTAGAAATACACTGTATTATGGTGATGGATGGGTGTGTTGCTGCCACCACCTGCACCTGATGATTATTCTGTGTTCAGTCTCTCATAGTGTAGTTAGGTATTTCTGCAGGATGGCATCAGTAGCACCAGTCCTCACACTCCACCTGGTGTATTGCCACTTGAGAGAAATTTTAAACAAATGTAGATAATCTTTCATTACCTCGGAGTTATGACTCTCTTGCCAGTATGGTGATTGTTTGGGAGTCCTACATATAATACCCAGTTACGACTGTAAAAGTAAGTTGGCAGTAGGAAGGACATCCGGCCATAAAACTTGCTGCACACCTGCCTGATGACAACTGGGCCACCAGAGTTGTGTCTTTTCCCTGGTGTTCAGTGCATTTTCTGGGTTGACACACTGCCTGTAGCGGGTGAACGTTTAATTTTTTTTTTTTTTTTTTACGGGGATTAGCCCACCTGGGCACAGGTCACTGACCCACATCAGGGCCTGTGGGGCAAAAATATATTAATAATAAATAATAATAATAATATCTAATATTTTTATGACAACAATTAATAAAATTAATAGCAAATTAAAAAAATAATAAATAAATACAAAAACGAAAAAAATAATTCAAGAGTGAGAGACGATATACATTATGTATGTTGTGTTGTCCATGTAAGAGAAACAATTGAGACCTGCAATTGTGTGTAAATGAGGCAGAAAGTCAGGTCAGCAACCTGGGACTTGGTCACAATTTTCGTGATGCCATATAGCAGCAGGGTCTACCATTAGACAACACATTATGCTTCCAATATCTTCCCAGGCGGTAGTACCTACCTGTTTGGTAGCTGCCTACTACCTACTAGGTTGGTTCTTCTGCTTGACAGTGCAGGAGCCTTGACTCAGGAGTAATGCCCTGAGAGGCTGTTCCATCATCAAGAGAATAATACTGTGTTTATAATACTATGTTGCTCTGATCACTACCCAACTCCTTTACCTGACTGAAATTTCAACCAAAAAGTTTTATAACAAATTATTTCTTTCAGTGGTGAAAAGTCGTTCATCTTGAAGATGCCTATAATGAAGATGCTGCGAAAAGTCATCCTGATGTTGCAGTCTTTTGTACAGCTTCCTGAAACTGTCATTTTTGGCTTCAAGCTGTTTTATTATGATGATGGTAAAAGTTCCAGCTTTGTTGAATTAGTTTTTTGCCTTGTTTGGGGACTTTTGGACATTTTACAATCTGGAGCCAGTGCATGCTCAGTACATACAGTACTTGTGTAACAGAGACATGATAACTGTCCAGGCAGCAACAAATCGATGAGTGGCAATGAGGATAAAGGAAAGGAAAGTTTTAGGGACTTTTTGAGCATTTTATTTTTATTATTTAAGTTCTTAAGGCCATCAGGAAGATAAATGTCAAGTATTGTAACATTAAATTTTTACATGAAGACATAATGTGTTTGTTCAATCTAGCCCTAGACAAAACTATCAGAACCAATGACGATCATCTGGTGAAGAGGATAAAAGTAAATGAGGTAAGGTACCTGTACAGTATATTTACTGTACTTTTGTTTACTTTTTATCCTCTTCACCACTGATCTGCACGTTAGCCACACTGTTATGCACGGTTGGCAATTACTGGGCATGTATTGGATCCAGAATGTACCTGTGCCAGTGTTTAGTCCTGTGAAGATTGTTATTATTTTACAATCTTGACTATTTATGTTTTTAATAAACTCCCAAAACCCTGGGTCTAGCACATGCAAGATTGCTGCCAAGTTGTAGGATGAGTTTCTTGAGTTGGTTGCTCTGTCTTCCATGTGCTGTTGTAACCCATGTGCTGCCAAGCTTACAAAGAGCAGTCTATTTTCTGTACACCACTGAACTAAGAGCTTGTCTCTGGCAGGTAACAAATCTATATTTCACAGATTTGTGTCTTAAGAGTTATTATCCACACTGTTGTATATTTGTATTCAGTTTTCACTTCATATACTCACTAGTCATTAATACAACATGTCCTAGATTTAACATTTTTGTTTACTTGATAGTTACATCCTCTCTACAGTGACGCCAGCAGACTATGACCCTGCGGCCTTCATGCCAGTTATTGACTCTCGAGCAAAATTTTCGTCAGCCCCAACTAAAGTAAAGGTTTGTGCAGTCTGTATACATAATATAATCATCTTAACTAACTTCTTCCTTATGTTGTAATGTTCAAGTAAACTACAGTACTGTAATATGTTTGGGTGCAGTAGAACAGAGGTTCTACTCAATATTCATAACTAGTCTTAGGAACAGGCAAGGTTAGTACAGTACATTACAGTACAGTACTTCTTCTGGTATTCTCTGCCTCTAAATTTGTCACATTGGCCTCCGTATTACCCTAACTCTTCTCAGGGATGGTTTCATCTTTCAAAATGTGAATACAGTAGAAGTCCAAAAATCCAGATTGCTTGGGGATTGGGTTGGTCCGGATTTTCCGGATTCTCAGGCAGTACTTTTAAAATTCAAATTTAAGGAGGAATAAAGAAGAGATGAACAGGTACATTTTGATAGTTTATCCATTAGCAAATACAGCATGCTTCATTTATCAAAACGAGCAGTTTAAAGAAAAATAAAGTCAACACTTGACAAAAATGTAAACAAACATTTTTCACTACAAAAAAAAGGGGCGTGTAATGCTTGAAATCATGTTTAAAAATGAACATTGTAAAAGAAAAATACAGTAAACAAATGAAAGAAGAAATTATTTTATACAAATTGATTATTTATTTGTAGTTTATTAATGAAACATTTTCCTATAAAATACAAAGTACAAAACAACAAATAAACATTTATGCGTTCATTTCCACGACTTCTATATCGTCTGCTGCACTGCTTGTGGATGGAACACTTGCAGCTTCTACTGCATCTGCTGCACTGCTTGACACTGCTTTCTTTAAATACTTGTTTACGACTGTAATTTCTTTGTGATAAGATTATTCTGCACCATGTGTGCATGCAATGGCGTCTTGAAGACTGAAGCTATGGTTCTGTTCCACAAATTTAATAACCGTTTCAATGCCCTTTTCTGCAGCAGCCCAAGATATCTTTTCTTTAACTCTGTCGTCTTCTTCACCAGATTCTTCTGAACAAATCTCTTCTCAGGAGTTGTAATGCTTTGAATGATTTCTTGATCAGTGAAAGTGGCTGCAACTTCAATATCATCGTCAATGTGTATCCACTCTTCTATGTCGGCAGCATTAAGCTTGCGTAGAGGGTTGTCTTCCCGAGATAATTTAAGTCTCCATCAGTTCTTGCACTTCAGATGCCCTCTGCTTTATGTGGAATCCTTCAAAATCTTTGTCTTGATCACACTCTAGATCTGCAAACATCACTTTCGGCCACAACTTTCGCCACTCTCTTAAAAGTGTTTCAGGCTTGACTGCATTCCATGCAGTCACGAGTGAAAATATTGCATCCTTGATCTTAAAACTGCGTTGAAATTCTGTAGGGTTGACATTCTTATTCATCATTTTCGTCATAAAATCATTTTTAGGGTGACATTTAAAGTTCCTAATGACTCCTTGATCCATGGGTTGAATCAATGATGTTACGTTTGGTGACAAGTAACATGCATAAATATTCCCTCAGACACTAATTTTGATTCATGCGGGTGGGCCCTACAGTTGTCGAGAAGTAGCTGGCACTTGGTATTTGCAGGCTTACCCAATTTCCTTAAGTTCTGACGAACTGATGGAACAAAATCATGAACAAACCAATTGCAAAATATGTCTTTGTCCATCAAGCACTCTTTTGGGCTTTATAGGACACAGGCAAGTGCACAATTCCTTTAAAGGCCCGTGGGCTCTTAAGTTTGCTAATCGCCAAAAGCTTAATTTTATGCTGACCTGAAGCATTAGCACATATAAAAACGGTAAATCTTTCCTTATTAAGCTTAAACCCTGTTGCATTTTGTTCTTGGTTTCCAGCCAAAGTTTTTGTGGGCAAACACTTCCAGTAAACCCCTGTTTCATCAGCATTATAAATTTGATCGGTTGTGAGATCATAGTCATTTACAATTTGTTCAAATGTAGCACTATATTTTGTTGCTGCTTGTGTATCAGCCGACTGTCTTTCTCCAGCAATATCTAACTGTCTAATACCATGACGAGTCTTGAAATTCATAAGCCATCCATCACTAACTGCTCACTCTGATTCAATGTTCATTTGCTCCTTAAAAGACTTTGCTTTGGCAATAAACATCGGCCCAGAAATTGCCACACTTTCTAATCGTTCTAACAAAAACCATTCTTGAAACACTTTATCAAGATTTTCTAATTTGGGCCGATGTAAACTTTTTCTTTCAGCAATTTTATTGTAAGGCTCAGAAGAAGCTGTGAATTCTAGAATTTTATTCTTTGCCTTTTTTATATTATAAATTGTTGACTTTCCAATGTCGTATGTTTCCATTAGAACAGCATTGCTCACACCACGTTCTTGTTTCTTAATTATTTCAAGTTTGTCACTCAATTTCAATGTGTTCTTCTTTCTCTTCACACAACAAAGTTTATCTACTTTAGGAGCCATTATTATGGGCTTGTACTCTGTAAATGGAAAGAGTAGGACTCAAAATTATATATGTTGTCACAGTTTGATTGCTTGTTTTAAAGTAGCTATCGCGTGGTCGCTTGTTGTCGCTGTGTAGCTGTGGCGTTCACGCATGCACACATACACAAAAGATTTATAGTGCCTCAAATTTTACATCAGGACAAGCTAATTACAAAACTAACAAAATTAGCTACCTATAATTTAGTTAATTTTATTATTAGAATTATGTAAATTAATTTTTTTTAAAGCAACTCCATTCATTTACGTAACCCACAAAAGCCCACTAAATTTAAAAAGTTTGAAAGTTTTCAAAAAGTCCGGATTCTTGGGTGGTCCGGATTTCTGGCATCCGTATTTTTGGACTTTTACTGTAATATCATCGACATTACTTATAGATTTTCGTTAATGACATGGACACTGTTTACTGATTCTCTATATCTGTGGATGAAGGTAGATCCTGTGTTGAGAGATTTATTAAGTTTTAACTCCATGGGCAGTGTACAGTAATATAAACATCATCCAGTCCAGTTCAGTCTTGCATTATTCAGTGGTGCTTCAGGGTCAATACTCCATTATTTGCTTAAAACATAATACTGTATAAGGATGAGTGTTGATATATACAGTATATAATGGTGTTCTTTGTTTATTTCAGGTTAGCATGGTGCAGTCAACGTTTCACAGTGTGAGACTTGGTGTTACTACATCTCTCTATAGTAGTAACGCCCAGAAACAGGTACAGTACAGCATCTATATCTCTCTCCTCTACTTTACTACCTTCTGTGTTAGTGTTCTTAATGTTTTCAGTTACTTTTATTATGGTTTGAGGAATCAGGCCTTGAGAATATCTTTCAAACTTTTTTGTCTATTTTATCCACGATTAATTCAACAGACAAACGAGCCGAGAGTTAGCTCAAGGTATTTCACCGAGGGTACAGTTGAGGTGGGCTCATTCCCATATAGTACAATGAATTTGTTTACCTTTTGAGTTTTCTTTTTGATCCAGATAATATTTCTTCAGTCTTTCCAAGATGTAGGGATAATTTGTTGTCTATCAGCCACTGGTTTACATGACTCCAGTTCAGATAACTCGTTAGCTGTATCATTGGATCTTAACCTCACACTAAAAGAGCACTTTCATCAGCATACAGCAATGGTTTACAGTTAACACTAATGAGTATGTTGTTTACTTAACACAGGAAGAGCAAACATCTTATGATACTCCCTTGTGGACTTGGTGTTATTTAAAACAACAATTTGTTTTCTGTTGCTAAGACATGATTTAAACCAGTTAACACTCGTGGTCTTTCTACACAAATTGCGTCACTAAGCACTCCCGTGCCCGCTCAGCCATAGCTCACACTGAGAGCTCCCCTCCCATAGGCAGAGATGGTTTGCAACTTTAGATGCTTTGTGACAGAGCTCATCATTGATGTTTTAACATTATGTTGGAATGTTCTTTTCATTTGTTGCTTCCAGATCTTTTTGGGGTTATTTTTATTTCCCTTAATCTTATTGTTTATGTGTTCTTACTTTGGTTGCTTTAAGAAGAGGGCGAGTAGGCTCAAAAGTCAGGTGGCACAAAAAACCAGGTTCACTGCATAATGAAAAAGGAAGTTTGTTTGTGTTATAAAGGTGATATTGTGATCATGTTAACATACATAGCTACAACAAAGGACATGTGTACACTTGCCACAGAAAGTTCTCTAACAGTTGGACGCAACAGAACTCAGAATGATCACTATTGCTCATGTCGTCTCAGAATGGTTGGTGTGCCTGGTTGTGAAAGGACTCAATATTTCTCAATAAAATATGTTGTTCATCTTTATAGTATTTACAGGTGAAAAGAAGTAATTTAATTTGTAATAAAACTTCATCAGAGAGCAATGTTCAGATTCCTCATTCATTTTGTCATAGTACGGTATGATCCTTAGAAAACTTTTAGTGGTGAGTGTACAGTACAGTTCATCAAACGTCACCACTGTTGATTTTTTTTATCCCTGACAATACTTTAAACAATGTGTGTGTGAACACCATCTTAATGCTGTTTATTGTTATTGACCCCAAGCAGGTGCCGAGCATGACAGACTCCATGAGTGAGAAGGAAAATATTTTGCCTTCCTCTACTGCTGAACCAGATGTCCACCGTTCATTGCGTGGTATGTCCTCTACAGCTGAACCAGATGTCCACCGTTCATTGCGTGGTATGTCATCTACTGCTGAACCAGATGTCCACCGTTCATTGCGTGGTATGTCCTCTACAACTGAACCAGATGTCCACCGTTCATTGCGTGGTATGTCCTCTACTGCTGAACCAGATGTCCACCGTTCATTGCGTGGTATGTGCTCTACTGCTGAACCAATGTCCTCTACTGCTGAACCAGATGTCCACCATTCGTGGTATGTCCTACTGCTGAACCAGATGTCCATTCATTGCGTGGTATGTCCTCTACTGCTGAACCAGATGTCCACCGTTCATTGCGTGGTATGTCCTCTACTGCTGAACCAGATGTCCACCGTTCATTGCGTGGTATGCGCTCTACTGCTGAACCAGATGTCCACCGTTCATTGCGTGGTATGTCCTCTACTGCTGAACCAAATGTCCACCGTTCATTGCATGGTATGTGCTCTACTGCTGAACCAGATGTCCACCGTTCATTGCGTGGTATGTCCTCTACTGCTGAACCAGATGTCCACCGTTCATTGCGTGGTATGTACTAATTGTTTTACACACACACACAGACACACACAAACTACTACTACTATGCTATGATACAATGATATGAGTAATTAAGGATGTCACCTAGGTTGGTGAGTTTTGAGGTGACTAAAGAGGCCGATACGGGACCCGCAATGTCATCCACATTCGTTGCACATGTGGAGGGTTCCCTCTACTGTGGGAGGGGCGGTGGCAACATCTTTCTGATGTTGGTGCTTGTCTGCCTCGGTATGCAGTCGGGCTAACTCGAAAGTATTGACACTTTCTCGTGTGGTGCTTCTCCAAGCGTTACGGTGTGGAGTAATCGTCTCCCAGATGAGGGGGGCGATTTTGCACCTTCTCAGGTTTGTCATAAGACTATCCTTTTACTTTTTCAATTGCCCGCCGGCGTTACGTTTACTATTCGTTAGGTGACTGTAAAGTAACTGCTTTGGCAGTCTACTGTCGTCCATGCGTGTAACATGGCCAGTCCAATGTAGTTGTTCATGGATAATGGTAGCCTCGATGCTCCTTCTGTTGGTGTCAGCAAGAATACTGGCATTTGTTCTCTTGTCTTCCCAGCGAACTCAGAGGATGGAACGTAGACTACGTTAGTGAAAGTTTTCAAGTTCCTTCAGGTGCCTCCTGTATGTGACCCATATCTCACTGCCATATAATAGGGTAGGCAGGACCACTGCTCGATATACGTGCAACTTTGTGGATAATTTCGGCTCCCTACAGCTGAAGACACGATTTCGGAGTTCGCCAAAGGCTCGAGATGCACATCTGATCCGATGATGAATCTCTTCATCGATGTCTGCGCTGGTGGTCAGGTGGGAGCCGAGATATTGAAAGTGGGTAACATTAGAGAGAGTAGTACCGTTAAGCTGGATGGATGGTGGAGGTGTGGCTGAACCAGGGTCAGGCTGAAAGAGAATCTGAGTCTTACATACATTCACCTCAAGGCCGAAGTGTGCGTAGGTGTTCAGGATCTCCTGTAGGTCGTGTTCAGTGTGAGCAACAAGGGTGAGGTCATCTACATACCGAAGCTCAGTAATGGAAGCTGCTGACACCTTTGTTCCTGCCTGGAGTCGTCTTATGTTGTAAAGATCCTTCATCTGGTACTCGGTCCACCCCGCTGGGTAAATTGACACTGGCACGAGTAAGGAAGGCAGCCAAGAAGATGGAAAAGAGAGTTGTTGCCAGTACACACCATTGTTTAACCTCTACTTGGATGGGGAAGAACTCTGATTGGGTGCCATTGTGCAGGACGCTGCCGTTCATGTCATTGTGGAGTTGCCTCACAATGGCAATGAATTTTGGTGGGCGGCCAAAATGGCTAAGGGTCCACCAGAGGGCTTCCCTGTTGTCCCGAGTCGAAGGCCTTGATTAGGTCGATGAAAGCCATGTACAGGTCATGACGCTGTTCTCTGCACTTTTCCTATATCTGACGGGCAGCAAAGATCCTGTCAGTGGTGCCACGTGATGGTCTAAAACCACATTGAGATTCTGGGAAGAAGTTTTCTGCCTCAGGAAGAAGTCTGTTTCGGAGGACTCGGTTGCCAATGGTGGCGTGCCATCTCAGGTCAGATTAACCAGTCAACAGATGTAATGTGTCTGAGGGTCACTGGGCTCCTAGTGCTGGGAGGCGTCGCCCCTGTCCCCGAAAGGACGGGCGTGGAGTAGGCTGTTGGAATTACTCTTGCCTAGTCTATTTCTCCCTCTGGTTCCCTGCAAATGTTAGTATCTCTGCCAACTCTGGCATTGAAGTTGCCAAGAAACACAACCTTGTCTTCTCTGGGGTGAGGCTCGGACATGATGTTAAGGTTTAGTAAGGCACTGTGAATATTTACATGTTCTACGGTATCTTGTCGCTGTGAGGCCAAGATACATGATCATATGTGTCAGTAACATTTATGTAGAGGAATATATGAATGGGAGTAGAACTTGAACCCTTCTGTATCTTGTGTGATATATAAGGGGGGAGAGAGAGAGACATCACTGGCGAAGAGGATAAAAGTAAATGTGTTATTTCAAACTTATTTTTAATGAGTAAGTTAGAGGGAATAAATGTTGGGAAAGTTAAATTATGAGTACAAGAATAAGATTTACAGTCGCTTACACTTATACCTGGTACAGTAAAGTGGCTGGCAAGTTTTGAGAGATGTGGCAACTCTGTGGAAAGTTTATCTGTCACTCTTAGTTGGCTACTATTGTTAGGTGCCTTATGCCATTCCAGGAGTTTTAATACAATGTAAACAAGCACAGAGGTGCCACATCTCACAAAACGCACCAGCCACTGTACCAGGTGTAAGCGCAAGTGACTACTTATGCTTGTCATGTGTGCTTCTGTTGGTCAGTGTTATCACTTGCGTTCTGCTTTCAATTTTGGATTAATCATTTGGCTTTGTGATTTGTAATGATGTCTCAGATGTTAAGTGTTAGGTTTTGCACGATTAAGAAACAAAAAGTCAATAAAATAAAGTGTTGAATCAAAATTTTAGACGATCTTATTATATCACGTGTATATCAACCAGATCATCAAGACTCAGACAAAGTGTTGGCGTCAGCATTCACGTCCACTAAGCAGAGTTCTCCGTGTTTGTTGTGTGGAACGAGAGACCTTAAACAATGCCCTTGCTTGCGCCTTCAGGATGATCCCATGATTATATGTGCTGTGTGCAGGTGTCATCAGCATGGGGTGAGTTATTTGCTTTAGTTGGTGATTACATTGCAAGATCTATTTTATTATTGTGTTTTAGAATTACTTAAATGACTTTAGAATACAGGAAGATTTGTCAAGGGTCACATTTATAGACGAGGTTCACAGGGCACCCACGGCAGTTTTTCTCTGCTGATGTGATTAATGTGTTTGTTGTAGGTTTATGTCACTCTTAGGAGCACTGTTATAGGGGAGGACGGGTACTACTGATGGTTCTTTTTATGTTCTGTGCTAATTTTTTAATGAGTTGGACATTTTCAAACTGTGGAATAGTTCTCCTATGTTTATTGTCTTCCTGCTACTCTGCTACCTGGCTTTCCTTTAGTTTATACTAGACTGTATATGCTAACCCATGTAAACCCACTTAGTTGACCCACACAAACATGGAAAATGGTCATAAAATAGGGTTGGTGATAAGTGTGCTAAGCTTGCTGAGATGATTCTTATTATTTTGAAATATTGCTTTTCCTTACCACAAATATATTAATTTCTAAACCAAATTTAAGTTATACCCACCATGATGGGTTACAGTGGCTGAAGGAGAAAACTGTGATGGAAGAGAAGGGCTGAGAGTCAATTAGACCAGTCTTGACTAACACTGGCACAGGTACATTCAGGAGCCAGTACATGCTAACAGTGTGTAATAGAGATGCGACTGATTGCCAAAGCTGCTAACAAGCTTATCAATGGCAAAGAGGATAAAGTAGAACTGTACAGTGGCATTAAAAGTGGATCCCATAGACTTGTTGGTGTGTTAGGAACAATGTGGATACAGCACACTATATAAACCCCTTCACTCAAGAGGGCCCGACATGGTCACCAAACACTATATCAGAGGGTGTGTGAGGGAGGGGGTGGGTGGGTGGGTGGGTATGAGAAAGAATGTTCCCAACACTCAGATGGCAGCCCACCACCCACCATATGGTAGTCAGACTCTTATCAAACAAAACAGGCTGGCCACTGAGAGCAAGAGGTAAGAGAATATATAAATACAATAAGCTCGGTACTGTACTATGCTCACCCCAACCCAAGAGAAGAAAAACAAATCTGGCTAGGCTTAGTGGGATACCAATGTGTCTTAGAATAAGACTTCTGTCATTTCAGAGCAATTTTACCCTCCCAGCTTTTCCTACTGTCATGGAGAATAAAGGATGTACCTGTTTAGTGATACTTGGTGTAAGAGGACGTACAGTACCAGGTAGGTCCCTCTGACTGAAGGGGTTAAACCTTCTGTATTCAAGGAGGCAGCATGGTCAGCACTACTCTCTACATATGCGTAAACTTAGATACCCATATACAGCTGGGTGTACTGTGGGTGCCTTAGGATCACACCAGCGATCCTTAGGAGCACTGTAACCACTTCACCCTTACAGTATCATTATAGTACACAGATTATCATCATAAATGGAAGACACTGGCAAGATGTTTTCCTGACATAGTACTAATGATAGAGGTAACATTACACATGTGGTAGACCGACTCACAAACTTGTATAGTACGGTATTCTTTATTTTTCTTCTCTGGGTTTTTGTTGTTGAAGAGTGGAAGGAATTGACAGTTATGAGATGTTTATGCAGAGCCGTCTTATCGAAATGACATCTTTTAATTTGACATTACTTAATCTTTACTTTATTTATTCTATCTTTAATCACCTTTACATTATCTTTAACCACCTTAATTACAGGTAAAGATACAAGCAAGGCAGAAGGGTCATCCATTGATATATTTGTTCGACAATACAGAGGTTAGATAGAAAATCATTTGTTAGATATGTTTTCAGGAGTCTAGTAAATTGCTGGAGAAAGATAAACGACTGAAGCACACGTGTGGATTATACTACGACAATGACGCCGCCTCCTCCTCCTCCGTCACCAGAACAACAAATTTCTGTCAGGTATGATATCATAACTTGGTCATTGCTTAATTACAGATACCTTTCAATTTACGAGTGTTTGGCTTATGCCTTTTCTAGAATAGTGTTCACGTTCTATTTACATCTTTTTATAATTTATGTGGGCCAATGTTTGGTATAACGCCACCATCAACAAACATCATTATTGGGTTAGTAGTGTGGTGGTGTGACGTAATGCAGTTTCCTCCCTGGCCGTCCTTGGTGTGTGGGTAGAGTCTATAGTTGCTGTTTACTTTCACAGTATTTTCTTGATTTAACAAGCTAATTCGAGCCATCCCTTTCCGTTAAATAGAAATTTCCGCTAAATTGAACTTAACGTTATTTTCGCTCAATTTAGCAAACTTGCTCACTAAATCGAGCTTGATTCCATTAAATTCCCCGCCAAATGCACCGCTTGGCGTGTGGAGTTTGTTAACGTCTGCTCAGTCTGTGTCCTGCTGCCACCTCGTGTGTTATTCACTACTACCTCTCGGTCAACTAACTACTGTACTTAGCCATCATGCTGAAAGTCTCTCAAAAAGGAAGTGGTGTGGGGGAGAAAGTCAAAAGAGTGCAGCTATCAGTTGGAAAAAAGTTTGGAAATTATAGAAAAAACAGTGAAAAGAAACAGTTGCTAAAACAACTGTCTCTGCAGGTGGGGGTCGACAAGCTCCGGGGAAATTTTACGTGTGACTAGTGACAGCCCTCATATACCCAAATTTATCGTCCATGGTCTCATATTGTTTCCCACAAAGTATGCACAGATAGTTGTTTTAGCTACTGTACATATCATGTGTGTAAGGTGTCTGTGTAGGTGTGAGCGTATTAACGGAATTAATTTCGATCTACTGAACTAGTTCACTAAATCTAGCAAAAAATAACGGAAAAAATCCTTCCACTAAATCAAGAGTATACTGTACTTTTATCCTCTTCGCCACCGATCAGCTCGTTAGCCACTTGGGCAATCAGTCACGTCATGGAGAGGTACAGTATTTTGTTCTACAGTACTACACTGTAAACTGCACGTGTTTTGTTCCTTGCATCATGCCACTGAAGAGTCCTTTAAGTTCACCTGGTGCCAGTGGCGCTAAGAAGCATAAGGCCATCACCGTTAAGATAGATGAGCTCAAACTTTATGAGAGAGGTGAACGAACAGCTGATATTAAGTATGTCGTTGTACTTCTACTTTATGCACGGTTTGTGATAGTGCATGATTTATACTTCACTGGCTTCATTATTGTTTTGGCTTAATCATAAGTAGAAAAAAGACGCCGACCCGAATAATATTACTGTAGGGGGTATTTTTATTTTAACTCCGAATAAAGAAAAAATTGTTTGTTCCCAGCATCATATCTTGGATATTTTCTCACAAACCTACTAAGGTATTGATTATAGTGACTTTGAAATTTTGATATGACTAATTGTGAGAGAGAACAGACTCCACCCACACTGTTGTACCTTCTGGAAGCTTCCCTCACAAGATCAGGCAATCAAATATGGTGCACAAAAATTTTTCATAATTATCTTAAAAACTTTTTGGGGGCAGAATTTTTAAAGTTTAATGACTCGATTTGCATCACTGATGCAAATTGTATTACTGAATGATTTGGCACATTTTGTGTCATGATGCATGTGAGGGTGAAGACTTTTGGGGGAAGTTAATTTCTTTTTTGTAGGAAGGTTTCTTGGCTTTATAAAGAAAATTTGTGGGAAAATATGTTTCATTTTATGAAAAATCTATTTACAAAATGTTTTGCAACAGAATCCTTTCTTAAACCTGGGAATCCCTTTAATTCTCAAGTCCACACAAGTGGATACAATATTATTCTTAATTTATTTGTTCATATTTCATCATTGTCATTATTAGAGGTAATTTTGGGTAAAGCAAACCGTGGGGAAGGTTGTAGGAAGTACTTCAATGTACTGTACAGTATATCATGGGATTTTATGGGAAATTAATATCCACTTAATATACAGGTTTTGAGGAAGGCAGTGTGAGTGTTAGCTGTATGGTAATGTGCTCACCTCTAATACTTTTCTCTATTCTATTTATAAACTTGTTATAATAGTTTAGTTGCTATTATTAATGAAAGAGTCCAGAGGTATCAATAAGGCCATGTTCATCAGAAGACCTCCTCTGCAGGAAGATAATACTACTTTTTCTTTCCGTAGAAACGAGAAACCTCTTTATTTCGTCGTCTGTTGGTACATCTGCGTGGCGATGAGAGCTACCACACTCCTGCTACCGTGGCTCGGTTATTGCAAGTCAACTGGGACATAGGCAAGAGGCTTATGGTGCGACTGCAGTCTGAAGGTGTCTTGGCCGCTGAACCACACAATGAGTATGTATGAGCTGTCATCCCCAGCTTTATAGTGTTAGTAACTTGCCTATGAGAGTGGGCTCTTCCTTACACACTCGGCAACAGAGTGTGTACCCAACCAGATGCACTTATAAATAGTGGACAACTCCTTCAGTGGTGTGCTGTCCTCCCAAAGGCTGGGTTAACACACTAGCAGCTAAAGAGGCTTGTGGGTGTAAAAATAAATCTCTACATACTCTTTTTTATCATCACTTACTTATATTCTTTGTGATGCTAACTGACTAACTGTTCAGATGGTTATTTACTTTTAAAACACTGCCAACAGGTACTTGACATGTATAGGCTCTTTATTGTTTCTGAACATTCATTACAGTAGAGCTGAGAAACACTTGACACTAGTTTGTGGTACTGTACTTTACTCTGTTAATTGTGTATTGTGTCATGGTGTGTGCACATTATCTGGCTTAACATCCTCCATCAGGTGGCTCTTATAATAGACTTTACTTTATCCTCTTTGCCACAAGGAAACACAAAAGTTATCCTTTTTACTTTTATCCTCTTCACCACTAATCGGCTTGTTAGAAACTTGGTCAGTCGGTCACATCTCTGTTCCGTACTGTTGGCAAGTACAGTACTGGGCATGCACTGGCTGCTGAATATATCAGAACCCAAAGATCTCTTAATGTCCATTTTGTTAGTAAAATATGTTAGGGTTCCCTGTAATACAGGTATGTTGTTTGTCCTCAATGGCCGCAGGTCATCTACACTTTTTTTTTATCCATCTTTTGCCAGAATAACTGTGTGTTTTCTTTAAGACATTTTGTCAAGCTTTCTCCCTATCTTTCACCTTCTCTTTTTTTATAACAGTGGTATGTGTGATGTAGAGACCATGGACAAAGGATGCTGTACTGTACATAGAGGGAAACCAACAGAAATATTTTTAATTAATTTTTTTCCTTTTTCTCTCTGGTTTCAGTCCCAGAGGGAGGTTGGTGGACCAGAAGATGCTGCGTAACTATGTCATCCCCTACGTGTTCGGTGATCAACTGGCGGTGAGTTGTGTTGTACCAACTGCTGGGTTATGGGGTGAGCTGGGTACATGTAATATAGTGCTGTACAGTTGACCCTCACTATACACAGTGGTTATGTTCTTACCCCTTTAACTACCATCATCGTCTACGGCTGATTTACCGAAATTGCACCATCGTCTGAAGACGATTGGCATTTGGCGTCATGAATTTAAAGCTGTGCGCCAAAAATCATACAAAGAATGGCAAGTTAATGATTGGAAAACACTCTAGAGTGAGATCCAGGCTGGTGGAGCCTCACATCAACTCTGTCATCATCTTGGAATGATTTGAAATTATTTATGCCTCATCATCCTCCTCCCCCTCCTCCTGTTCTCAGTGATGCCACAGCCTGGCTCACTAAAGGGCCTACCACCCACTTTGCACCACAAACACCCATTGCTGCACAACCATAAGCATCTTTTACATGACAACAACCAAGGCTCAACAGTTACTCTCCATAGACTTTAACTCATGATGGGTACAAATATTTTATTGGGATTTTATGGCCTCTAAATTTTATATCTTCAGTTTCCTAAGAAAACGATATATGTTTTTTACTCTAATATTGTCGTGTCTTTTGTGGTATACAGTACGGGGTACCTCTGATTTCCCAAAATGCTACTGTTGTTATTAAAAAACACCGTGCAAGTAGAAACCATTAACATAAAAAATAAAAAAATACAGTAGTCTATGGGAATTAGGGGGGTTAGATTTAAGGCTCACACGATGACTTCTCCTGTTTGTCCAATAAGTTATTATTGATGCAACAAAACATTACACTAAACTATTTTAATCCATATGAATTACTGCTGACCTTTAATGATTATGTTGATGAACTTGATGCCACGATACTGTTGATGTTGAATTCGATAGTTGGGGGTCTACCTGAATGGGATGGGAAGGCTGGGAGGTGTGGCAGTGGTGGTAGTAGAATTATGCATGCATAAGATGTGGTGGAGGTGGCTGGTGAAATGGTAGTCGACTTGTGAGAAAAAAAAAGTTCTGCCTGGGTGACATGATCAGTGCTAGAGGGGATGCCGAAGCTAGCACAGTTGCAGAGGTCAGAAGTGGCTGGAAGAAGTTCAGGGAGTTGCTGCTTTTTTTTGGACTCTTAATTTTGTTATATATTTGCTGGGGTCTTGGGTAACACTGGCTCCCACTGGTTGATGACCGGGACAATAACTCGTTATCGGCCGACGTATCTCCCGCTGCCTCAGACGTTCTCCAGGCCTGATGAAGGTGACATACATGCTCTTGTTATATATTCGCTGGGGTCTTGGGTAACTCTCTCTCCCACCTCTCCAATGGTTGATGGCCGGGGGCCGGATACTCAAAAACATTTATGGGACTGTATGTCATTGTGTACCCCGTAACTGGACTTAGTCTCAGATCGGTATACTCAAAACACAGATGGTATACTCAAAACAAATTACTCAGGATATCCTTTGTGAGCTCATTTGCAGTTTTTCCAGCAATAGGAAAGAAACCCAAGAAAGATTCCCTTACTTCAACAAAATCACTTTCAATATGAACATATCTAATCACTTCGGACATCTGTTCTGTGTGAGAAATATCAGGTGTACTGTCAAAAAGAATTCCAAAATACTTGGCCTTCTTGATGTCAGCCAATATTTTTTCCTTAACATTATTTCCTAGAAGACAGTGTTACGACCCTTGGGCCTCTTAAGGGTGTAACAATATCACAATTTCACAAATTACACTTTGTACTATAGGTCCAGGAATAGATCCCACCAAATTATCACCTCATTACTAAGGGGTATATTGAAGTACATGCAGTAGTTGTAATAACAGAATATATTAACAAATAATCAATAAAATAAATATATCAGTATGTACAAAAATAAACAAATACAAGTTAAATCTGATCAAATAAATGACTCAACCAAGTGACAAAATAATGAACACAAAAGTAAAGACTTATTTAGTCTAGAAACTACGATGAACAACGTGGTCTATCCACCACACGAAACCTCATAAATAAGTAAGTTATTTTCCGTGGAACTTCAAAATATGATTAACAATAATCTTTCACAAATAATACTTTACTTGGTGTTATAAAAGTCGAGCAAGGTTTACACGTTATCCCACTAGAAACATACTGTACATTAAGAAAGGAGATACTCTGTACTTAACTTAACACTGCCGGGCCCATACTAAAGTAAACAAGGCGAGCGGACGCGGCAGAAATGACGTCACAAACAAAAGACGTTCACGTTAAGAATCCACAACCAACGATGGAATGCTCACTCGTAACAACAGATGAATTCATTCTGAATATTTGGTGACAAATAAGAGCTCACTCTCCTTCCAGATGTCTGAGATGGAATAGCATGCTTAACCTCCAAAAGATGTTCTTTCAAAACAGGATCATAGTTTGATAGTAACTCCACCCGTTCCAGGAAATTGCCTTTGTTCATTGCTAACATATCCTCCCTATGACCACGAAAAGGAAGGTTCTGTCGAGCTAGAAACATAGTCACATCCAAAAGACGATGAAGTATGTCCCTCCATTTCTTCCTCTCTGTCCATTGCAGCTTGATTACCATGGTCAACAGTTCTTTTGAGCTTTAGTCCTGCTTCATGGCACCCCCTTCTGGCTGTCACCCGGGGCGGACCGCCCACCCTTAGTACGCCACTGCTCTACGGCTCCTGAGAATGCTGCTGTTCCTACCAGAAAGCAGTTTCAAATGCGAGTATGTGACAGACAAGAGGATGTGTTTTAAATGCTTTTAGCACTTTATTTACTTTCATACTGAACAATTTTATTCATTTTTAAACGAGTACAGCGATTTTAACACGCTGTGCATTTTTGAGTATTTTACCCCTAATGCCAGGCAAAACCTTAAGGCCGTAATTTTTTTTTTCACAGGCATAATACTTCTATTCTAGGCCTTATCTTGTGCTGCTTTTTTCTTTACGCTAACACGTAAATCTGAAAACTTCCGCCGGACTTCAACAACATTGCGGGGGAATCTAGCAACAGCATTCACCGCATTTAAAACTTCACCCCAGGCATGGTTTTTCAATTTAAGTGTACATCTAGTAGAGTCCAACTTCCCTAAAATTATTTGTTGTCTTTTGGTCACTTCAGACACAATAGCGTATACTTCAGCTTCACTGAAATTAGGCCGTCTCTTCTTGGCTGATGGTCCTTCCATGTTTTTGTTTACAAAATTATAATAGTGCTTCGCTCTCAGCCGATTTCTCCTTCTCTTGTGATTGGTTGATGATTTTGTTAACTGAGCGCTGATTGGCCAACTACCTCCTGCACTGACATCTACCTTCCGACAAGAGAACTTAATTTACAGGGTAAAGGGTAAACACTAATGTAAAGTTATGATAACTTACAAACTGCTTAAGGAACTGGAATTAAATTTTGAGTATGCTAAATTTACGGTACTGTAAGGAATCTGCAATATATGTTACTGTATCTTGCTAAAAAACGAAGCTTATGAGGTGTTTTGAATATCCGGCCCCGTGACAATAACTCGTTATCGGCCGACGTATCTCCTGCTGCCTCACACGTTCTCCAGGCCTGATGAAGGTGACATACATGCTCTTGTTATATATTCGCTGGGGTCTTGTGTATCGGTGGCTCCCACTGGTTGATGGCCGGGACAATAACTCGTTATCGGCCGACGTTTTTCCTGCTGCCTCTGAGACGTTCTCCAGGCCAGAGAAAGTTCTCTTCTTGTGAGAGGAATGATGTATGCAATCAGTGTGATGGTGTATGGCAGTGGAACATGGGCAGTTAAAGAGGATGCTACTTGCGGCATTAAGTGAGCTGAAATGAGAATAGCAAGTTGGATGTGTAATGTGGCACTTAAAGAAAGGAAGTGTTATGCAGATGTGTTATAGTTGAAATTTTAACTTTATTAAGCAATTTTGCACGGCAGTTAAGTGGATACAGCACTCGCCTCATGTTTCAGGGGTCGGTAGTTCGATTCCCGGGTGCTTCCAATTCACCCAGCTGTAAATGGGTACACTAGTTTACAACTTGAGGAAGTGAATACAGTCAAGTGCAGTACTGGACATGCTGTCTCTTGTGTACCAAAGGCTTCATATACAGTGTGCTGTATCCACGCTGTCTCTCACAGATAGTTATGCCTATAGGACCAACTTTCACATCCAGAAAATTTCTGTTTATACAACCTATCTTTGATTCATGGAGGAAACTGTTCCTGCCACAAGACAAATACTGTAACCCTATGCACAAGGCAGGCTCTGTCAGGGATGTTTGTGTCAGAGTAAATCTTTTGAGTCATGCAGTACAATATATAAAGTGACCTTGAAGCCATTAAAAAGATATTGAGGAAATCTGACAGTAAGGTTTCTGGGACAAGTGAGGAAGCATCATCATCAACTTTTTACGGCCATTTTCCACACTTGTGGGGGTTAGCTGTGGTTACCTGATGGCGACTGTTGGGTGAAACTAGAGCAAGGTATTACTTCCTGCTCACCACCACAAACTCAGAGCAACAGCCCAGAAAATACAGCAGAGACCAGAGGATGGGTACCTACTCCGGTGACCCAGTTGTCATCAGGCATGTTGAAGTAAAGTGTTTTGGCTGAGTGCCATTCTTAACTCCAACCTATAGGGTGGGAACAGCTGGCAAGGCAGAGTCACAACTAGCAAGGCAGGATCACAACTAACTCCCTGAAGTACAGTACAGAAATCAAAGACTACACCTACCTGCATGTGCCCCAAAAAAATGATAGAGGAGTGTACAAGATTGGTGTGTAGAGGCTCTTGTGTATGACCCAACAAGTAGGGTATAGCAAGATTAACAGAAATATGACTGAATTAAAACTACAGTACGGTATGTAGAATCCCAAAAGGTTTGAATAGAATAAACCACAAACAGTTGACATTACAACAAATAATTTTTTTTAATCTGAGATATATTAATTATAATAATGATGGTAAAATAACAGAATTTACCCTCAGACAAGAATCAACAAAGGTTTGTAATTTACCTTCTTGGTCTCAATGTTCCGAGTCTGATGTGTTGGTCTTCTTGATGTTTGTACACTTTCTACCTGAACTTAGTGTCATTCTTTTATAATGTGAAGCTCTATGTATCATCTTGCCTGTAACATTTCTTCAGTCATCACACACACACCAGACCATGATTCACCAATACTTTTAAACAATGGAATCCTCTTGACTCCATGTGGGGAAGACTATTTCCTTCACTCCAGACCCAATCCACTCCATGTACCAAACACCTACACTATTATTGTGCAACCGACTTTGACCAACATTTTTATCCTCCTACTACTGCAACTCATCCTCCTACTACTGCACCTCATCCTCCTACTACTGCACCTCATCATCCTCCTCCTCCTACTGCACCTTATCATCCTCCTACTACACCTCATCCTCCTCCTACTGCACCTCATCCTCCTACTGCACCTCATCCTCCTCCTCCTGCACCTCATTCTCCTCCTCCTGCACCTCATCCTCCTCCTCCTGCACCTCATCCTCCTCCTACTGCACCTCATCCTCCTCCTACTGCACCTCATCCTCCTGCTCACAAGGGTTGCCCCACTGACCCTCTCTCAGTACCACAGCACCCACCCTCTCCTGGATATAGACGCCCTTCATTTTGCTTGGCATTTTATTTGTTTACAATGATGTATTCTGATGTTTAAAAGACCAAATATATCATATTGTACAGTATATCCAACAGGGCCACCGGTCTAAACAAAAAATATCAAAAAGGAAAAACACCAGGATGGCTCGTCGTCTTGGGAAGCTCAAGTGAAATTGGGTCACGAGGCGTTCAAGTAATTCATTGTCATCTCATATGTAAATTTGGCTTATTTCATTATGATTTTTGTCACTGAAGGAAAACCAAAATGTAGTTCGTATATTAATAAAACAAAACATCAATTGTGATATTTTTCCCCCAGTAATGTATGTAACAGTATAAGTCCCGATTAAGTTACATACCTGTATGGGTGAAGGGGCAAGCACTTACTAACGGTTGAAATGCCCGCAGCACCCTCACTCAAACTAGGTCAGGGATTCCACCTACTTCTATTTCGATGAATTACGTTACTGTACACTCTGACGTTGAAACTGAGACTATGAACTCAGTTTCATTCCCTACTATTATCTTCACAAACAATGCTCTGACTGAGCTATCAAAAGCAAGAATTAAATTGATTACAAAGGGTTGGATGGCAACAGGTCCCAACATACAGCGTCTTGCTACGAAACCCGCAGAGTAGATTCAAAGTTCCCTTCAGACAAAGACGGCCTCTCGATGACGTCATCAAGGAAACAGAGAAAACGGAGGACGTTTCCACTGGGGGACTCGGAAGGTTTTGTGGACGTATAAGTGTAATATGAATCCTTAGGGTTTTCAGGTTAGCCGTCATTACGATCATGACAACACTGACACCCTTGAACACACTAACTGTATTGTAGAGTAATGCACTTCAGACCACTGGGGAAACGTTTCATAATTCCACCTCATTCTGACCCTCCTCAGCTGTGGTTATTGATATGCAACTAAATTGAATTTTCAGTATTCAAAGCTTCCTTTTATGAGCAACTATTCACAGGTCTACAAATGTCACTTGCCATACCTCAGAGAATTGTGACCCTGCCTTGCCAGCCATGGGTGCATGTTGGCTAATTTCCAATATGTAGGCACTTTACCTTGGTCCAAGGACTTCTTGAATAAGGGTCTTAGTATAGCAGCCAGAAGGCTGAAAATATACAGTTACATAATTGGCCAATGGGTTTCTATTTACAAATAATATACAAGTAACATAAGTGATACAAATAAGATATATAATAGCTAGATGGGGAAAAGCTCAAACTACAGGGCATTTCAACATAGTGACAGTGCAAGAAGTATGATTTACTGGGAGTGAATACACTGGTTTATTACAAGTTATTGATAATTTTTACAATGGTTGGGACTGGGCTGTTCTTATAGCGATCATTTCGTGCACGTATGGGCTGGATGCGATTGTGGTGTTGAACTGCAATTCTCGGGCTAGGGATCTCGGGTGGTAGTAGGAGCCGGTGTCGAGGATGGTGCAGAAGCTTCTTGCCAAATTTGCAGATGAGGTCGTGGTAATGGTCAGTGAGAGCCGAGAGGGTCAGTGTGTTGCGCGCTTCTTGATATGTGGAGTAGGAAGGGGAGAGAATAATCTTGCATGCCCTCTTTTGCACTTTTTCTAGGTGTTTACGTTGTGTGGCATTTAGGGAGGAAGACCAGGTAGGGGAGGCATAGGTGAGCTTGGGAAGTATGAATGTTGAGTAAACACTGAGGAGCTCGGGTGCAGGAACTCCCGAGGGACTTGAGTCGGCAGAGGAGGTGGAGACGGAAACTGGAGGATTTGACAATTTCACTGACGTGTGGTTTCCAATTTAGTTTGTTGTCTATGGTGACGCCGAGGAGCTTAGTGGAATCTACAACCTGGAGTGTGTTGGGACCTAAAGTAATGGAAGAGGGTGGGACAATGTTGGAGGAGAGGTTGATGTGCATAACCATGGTCTTGGTATGGTTGATGGTGACGTGGTTGTTGGTGGCCCAGTTTTGGAGACTGTTCAATAAATCTGTATACTGTATTTACAAAAAGACCCGCTCAGAAAAGCACATCTGCGGTACTTCTTGATTTTTGAAGTTCATGAGCCAGCCACCAGGTGTCGTCTTAGTTTGATCTAATCATTGCCTATCGAACCAGTGTACTGTACAAGGTGCCTTCAGCCTTGCCTATACTTAATTGTCCTGATTGTATTCTTAAACATTGGATCGGTCCCTTCATAGTAATGGACAAAAACACTGGCACAGCTTCAGTAGGTTCCTTGATAGGTGACCCCCAAAGCAAAAGGTGCTCAGTGTTGAAAATAATAAAAATACCATAGAGTGGATGGAGCACGATATGCCCAGAACAAAGACTTGTTGAGTTGTTATTGGAAAGTCAACTGTAAGCAAGGTTTATGACTAGAACATATGACCTATTTGTGTTCCATTCTGCAAGTGAAGTGGTAAGGGCATGAGTGAACACAGAAAATAAAGGAAGTTTTGTAGGAATGGTATAATCATCACACCTGGAGACAAGGTATGAAGACCAGAAGAGGTACATTATTGCTACATCTTTTTAAAGGAATACATATTGGGAGATCATTAAGGTACACTATACAGTGTTCTTTCAGTCATCTTTTGATAACTTTTTGTACCTTTGGCCCCATTCTATTTTTTTTTATCCTGGACGCACAAAATATGTGGACTTCTTGCCAAATTGAACTGATGACATGAAAATTATTGTTTTCGGTTTCATTTTTTTCACTGTTCTCCCTCGTCTTGCCTTTAGAATGGAATGTATAAATGGTTTTATATTTTCTCGTTATTAATTTTTGATCTTGGTGGTAACCCCATAATGCCTTGCCTATTCTCCTTGTAATTTGACAAGTGGTTTTGTTAGCTTCCAGTGAATAGTTTATAGTCCAAGATGGAGTTTGCAACCATAACTGGAAAATCTTGATCTAGATGATAACTTCAAAAGGCAAGGTACCGGTATCTTGAAATATGGTGTGGATTGGTTAGCTCTGTAGGAAGATTTTTATCAGTTATGAGCCCGGTATAAAAATTTCAAGATGGCAGGTTAATAGGCGATGGAGTGAAGCCTTCATTGCGTATAGAAGGTAAGATGGATGTACTGTACAAGTTTTGGGGGACTTATTGATATAGACCATCTTCCTGTGTATGGCCAGACCTCTGAACCAGTCGCCTCTCACCAGTGTATGGGGGGGATAACATACCTTAATTCATTGGATATTTTTATTTAGAAAATTATGAAAATATAATGATATGATTTACAATGATTCATCTATGTGATTTAATTGTGAAATTATACGTGTGTGTGTGTGTATGAAGTATGGTCCATAGCTTGAATATGAGCATGTGTCTGATACTGTACATAAGATGAACAAATTCCTTTGATGATGAAGCTGATACCTGTACAGTACATTAGTGGCTGCAGCTGTCAGTGGTGCAGATGGTGACCACAACACATTACACTGTCAAGTATAATAATAGGAAGATTTACTTATAGCTAAAGGAGTGCTGACATGAGTACAGGTGTAGGTGTTCCTCACATTACACAAACAACAGCACTTCACTTTCACAAATGTAAATGACAGTTGGCGACTACACCATCGAGAGAATATATAAACGTGTGGATGTACGGACATGATTGAGACACATGGGGGGGGGGGGATAGAAGCAGCGGTATGAGACACACGCAACTGATGGGTACAGCGTTAGAGGTTGACGGAGTGACGTCTCTTCTCCAGCTGGTAGCCTGGGCTCACGTAGATTGTCTCCTTGGTGCTGTTGCTCAAGAATCTGCAAGGAAATAACAATTAATTACAATGTGCTCTTGTGTCACCAGCCAATAGTCATAAATGTTTATAACACTGATGAAACCCAAGTCATGAACAGAACTCTCACCAGTCATTCTACAATGGACAACATGAACTGTCATACTATTTTGGTAATGTAGGCAATAGTTCTTACACTGGGGATCATACAACTCTTGCTCTGCATCAACAAGCTTAAGGGTGTGACTAAGATTACAGTGCAAACATCCAGAAGTACCTTTTTCAACTAAACTGAAGCCCCTAAAAGTGGAGTGCTTGGGGTAGTCACTTGTCAGGAGGGATGAGAACTAAGAGACTTGCTTACTGTACTAGCACAAATGTTCTCTGTGACTCATGCCAGGTTAGATATTGGACAAGTCTCAACACTACTGTTCCAGATAGATAATTCTTATGTTGACTGAATATCTTTCAGTTGGTTCCATGTTTTCAACAGGTGAGTGCATCATGCTACTGTATACTGTAGTGTATACATATTTTGGAGCATTCGTATAATGGTAGAAAGATGCAACACCCAAGTGAACACGGCTGTTGAGTTTTGCCTGAGGCATCCCCAGTCCACCACCTGTGAGTGGGTATCTGAGGTCAACTGGAACTGGGGAGTGTGGAGATTGTTATCCAGTTTCTAACTCGGTAAGGATTGTGGAACACACTTTATGTCGGGTGAGAACTCTTAGTTTTCAGCCTTGCTGGCATCTGACCTCTCCAAATACCTGTATTTTCAGTGCTGTGGTTGAGTTGGGAGGAACACTATACTGTACTGTATATGCATAAGTTAAAGGTCTTGAAACATCAACTCATGAACTTCAGTTGGTGCAGCACACAAGTTGGCCAATCCATGCTTACTTTCACAAGAGATTTTAGTATCAAGTCTTTTTTATACGTCACTTAAACACGTTTTAGATCATAGAAATTTTGGTACCTATCAGTAATTAAAGAGGAATGTAAAAGTTATTAGTGGAAGACTCACCTGAGGGTGGACTGGGGCTCAGGGCTGGGAGCTCGGACAAGCCTGACGTAGAGGGTGTAGGTGGATACAACCTTGGGGTCACACCTTATCTTGCCAATCACCACTCGCCTTCCACCATCCCACATCTCCACACACAAGGTGCAGCCCCTGCAAAAGTAGATTGTCAGAATTATTCATGGCCATGGATGAACAGTAGCAGTCATGTCCTCAAATATAATGACCCATTATCATGACCAAGAAAAGTATGTGAAGGTCCACAACCACTAGACCATGGACCCCAGTGTTAGATATTTAAGAAAATATAAACTTTATTTTTAACGTCACAATATTCAACAAAGTTTGAACAACAACTGACCTGATTCCATGAGCTTCTCCTTCGGTCATCCTGACAATGTCCCTAACAACACGGGGCAAGAAGTCCTGTGGCAGGAACACTGGAACACTGGTCTTGGCCCCTGGTAGTAACTTGGTCAGCCACTGTACTCCGGATCCAGCCTGTTCAACAGTACATGTACTCTTATTTCATGCTCACTTTTTCCTACACATTCAATCCTCTTTATATGTTCTTCAGACAGATGGGAACAACAGTATACAGTATTTCCAAAACAATAGTAAAGAATTAATTAAATATTTCACAAAACCTTACATCTAGAAGAGTTCGGTGAAGGTTATAAGAAAAAAAGGATCATATGAAGATCCTCCCCCCCCCCCCAAACCTACTTGGGGGGAGGATCGTCATATGATCTAGCCTGGGGGGGGGGAGGATCTTCATATGATCAAGCCTGGATGGGGGGATCTGACATGACCAAACCTGACCTTACCTGATCACTATATATATATATATATATAGTCAGATTTTCTATGTACTCAATAGGTTAGGTGGATCTTCATATGAGCGCGACTGGGGGGGGTGGATCTTCAGTTGGATACTTTGGGGGGGAAGATCTTCATATGATCCGAAAAAAACCATTGCCATAATAGCAGTACACTGACCTGTGTGTTCTGTGTGGGGTATGCATAGTGGTGTTGGGCCAGATTGAGTAACTTAGTCTTGCGGGCACGACGCACTAGACCCACGATGTGTCTGGCCAACAGTGCCGCCGCTGCCTCATCCTCAATACCCTCGTAGTCATAGAATTCTGAAAAAAACAAAAACAAAACATAAATTAAGTGTCCTGGTGAAACAATCGGATACAGTACGAGAATATGATTGTTGTCACACCCAGGACTATAGACTGTCCAGTGTGTGAGCACAATAACTTCTGAAGAGTTAATTTTTTTTTAAACTTGGCTAGTCACTGTCCACCCAGTAATCTGCCAACATATAATGGGTCAAGCATCCCCAAAGACTTCCCTTATAATGTTATATGACTTTATATGAATGATAAAAAATAACATAACAAAATGCTTCCCCTGAGACAGACGCTGATACCAAGTTATGATACTATAATGACTGAAGACTTCGTGTTAATAAAATTAGCCACCACATCGCAGTGTTTCTACCAAGTTTCATGAAGATCTGTAAACTCCTTCAAGAGTTAACCTTTTTCACTAAAAAAAAAAACAGGCTTTGACGTGGAGACGGACACAAGACAGTGCCCTCACTATTTCACAACACTAACCACAGCCTACATAATCGGATTTCTCTTTGTTACACACAACAAAATAACCGTTTATTGCAAAGAAAAACCTAAGTGAATTTCAGTCTGTCAACACACCAGACTTTGAATCAATAACATTTTCCAGATACTAGTATTTGCAAAAGACACATGTGTTTTGTAGAGGCTTAACATGTATCGTGGGATAACACATGTATGGTATCATAACATAAATTTGTCATATACTGTATGTGTCGGGGAGTGTTCTGGAGGTGACACATAATACAAGTACAGTATAGTATGTGTCGTGGTGAAACATATATACGTTAAAATATAATATTATAGAAGTGACAACAAAAGTGTACCAAGTAATTGAAGGACACTTGTATTCCGATGTTTATGCTTTAAGTGACATACGTTAAGTGTAATCAAAATTTAATATGTGAAGCGACACGTGTGAACCTTAGTGTGAGGAAGAGAGAGGAGTTATTGACCTACCTGAGCTGACGGGAGGCATGTGGGTCTTGTAAGTATTGGGTCTCACTACACGCAGCATCTTGGACCACTTGTTGATGTAGAGAAGTAGTTTATCTCTTAATACTTCTTCTTGAGTTGAGTGAGTGAGGTCAGGGATGCTTTTACTCGCACTGGTATAGGAAAGCTTACGGCTGTTCTGGTGCTAAACGCCGAAAATGGTGCTAGAGGTTTCTTTAAGCTCTTCTGCGTTAAACTGGTGAATGGTTGGGGGATGGGGCGGTATATATATTGGTTGGATGGGCTTTGACGTAACGACCTCGCCTACCCAATACGGGTTCTGATTGGCTAGCTGCAGAAGGTGCCAAATACCTTCTATATTCATCTTTAAACTGCCATTACTGCGTTATTCATATCTATCCTTCATCGCTTAATACACAAGCCACCCCAAGTTATGTTAATTTAATTGTCTGATATATTAGTCACGGAATAAAGTTTGATAACTATGATTAAAATTGGTTACTGGTTGAATGAGGGAGAGGATAATGCGTAGATTATCACATCTTGGCCACAACACTACTGGATACTACACACCTGCCAACACCTGTCAGTTACCCTCACACGCTGTTTGTTTTTATTTGTACTAAAAGTTTCTCATTGTTTCCGTTTTCATTCGCTGTTCTGATGTTATAATGTTTGTTTTCACTACCGTACATATGCCCGTACCTGTCAGTCGTTATGATTGGTATTTAACATGTTATTTATGTTAGCGTTAATTTCAAATGCTCTTTTGTCGCTAAGCTGTGCAATTTAACGATACGGTTGAGGAAAATTGCTAATGGTTGTGTCTCTTACTTCTGTTGCCTCCTTGTCTTCCTCCTGTTGCCTTCTTGTCCTCCCCCTGCCCCCTCCTGTTTCCTCCTCCATTCTTGTCCTCTTCCTCCTCCTCCTCCTTGCCCTCCAGTATATCATAAAGGCTGATTATATTATTTTCCTATAATCATGTTGAGTCTGACCTATAACACTGTCATATAACCTAACCCAGCCCTTAAGACCCACGTTAAAAGACCAAGCATTGTAAACAGTTGATGTGGGTCACTTTTTTATCCTGTTCTTTATGTTCTGACAGCTGGTGCATCAATTCTTTATGTTCTGACAGCTGGTGCATCAGTTCTTATGTTTGGACAGCTGGTGCATCAGTTCTTTATGTTCTGACAGCTGGTGCATCAGTTGTTTATGTCCTGACAGCTGGTGCACCAGTTATTCATGTTCTGACAGCTGGTGCACCAGTTATTCATGTTCTGACAGCTGGTGCACCAGTTATTCATGTTCTGACAGCTGGTGCATCAGTTCTTTATGTCCTGATAGCTGGTGCATCAGTTCTTTCTATTCTGACAGCTGGTGCATCTGTTCTTTATGTCCTGACGGCTGGTGTATCATGGCAGGTCTCCCACAGGTGACTTTTTAATTCGGTGACAGGTAACGGAAGCTGTTGCGTCGTCAGGGATGTAATTACCTCAATAAATTAATCCATCCCACAGGTAACTAATAGAAGACAAGGTAAGATCAGACCAAGGAGTACTATCAGTTATAACCATTCACTGAGGTGGACACAGGACAGCTCTGTTGTGAACTATGTGAGGCATCAAGCGTTAAATACTTATTGGTGTCTTACTCTCCTACAGGGCCACTGCGTCTCGTTAAGTGGTGCTGAGCTGATGGGATTTGCACTAAGTTCGTTCATGGCCAGTGTGCTCAAGGTAAAACTATGTATATTGTTTTTATTTTTGGTATGAAGTCTTCAACAACCTTCAGACAAACAGACAGTCAGACAGATAGACAGAAAGTTGGCATGAGAAAACCATTATGATAGGAGGTCCTTGGGATGGCATGAATATTATCCACTAGTTTATTTCACCTGATGATTAAACATTAACGTTACCTGGGTGGTGTAAGGTTAGATGAGCTTTAGGGTAGTTAGTCGTGTTGCTGATCGTAAAGATTAACTACCCTAACGCTGTATGGGGGGATGTGGTTAGGTTAGGTGGGTGTTAGGGTGGTTAGGTTAGGTTAGGTGTTAGGGTGGTTAGGTTAGGTTAGGTGGGTGTTAGGGTGGTTAATCTTTAGGAAAAATCAGCTAAGGTGGATATTCTTCATGTGATCTGATATTTATTCTGTAAAACCGTCAAAGTTCACATTGGTTCAACATAGACAGTACAAATCTAGGCAAAGGGACGCCTCCGTGTCTAGGTATGACAACTGTCACTTTGAGAACAGTGACCAGAGTTACATGTAAACATTAAACAGCTGGAGAGTGGGACCAGAAGCTGTTGACCTTTAGGTGGTGGATGGCAGCTGTTTTTATAGTCACTTCCACCAGCCAGTACAATTGGCCAATATTTTTACCATTGTAATCAAAATAAACAGAAGATATGAATGTTATCATCTCTCTTAAGATTACTTTTATTCGTCAAACAATATAAACAGTGGTATCAGCCATCGGTACCCTGCAGGTAGTTAGTGACAGATACAGTACCAGTCAAAACATACTCATGTTTGTATCCTCACTTCAGCCAAAGAACTAAAGTTTGTTAGAGCAATGCGGCCCATAACATTACTCTGAGCCAGTAGAGGGCCGTATTATTTCTTCCTTCCACCTGGCTTGTGCGCGTGATTTACCATGACACTGTGTAGTTTAGCATATAGACTAAACACGTTAGTACAATGTTCGGAGAGTTATTCGGGCGCCCGCCCCACTAGAGGTCACAGCCTCTGGTTGAAGAAGCAATAAGTTTAGAAAACTGCCAGGGCAAACTTTTTGGGGGTGAGAGTTGTAAACTCTAGGAACAATCTGCCAGAGAGTGTTGTGACGGCACCGAGTGTGAGCTCATTTAAGACCAGGCTTGACCAATACTGGCGCAGGTACAGATATATTCAGGAGCCGGTACATGCCCAGTACTTGCCAACAGTGTGTAACAGAGACTTGACTGACCGTCCAAGTGGCTAACAGGCCCATCAGTGGCGAAGAGAATAAAGTAAAGTAGAGTCTGGTGCCAAGACGTAACGTGGCGTACTGACGAGTGTGATGTTTACACACGTTCTGGGCCAGATGTCACGCATTACTCACTCAGGTGTGTCGCCACCCCTCTTGTGATGATCATTGCTTGACAAGGTGTAACTTGCAGGTGACGACACTCATTACTGTTCCAATTGGACATGCCGGGGTCCACATGTTAGGAAAGTTATTGGGGAAATACTGTACCACTAAAACCCCTCAACAAAAATTCTGATCTTTTCATTTTTTTATTTGTTAAAAGGGAATATAGGCAGTGGTAAAATGTAAGTCTGTTTAACCAAATATGGCCCAAGAAAGCCGTTCAAAGGTCGTCTCCATCAAAGTATTTATGTGAGGTAGTTACCGTTGAACTTTAAAATTCTATTGAAATTCAGTACTGTGGTAAACGGTTGACGCCTTGAGGATGTGTTGGGACAGCATAATAGATGTTTCTATCTTGTAGAAGCTTAAAGCATTGGTATTTAGCTATGGACATATCTGAGCTCAACCTTGGAATCGGGAGGGAGCTATTTTGGTTCAAGTTACCCGTTATACACAACTTTCATGTTATTTCTGGCTGGTGTGTAAAAACTGTCCGGCCTTGAGAGTAACGCGCGGGTCTCCTCCTGCGTCGTATGGCACATCTTCTCTCACACTTGGTCTCACTTAACACACTGTTTACACATTTTATCTCACTTTATTTATCCTCTACGCCCTTAGCCAGCTCATTAGCCAGTCGGGCGTCAGTTTGTTCTAAGTTACACACTGTTAGAAAGTACTAGGCTTGTATTTGAGAGCATCATGTGTGTGTGTGTACAGGTTGCAGTCAGTGTGCAGAGGTGGCACACGACCATCACATTCTCCCGCCATATTCTTTGACGTTTAAAATTCAAGTCTTGTAAGAGCACGGAAGTAAGTAAGTTAATATGATTTAATACAGCTGCTGCTCTTAGCCAAAATGTGGTCAGCTTTTTTCATGAAAGATACTAACTTTCTGGGGTGTGTTGTGTACGTCTTTAATTTGTTATAAATTAGTACTGAACATATAGCGGTCCAACTAGTGGCTTTACACTTGATTAGGCTCTATATTACAGGCGAATGGAACAGGTTGATCTGCCAGTGCGTGTCTTGTCTTGTACAGTAATAGGTCAGCTTGTCGGGACACTTAAGCCATCTTCTTCCAAGACAAGTTGTTACATACTTACATAATACGCAGTTACCAGATATTTTGTTTCATATTAGTGTGTGGACATACAACTGTGACCTCTGCATGATGTTGTGTGGTATCAGTGTTAGGTATAGATTCAACATGATATAATTCTAACCTAAAACTATATTCCAAGGGGTAATCTCAACACAGCTCAAGTCTTCAATTATGTTTTGATTGAACTGAGTATGCCTAGAAAAATTCCAGCAAGTGGTTAATAGATTATTATCTCCCCTTACTAAGAAAATCAGAACAAGAGGCTGAACTTTATCGCGGGAATTAGTCAAGGATAAATAGCGCTAGTCTGAACGCGTGTAAATAACCGCGAGAAATTTGGTCAGAATAACTCCAAGTACTGTATTGTCTTTTAGTTTACATACACAATAGTTACATGTTTAAGCTCACAAGTCTGTAATTGTTAGTGCTAGGCGAGTACTATTATAATTTAGGTCTCGCATATTAATTTTGGTATTATCGTTTCGGTCATGCAGCGAATATACTGTAGGCTTAGGTTGGGATGGGTTAGGTTAAGTTAAAATAACGTTTTTCCGATGATTTTTTTATGTGTTTTGAACGATTCTGACCTTTGGAAAGTAAGTGCATGACCGAAACGATAATTTTACCTTAATTTCAAGTCACTAGGAAGATTTTGTCGGTCCAAACTTACACGCGGAACACTAGGATGGTCTGAGGCTGTGACACAAGTCGCTTAATACTCTGAGGTGCACACTGTCGCCCCCAGAACTCATCAACTGTGAATTTTGATGATTTCGTTGTTTAAGCTTCTAAGAACTGTACCCTATTGCTTCTGAGACCTAAATGCTGTGAAACCTATCTACCCAAGTGCTGAGAACTCTGTCTACCTAAGTGTTGAGAATCCTATCAACTTTACCTAAACGCTGGGAACCCTATATGAGAATCCTGTTTTCCTAAGTATTAAGAACTCTACCTCAGCGCATCATTAAACTACATACCTTCAAAAGTAACTCGATTATTTACACTGTCGTAAACGCTAAAGACAACAATCACACACTCTACATCTCTTTGTTCCCGTGTAAGTCTCAGATCAGCTGCACCCACACGTGTACTTAATCTGGATTCAACCAAACAGAAGCAAGTTTATGGCTGTCTGGGTCTTGGTTATAAGCCATCTATGTCTTCTACTGTCTTCCACACGCTTATTGTTTATATTTTGAACCTTTACATTAGTATTACTCATTTGGTGTTTAGTTTCGTGAGTGATGTTTGAGGTGTGGAATGCGGGTGTGTAATTCACTATAGGAGGTGTACGGGTCAGTGGGCGGGCCAGTTACGTTACGACGAGTCAGTGTGAACCGGTATGGTGATTGTATTAATAACATCTTGTCTATCTGTCTGTCCGTCTCTCTTTTATATCTCTTCTCTTTTCCACAAATCCATACACACGTTAGTCTAGGTATACAAAACAAAGAAAGGTGTTTACATGCGCACACAAGATGTAGGTATACAATGTGCACCAAGTAATGGGTGTACCGAATAATGGGTTGATCGAATGATTGGTTTACCTGATAATGGGTGTACCGAGTAGTGGGTATTCCGAGTAATGGGTGTACTGAATAATTGGTGTACTGAATAATGGGTGTACTGAATAATGGGTGTACCGAATAATGGGTGTACAGAGTAGTGAGTATACAGAGTAATGGGTAAATCAGCCATTTCCGCCCTAGTGTAGGATACAATATTCCAAACAAGCGACACCTCCCGGCCATGTTAATGTGTCCTCCTTGTACAGGTGTGGTTAATGTCCTTGGCAGCTTACGTCAAACGTTCTTCTCCACTTAACTTAACCTAACCCTGCTCCTGGCTGGGTCCTTTCAGCGCGGTAAGTCACGTGGGATGGTCGACGTGGGGGAGGGGGTGATGGGAGGGTGAGATGTGATGCGAATTACTCATGAAAGGGAAAGGAAGGATGGGTTTTTACTTATTTATTTATTTATTTATTTATTTATTATATTATCTTAGGTTTTAAAGAACGGTAATTAGATGTTTATAATAACTTTAATGTGAGGAAAAATAATGAATACAGTGAAGGAAAAATAGTATGAGGGTGAGGGAAAATCACTGAATTTCTGGGTATTATTATGAGGCAAAACAAATGAATGTCGTAATGTGAACAATAACCAACTCGGACAATCTTGAGCGAGTGGTGTGCGTTGTCTGAGAAATTAAACTTATATGTAATTCTCCCAGTTTTCTTAAGTTTCCAATTATCTGCAACCTTTTGAAGATCTAACTGATCAGTTATGTCAGTTTCACAAGCTATGATCATCAGATTATGCAACTGTTTTTTCTGAGGTTCTGTTTCTCAGGGATGTTTTCATAAGCCTGCTAAAAGAACCTTTCATTTTTATATACTGAATGTGATGCTGTCAAGAATAGCCTGAAAACTTTTGCCACACGAGGAAATAAATGACACTTTCTATGAGCATTCAGTGCACATTCTGCAGCTGAGCGAATGT